TGCGATATATATAATAAATAAATAAATAGAGTCTATGATAACTTGATACAAAGTTATTCTGCAGTTTTACACAATCAGGTTTCCTATAATTTACTTGACAAGTATAAAACCTGAAGATAATGTTGACACAATTTATTAACTTATCTGTATCCATTTCTTCCATGTAACACCGTCGTAACTAGGATCTTCGTTCGTTTTTTTTAATAGTTTTTTTTTAAGTTTGTAATATTAAATTACTTTTTTTTTTTTGTATGAAAAATGATGTTGTGGGTACTATATATATAAGTTATATCGGAATTAAATGTAAGAAACATATATTCAGGAAGTACAGCCATCAAAAACTAAGACATGTATAAAAAAAGAGAAATCAATCAAATCAAATCAAATATGTATTTATTCAATCCACTTCTGTAAATGTATATTACATGGTGGATACGTATATCATGCCATGTTTGCAATAAAATACACACACAAAAATGAAAAGAAGAGAGAATTTAATGTATATTGTCAATAATGCGGTAAAAATGTATTTTAATTCTAAATGTTTGATTAATTTCAATCAGGTTCGTCTTGCTGTCCTGATAAGTTCAGAGAGTACGAGTTTTTAGCCGAACCGCAATACTTCCACTCTCGCCGCCTCCCCGACCCTCTGGACAGATACGATGAGCCAATCCCTTACATCTCACTGCAGCAGTTCAACCTCCAACCCACGTTTGGTGCCTTGGCGTCACTCTGCAACTTACAGGTCCTTAGTCATAGCATGGGAGTAATACAAGCAGATGAGCACAACCAAGTTCGTATCACCATGGTGAGTTCTGTTCCTATGAAAACGTGGACGTCGTTGACCGCGTCGACGGACTTCAACGACCACCGGGAGCATGCAGTGCAGTGGTGGGACGGAAACGTGTTACACAGCGTCATCGATCTTCCCCACAACGGCATCTGGGACTTCAAAGTCTTTGGGCAATTGCTTTGCGACAGGGGCAGGAAACGCGATCCGAATGCAGTGATACCTCCGAGCATTGTAGACACGGGACATTATCACTTGGTAACATTTACTATCATCGCCAAAGGTGGATGTACGAATCCGCCTCGTATGGGCCCTGATTCGGGCATGTGTGGTTCAATGATCAACTGTACGCAAGTTCGTCCCTTGACGCACGTTTCGCCTTTTGTGGATGCCGTGTACGGCAAGGCAGTAGTCGGGTTCATCACCGATGATTACAGAGTGAAAATGGTGTACAGGTTCTTCAATGTGGACACCTGCCAACGTTTTATTTCCAATCATGTGTACATGGAGAGGGTCGGAGACAGGGTGTTTGTCCATGTCTTCTGCCCAGCACCGGGGCGGTATGTCCTCCGCCTGCTGATCAACACATCGGGCAGGGACTACAGCCGACAAGGGGAGTACCTGATCAAGGATGCCGGAGAAAGTGAGGCAGCGTACTCCATGACCTTCTCGCAGACAATGGGGTTCAATGTTTGGGGTCCGAACGAAAACTTTGCGGACTACGGTCTAAAGGTGACGTCAGGGCACTCTTCCTCCACCATCATAGCCACTGATGGAGAGGTCCAACTGAAGATGAGCTGGCCGACCAGCAAGGACTTGGTCTTGTCTTGCTGTCTGCAGGACGTTAAACAGGATGATCGTCTCCAAGCACGCCGTGTCATCATCCACACGGTCAGTGATTCAACGACATCGTTATCTGTGACAACGTTCCACATCAGAATGAGAGAGACTGGCTACTTTGTTCTGCAAGTGTACGCACGTCTTAAGGAAGGTACCCAGAACATACGTGTGGGTGGGTGGCTCATCGTGGTACGCACGATGTCCAGCAAGCCAAGATTCCCTGTGGAAGGTCTCATCTGCGGACCCAATGATGTCTTCTACAGACTTGGCATGAGGAACACTACGTCCAAGCTGCAAACGGCCGACGGAAAAGGCCGCATCGATATATCCTATCCTGCTGACGTCGAGTGGACATTCCGATATGATGTGACGTCCTCGAGCCGTGACGGCTACGACAAGGTCATCAAGGTGCAGAACACGGTTGTCAAACCACATGCTGTCTACACGGCGTCATTCCACTTCGCCTTCACAGAGCCTAATGTGTATGCCATCCGTCTGATGACAGTAGGAGAGAGTTACGAATGGAATACTATTGGTTACTGGATTGTCATCTATGATCCATCCCTCTCATCTGCATCAGAAAAGAAAGTTGCCTGTTAATGAAAAGACTATCAGGAGAGAGCTGTGTGAACTCTGCGAAGGATACGCATTTTCTTTAACCGATTAAGAGGCGCTAGTGTGGACGTTATACATCTAAACTAGTAAACGATGATGGACCCCGATGCATATAGGCCCTAGCTTATATATGTTTACACTTTAAATCAAGATTCAAATGGGAAAATGCCTGGAAACTGACAGCCTGTGAAAACGACGGCCCGACTAAACGACAGCTTCGTGAACCCTCAGAAAAAGATTGTTAAAAGGCCCATTCCTATACCGACATATCAGTCTTGGGCCGTTGGTGCGTATGCCGTTGGTCGTTTGAACCGTCGGATAACTTTTCAGAAGGTTCGCATGTCCGACACTGCCGGTTCTCGGGATTTTTCTCCTGGTCTACAGCCGATTTTTTATTTTATTTTTTATTTTTAAAAAAAATTCTTAAAGCTGGTAAAGTTACTTAGAAATCGTACTTACTGATAATAATTTATGTCTCCCATATTAAACCTACATGAAGTCAAATGATTGTTTAAAATACAACTTAAATTGAGGCCTTAAAATCAACTGATTATGTTAAAAATGGAAGACACATATTACATGCAATTATTGGTGCTTATTTTTACACTTATAAGCCTATCGTAGATGTCATGTTTGAAGGGGCGGGTCACTTGGCCGACGGTCTACGATGACCGGCACGCCACAAAAGGGTGGCCTGGGGTGGGGGGGGGGGGTCAATGTCGATCTCGTGGCCCCTCGGAAATGTATTAAAGGCCTCGCGAGCTGTGAGACAATTTGAGCTGAAGCTCCTTTTGACAGTTCAGTTTGTAATGTAGAGATTAGATCACGATTATTATGTCTTTGTTTTCAATCAATTATTTAGCGGAAGCCTCGACATTGCGAAATTTTAAAATTTCTTGCTGAAATCTATTCAAACGAAAACTGAATATCTAATAAAATTCCGCTTTTGATAAATGGACGACCAACCCACTTGTTTAGAAGAAAAAACGCACTTCAAACAAACTTGGATCACAAATGGGAGTCGTCGGCGTCTTTGTTTTCTTTGATTTAATAACTACTGAAAGAGGTAACGCTAGTGACGTAATAGTGACGGTGTGTTTTCTATTCCTGAATTATTATAGTGCGTAGCGTCACTCATTACGTCGAATTAATAATTAGCATGCCCAGAATGTTATTACATGGAAGTAGTTAAGACTTGCGTTTAGTCTTTCCTCACATTATGGATGCGGGGCATAAACTATAAGTGCGTTATTGTGATGGATTTTAACAGCGCGTCAGTATTTTTCTTGAATAATTGTCTTATTAATATATTATGTGTATGTATGAAATCGTGACCACTTGTTGAATTGTTTCTTATTCCAATGATTCACATTTTAATACAGCATTTTGTGATAGAAAAAACGTTGACTAACAACAAAACATGGGGCATAGGTGTTTCTTTCTCCTTAATATTTGGAGCGTATTTGAGGCGCGCAATGATGATAAAGATGATGATGCCGATGATGATGCTGATGCCAATGATGATGCTGACGATGGTTATGATGATGATGGTGACAAAGATAATGATAGGATGATGATGACGGTGATGGTGATGATACAAAGATGATAACGATGCCAAAGATGATGATAATGATAGAGGATTGTGTCAAAGCTGATTATGATGATGATGATAGCAAATATGATAATGATGACAAAAATGATGATGATGAGGATGGCACAGGATTATGATGCTGACGGTGATGGTGAGATTATGATGATGATGGCAAAGGTGATGATCATCAAAATAAATGATAGATGATGATGAAAAAGATGCTTATGATGATAACTGTGAAAGTAGTTACGATGGTGCTCATGATTGTGAGCGGTGACACCCTCGGTGCTGATAATGACATGATTGAGAGACGTATTGATGTTGACACAGAGACAATCCATTAGTAAGAGAGTGGTGATCATGAACAAAGATGATTAGCCTAGATGAATAAATTAAAAACGAAGGTCCTGTTGCTACACGGATACATCTACCTGCAAGTTCGATCTTGATGAAAGATTGGAATTAACTCATAGTTCTGCCTTCCTCCTTTCTTCTTTCTCTTTCTTGCTCTCTCTCTCTCTCTCTCTCTCTCCCTCTCTATATCAGTCTCTCTCTCCTCTATCTCTCTCTCTTCTCTCTCTGTCTCTCTCTCTCTGTCAGTATCTCTCCTCCACCCTCTCTTTCTCCCCATGTCACTCCCTTCCCACCACCCTTTCTCTCTATCTATCTAACTCACGGTCATGTATACACGCACTTTGAGAAACCCAAAGCAAAGCAAAGGAACTGTAATTTCTCAGAGTTTTATCATAACTATCATTTTCCCCAAGAATATTCAATTTTCCTGTGTATATTATGCTTAGGCCTACTTTTCTGCTTACTTTATTGTGCTTTTCTTGGTCGGCTCGATAACTAAGACTTTTATCATGTTCCTTTCAACAGCCTTTACCGCAGAAAACTGGAAGCGTGAAAGGAGTGACGTCAGTTTCGTATTTACAATATAAAGGGGGTCGTTTAAAATCATGGGATTATTATGGTAGCCCGGGAATTAAGACTATTCAACCGTAGGAGCTTGGTAATAATTATCAGCAACAAAGGAGTGTGTCTCCCAAGAGGCGAATGTTGAATACCGGAGTCTTGGATGTACTCCAAAACGTGCGTTGTAATGAGCAGTATTGATTGTGGTCATGAATAGCTTTTAATCCCTCCCTCCCACCAATATTGACCAGTAGGTCCATGCATGCTATGAACGTTCCAGGACTTGGTTATCTCTACAGGTCTCATGATTGATTAAAAGACGGAACCGGCTTGCGTGTATTTGGAAAATATCGCTATTTCGCATAGTTTTACTTTCTGTTTCACCGCACTACTGTACATGTCATGACTTGGGAATTTTCATGAAAGACTGTTATACCATTACAAGGATTATCAACTCGGGCCAAAAATCAATGGTCGAGCGTTAATTTGGAGCAAATGGTGAGCGAGTACGGCATTCAATAATTGGAAATTAATGGAAAGGATTTTTATTCTAGCCCACTTCTCCGCGAGTGCTAAATCGATCTCGATTTATTTACAAAACTGATAAAGCCATATACCCGTGTTGACGCAAGGTATTATTGGTCAGTGATGAGGATATTACTTATGTATGACGTCATCAGTAGGCATCAGCCAATGGAGGTATATTGCAAATGATTTTTGCTGTGGATATTATTCAGTTGAGTTATTATCTGCTTCTAGATCTAGTATCACATCCTCGTTCAACATCAGTACGAAAGCTAACTGTTCCAGATCAGCAAGAATAAAGTAAGCTTGCTTTGCCGATGACGAGACGCCTCGTACACTCCACAGTGACCAGTGTATTGTGTTTGTATTATATAGTCACTTGAGTGATAATTACTCTCGGCAGCAGATATCAAAGAACAGTTTGAAGGAATCATAAATTTGGCTGCATATTCTGACAGGGAGTGATCGAAACCGGCCAGTTTGATGTCAGATTTCGATTGATTTAAAGTTTTAAAATTGCTCATGACCGCGATTGTATCTTGATTATAACTGCAGAGTCGGAAAAAACATCCTAGGAAAACATCGAACTATTTAATTCACAGGTAAGGAATAATCTCGAATTTAAGTTCCGAGTTTATTAATTTTGTTCACATCTCATTTAAAAAACAGCAAGTAAATATTACAACATTGCATATTACCCAGTAAACGAGAAAATACATACAGTAAATTCACATAAAGTACATGGTTACATAAACTGGGACGATAACTTAATTAGAAATTAATTCAACAAACGCACACACACCAAAAAAAAACATATAACAAAATATTGTATAATATGAGGATGTGGGGGAATCTGCAAAGGCTGAAAAGCATATTAGTGGCCAATAAAATTCCCAATTATTTGAAATGTTATATTACGTATACATTACTAAAGCATACAAAACTACAAACATAAGGCAAGATTACTTCTTTATACATGTATGTTTACTTCCAAAAAATAATCTTTGTACATGTATTTGTGTTAAATTGAGAAAGTAAATTTGATTTTTTTTTTCAACTCATTGGGCATTTCATTCCAGCTATTTACTATAGTGAAAGTAATTGTATTGCGTGAAAAAATTATACTTGTATAACGGCAAATGTATATAACTTTTACGTACGAGTACTGTGACTTTTGATAGCACATTTAAAGTTAAAATTAAAAGTTAAATTTCTAGGGTAAAAGGTTGTTAAAATATGGAAACATACAAACTGTAATCTATTTATTTCCATTACTTGCAAAGTTTATATTTTTTAAAGATCACTATGGGATATTGGTGGTACAATAGCAATAGGTGTATAGCACGTTTCAATATTAGACTATGATTCTATCTAATAGATATAATGCACAATATTATTGCCCCAGATGATATTGCAGTATACATATAAAATGAGATAAAATAAATGTGTTGTATAATGTTAATAACATTCTTATGGGAATTATTTCTATTAGCCGATTTAATACGCCGATAGTCTTTCAATATCTTTTGACAAGTGGCATTCACATGTTCTTTCCAGATTAGGTTGGCATCAATATGAACTCCAATAAATATTGTAGAGTTGGAGAGAACTCGTTGTATTTTATAGTTACCAACCAACACATGTAAGGCATTAAACAGCATATAACATTCACACACTCAAGATAGAAAGATTATCGAGAGTCCTTTTTCAGGACTTCTCAATCCTCCCTCTCTCTCAAATGGTGCAACCGCAAGCCTACTGTACAGTGCGGCCCAAAAAGAACTATACACTTTTGAAATGGCTGCCGAATAAAAAAATATATAATTCTGGAGGAAAAGTTTTGTATGTATGGAAAGCTCATAAACTCAACTTTCATATGACACCAAAAACATCATAATAAAACATGCAATTCCTGTTCACTCATGCATAAAAGTTTGGTTTAATAAACCATGAAATTCACTCGGCAAATCATGAATGTATCATATCACCCTCAATTTTGTATAAGCTCCAAAGGCTTTACCTCTCACAAATTGGAAGGCTAATTCCTGCGCAACCTAATTTTCATACCCTTTACAAAAGTGAGCAGTGCTCACCCAAGCATGAATTATTTTCGGACTGGTGTCATATGAAAGTTGAGTTTATGAGCTTTCCATACATATAAAACTTTTTCCCCAGAATCATATATTTTTTATTCGGCAGCCATTTCAAAAGTATAGTTTTTTTTTGGACGCACTGTATAGCATATAACATGTCTTTTAACAATTCAGGGCTAATTTACCAAATCTACAAAATGTTACCCCTATACACTGTAGATGGACATGTTGCGAGCAAGATCAGATGATGTTATTTAAATGGGGAAGAGGGAACTTGCCCCTTACATATTGACCTCCTAAGTTTAATATACCGGTAGATCTTATTTATAATTAAAGTCAATATGAGTATCAAAGTTAATGGGAATTTGACTAATTTTTGTTTCTGTTAAATAAAAATAAAAAATGTCTTTCTGAAATGGTTTAGGGCATAACCCTCGACGGCTCTTCAGACAGTCCCTTTTAACGTTTTCTGCAATGCTAGCTTAACTGCTTCTGAAGAGTCAGACTAATGCAAGAACTTTAATTTGTAAAAGGTACTTCCTTCATAATCGAGAAAAGAAATGAACAAGGAAATACTGTAGGAATTGAAAGTAGTGTATATGCTCATTAAAGGAAAGATCGTCACACAAACAAAGTATTACACTACTCTGATCATCAATACAGAATATCAAATAACACAGGAAAGAAAAGAAAAGAAACCAAATAATCAGTAAGAAAAAGTAATATATAGTCATGTAGGTCCCATTAGAATGATGTCCGAATTCGAAAGAGGAAATAAAAGTCTAAAAATAACGTTGGGGAAAATTTTACCCAAAGTCTCTTAATGATAAGTGCATCGGAGTAGAAACTATTATATTGAAATACAAATGAAGGCATTACAAAGACCTTGAAAATTGTCAAAAGATTTCGAAATATATGTAGTTCAATATTTTCTTTGTCAAATTTGAAAAGAACCATTTTTCATACCGGTACATTTCAAAGAGTAATATCAAAAGCTATAGAAAACGTACCACCACCACGACGCAACTATATTTAAACGGATAGTCAAGTAAATGATCTCTGATTTGTATTCTACATGTACATTATTAAGCAGTGTTATCTGCAATTCAGAAATCAATCTACAGTTGAAGATTGATTCTGGTTAGAGATAATAGGTCTTCGTCACTGTTGTTTAAACGAAGAGCTTTCTTGAAGTACTAAGTTGATGTATAATGTAGATGCTGTGTATTATGAAGACTAAAACTTGAATGCTATTTCTATATTTTTTTCTTTTTTAACAGGATCATTATGCGATGCAGTGCGGATTAACAGACACTGATAGAGCAATGAGGTTATCCGTATGGACGGCTCCATTTTATGAAGTTCGAACTGCGTAGCTACTTCGTTCGGCAGATTCGATTTAATCTACGACCATGACGTCGACATCGAATCTAGAGAATGAGACAACGATGGCGACGATGACGGTTATGCCTGGAGATCACGGCGTGGTTCTCAGTTGCTCCTGGGCGGAAAGCGGACCAAACAGGACCAAAGCACAAGATGTCCTCAGCCACGGGCTCAACGTCCACATCTACCTGTTCGCTTCGTGCTACGCGCTCATGCTCATCTACGCGATATATGCTATCATACGCCCCTTCAGGCAACGTCAAACTAGCAAACGTCTTGGCGTGGCTTTACATACTATGATTGCAATGACGTCATTAACGAGATCGTTGTCGTTGTTTACGGACCCGTATGGTTTACGCGGAATCATACCCTGTCCTTTCAACGTGATCATCTGGTCGTTCGGGTGGCCGGGGGTTGTATCTTCGAACAGTATTTTCTTCCTCGCCGTGCTCGAAACGACGAATCTCACCAGCGTTTCGCGGCGATTCCAGCGCTTTTCAGTTCTCCTCACCATCATCGCACTCAGCCTCGGGTACGTTCTCTTCACCGATCTCCTCGTATCGTTCCTACCGAACTCCATCCTCGCCGTGGTCGTCTGCGAGATCATGTTCATTGTCTGGGGTATTTCCCTCACCGTCGGCTTCGTATACGTCTGGTGGAAAATCCGGAAGAACCTCGCGGCGTCCTGTCCAAGGAACGCCCGCGAACGACGTCGGTCGTCTCTCAACGGATCGCTGGTCGCCGCCCTTAAAAGTGAAGCGCGTCGACTGAACCGTCTCGTCAATATTCTAATCATCAGCGCGTTGGTTTGCCTTACTCTTACACTATCTCATCTCGAGCCCGTCTTCTACGTATTGCATTGTAGCATCTTAGACTTTATCGAAAACCCATGGCAATGGATTTTTTATCAAACAGGACAAAGAGTCTTCGAGATCAGTATGTGCGTTCTCATAATGGTGGCCATGTTAAACTCATCTCATAATCATAAAAAGAAAACTTCTGACAAAGAAAAGATTGTTAACAAAATAGCCCTTGAAAGCGGAATGGAGAATAAGGGAACTAATTCTCGGTTGGAGCTTCCAAGAACAGACATGCAACTGAGCTTTGACGAAAAGGAGTATGACTATTCACACAATGATGGAAGAGAAGGAATATTGTAGTATTATTAAAGAACTTTTCATTTCTTTATTTATTTATCAATCATTTTAATACCTTTGAAATGTAAACGATACCTTGTTTTTGAAGCACAGGTGTGCACTGTTGTGTATGTTTACTCGATCTGTTTGCTGATGTTTGTTGGATATCAGTATTATGTGTATTTTCTATCCACAGGCATATCAAGTGTTGTTAAGATAGAAACAAAAGCGTAGCCAGAGAGGGGGGGGGGCATGGGCGGAGGAAGGTGACACACAGTATTGATCCCTCCAAACACATATAGAGTAAGGGTCGGGTAGGGTCAAAGTCTTGACACCTGAAATTCTATGGATGGCCTTTCGTTATTTTATTTATCAGCGGCGGCTGAAAAGGGGGCATGGCCCTTGCCCCCTCCTCTGTCTATGTCTTTGTTTATTTCTTTGAAAGAATTCGATTTTATTGCACTTTATATGGCATACAGTTTACTGTACTTCTTACCGTATCTGGCATAAGTCACCATGCGTGTCATTTTTTTCTTCTCAAATTCAAATCGTCAGATTCCGGAAATTTTCGTAACCGAATTTCGATGAGTGGACTGGGAGGGATCGGGGGTAGCCGCCCAAAATTTACCGAATTAAATCCAGCTCACCTCGTATAATACATCTACGTTTTTAAGACGATTTTAGTCGTGATGACGATGCTTTTTAGTTGTTTGTTTTGTCAAAACATTACGATCAAAGCACTTTTTGAGGGGAAAATGGTTATTCTAGAATATTTTTTTGCTGTGCTACCTCATACTTTCTCATCTTAATCGTCACCTTTTCAAAAAATAGGGACACAAGAGAGCGGATAAAATCATATTTTACTATCACTCATGTACCTTGTAACTTTTCTCTTCTCACGACATTTTAGTAACTTTGTTATCTACACATGAAACAAGAACAAAGTTAAGGAAACTCTTCTTTCCGTATGAAGTTTTGTAACTTGGTTATACACTGTATCTGCAAATATAAAAGATATTGTTTAAAAGAGCACAATGGTATTGACCAAATGCCAAATACATGTATTTCAAAAATATAAAAAGATAATGTTACTGTGCACTATTTCCCGTCAGGTATTATAGCTTTTTGCGACCTTTCGATTTTACCTTTTGAATTAATTCAATTTTATTTTATTCAGTTAAAAAAGACAACATTACCGTATAACAATCAGATATATAACAAGAAATACACGCTAAGAGCATAATATGCATAAGAGCATAATATTGGACAAGGAAATAAAATAAACTGAATAGGTTGCAACCTAAAAGGAAACAATATAATCCTTTTTAAAGGGAAATCCAACCTCAATAGCAAGTTGCTGTTAATTGAACAGACAAATCGGAGATCGAGGCAGATTTTGTGACTGTTGTTGCAACGAAATCGTTGATACGAACAAGATTCAAAAGAGTTGACACATCATATGAACTAATATGACAATGATTTAATTGCCTTTAAGCATGAAATCTGATTGCCTGGGTGAAATTTGTCTCACGATTTCTTGGTCAATTATTATTACAGGATTTAATGTTAATATAGAGCAGTTTATAGTACCCTTGCATGTACAGTGATTATTTGTAAACTTATTGACACTCAAACTAAAACGCTGCACGTATAAGTTTGCCTGTTCGACTTGTGTTATTTGTTATGCAGTGCCTCCTTCATTTAGATGGAAAACATGGAGATAAGGAAATGAAATTGAGGCAATATTTGTATATAGATAGCAGAAAGAGAGAGAGAGGGGGGTGAGGGAAAGAGAGAGAAAGAGAAGGGAGAGATGGAAGGAGTGAGAGAAGGGGAGAGAGAGAGAGAGAGAGAGAGAGAGAGAGAGGAAGAGAGAGAGAGAGGGAGAGAGAGAGAGAAAGATAAAAACATAGAGGGGAGATGTAGGCCTAGCTACCAATAAAGATTACGGTGAATCGGTGATAGTAGGAGAGGAGAGGAGTAACATACAGGGGTTTAGAGACTGATGGAGGAAGGAGTGGAGAGAGCGGAAGTGGGGAGGGAGGAGGGATAGAATGTAAGTAGGGATGAGGGAGGTAAGAGGGAGAGAGAGAAGTAGAAAGGGGAGAGAAAGCAGATTAAAGACAGACACATCAGATTTCTATTATGTTAAAGGTAAAGACCAGTATTGGAAACGCCCCAATTTCAAAAAATGAAATGGAAGCTCTCATTACCAATCATGTGAAAGAATATGTTTTGACTAATACATGATGATAAAAATTTGCCGGGAAACCGCCTACTAATTCATATATTTGGTAAATTTGTTTCTCTCATGGTCTGTGAGAGATATAGGGTAGTCCCATATACATCTTTCTGTGTATAGTGCTTGTAACTTTACGAAGAATGGGCCAAATTTCTTATCATTTTGATGATTCCAGAACCTTGCAGATGCTAGATCCTAGATGATCAACCTTTTCTGATCGATTCCACAACGTTTCTTTCACAATTATGGAATCGCATGACCATAACTGGCCTTTACCTTTAATGAAACTGACACATTTTTGAGGATGGAGAAACAGAATGATGGAGAAAGTGTCGAGACATAAATATGGAGGGAGACTAAAAAGGGGTTGAAGGGAGATGAGGTCATATGTAGGATACATTAACGGAAAAAGATGGCGAGAAGTGGAGAGAGAGAGGGGAGGCGGTATGTGAGAAGGAGGGGTAGGGGAAGGGGGGGGGGGTGGTTCGACCACTGGACTAAAAGAACAATATGTATAAAAAGGGTCGAATCGAAATAAATTCAAAATATATTACGCGTTCCTCTCCTCCTCGTACTGAATTAGAAAGGTTTTATTCAAGAGGGAGGACACCATTCCCTTTTGGTTTATTGAAATCCTTTCCCCCTGTAAGTCCTACCTGCTCATAACTACACCAGGTTCTAATCACCATTTATCTGTATAATGTACATGTACTTTGTCTTCTTAAAGGCAGGCGCGGATCCAGGAACCCATTTATATCGGCCCGGCTATGGCAACCCCTTTGTGTAAAAACTAGATAAACTCTGTTTTTCTCAGATAAACTCTGTTTTTCTCAGATAAACTCAGTTTATCAACAGATAAACACAGTTTATCAGAAAAACTCAGTTTATCAGTTGATAAACTCAGTTTATCAAGAAAAACTCAGTTTATCAATGATAAACTCAGTTTATCAACAGATAAACAGAGTTTATCAGATAAACAGAGTTTATCAGTTGATAAACTCAGTTTATCAGAAAAACTCAGTTTATCAGTTGATAAACTGAGTTTATCATTGATAAACACAGTTTTTCTGATAAACTGAGTTTATCTAGTTTTTACACAAAGGGGTTGCCATAGCCGGGCCGATAGAAATGGGTTCGTGGATCCGCGCCTGCTTAAAGGTACTATGTCCCATTTGCAGGCCAAAAAAATGAAAAAGTTAAATTCCAACTGCATTTGAAAGATAATACTAATTTAGAACTTCCCTAAAAAAGGTGGGGCTTAAAAATGTCTTCAAGTGGGAAAATAACGACTATTAGTTGTCAAATCGACTTTAGGGCTATAGAGCCCAAAAGTAATAGTCTTGATTTTCAGACATTGTACCGAATGGTCATACGTTTTATGCTGCGCAAAGATTCAATCAGTTTAATCTTGGCCATCACAAGAAGTGGGTTATTGATGTAGACAAATGCTCATGTACCCTTTACAACTCTTTTCATGTATGTTATTACCAAAGAAAAAAAAAGCCAGTCAGTCACTCAATAGCGTCTGACAGTGAAGTCTAGCAAGTAAACAGGTTTCCTTGCATAACTTGAATATGAGGACACTGCTAACGTTTACATTTCACAGATAGGACATACATGACATATTCATAATTCCTGCAAAGTTCTACAGCATTTGAGGTTGGCTGCAAAAGGGACATAGTACCTTTAAGACCTCCCCCTCCACACTTCATCTCTCTCTCCCCCTTAGCCTTTTCCCGGTTAGTCTATCACCATGTTCCTCTCCATATTTCTCTCATACTCGCTCAGTCCCTCTTATTTGTTTTACTCTTGATTCATGGTCAGACTGCATAATCATATATGCAGCCCTGCCCCCTCCCCCAACCCAAAATAAAAGATAATAGTAACCTTACGAATGGGCCATTGTGCACAACGGCAAAAAAGGACCCGCCATCTGCTCGAGGCTTTCAAAACTTTTTTTTTCTTCAAAGATAGAGTCAGGGCTGCAACAGAATAGGCCATTTCCGAAATGTAATCAAATTTAATGCATAAGGCTTTGTCAAGTGCCTCATTAGAAATTGTTTCATTCACCTGTTACAAATAATTGTATTACAAATAACCACTATGAACATGACGGACAAAGAAAGCGGACAAAATATACAGTTCCTCATTCTACCCTCAACAATTGCTATGGTAGACAAGGAACATGTCCGTCATGTTCATGGTGTACATACACTAGTTGTTACTACGTAGGACAAACAGTATGGCTGACATTTCCTAACAACACGTAATGTATGCAGTTTGCATTCTGACTATTGAAATACAGTTATTTGTAACAGGTGAATTAAATAATTTGTAATGAGGCATTTAAGTATAATATTAATGCATTACATTTGACTACATTACAAAACAGGCCTATTGTAGGTCATTAGTTTTGAGGTGTAATTACCTATGTACAGAGATGCCAACCTTCTTCAACAAAAAAAAGTATTCTTAAGAGCAAAAAACAGTATTTTTGGACAAAAAACAGTATTTTTGAAAAAATCTCTCAACTTAACATATTGCCCAATCGAGCAGCTTAAAAAACCTGGCAGTACCACGTATAGGTACCCGAATCGGAGCGCGACGTGCATACATTACACGTGGGTTGTTCGCAATGTGCGCAGTTTTGGGCCCGTATCACCATCTTGCGTGCATCGTTTGAAGATGTAGGTGCATAATACACTTACGACACAAAGCCCATGATCAGAAATTAAGAAAAACATCCCTAAAAAAAAAAAAAAAATTAAATTAAAAAAATTAAAAAAACGTAACAAAACATACAAAAAACGTACTGCCGTATTCATAGCGAAAAAATGGAACAAATACGGCAAAAACAGAACAGTTGGCATCTCTGTATGTATAATGCACAATCCAGGTTTGAAGTTAGAAATTTGGTTAGTGTAAGAAATCGATCGTAAGAGCAGGTGTTGCAGAACTATAAATTACGTGTAATCCAGAAGTATTAAACAGTTACACTCATTTCATTCATGTGTAAGAGCAATTCAATGCTATATTATTTTGCAGACTGAAAATTCAAATATTTACATAGTTTACATTATATACAAACAAGGAAAGCTTTTCTAATATATTACAATCACCTGGCTGTCAACAAACTAATTTATAACATTCTGCGGCAAAACAAACATACTTTAAATTATACGCCATAATGTTGTAATCATCATACATTTTACGTATGCTGCTTCGCATATTATAGGTCCACATTTTAAGAAACCTTAAACATGAAGCATTATGAATTTCTGAAAATCAAGATCATTAAACACACAGGAATATATGAGAAAATGTAGTCTTGCAAATGTATTGACATTTTTGTCCAACTCTAATTTCGTTACATACACAAAGTAACAAAAAAATGCTTTAAAGACAGAAACACATATTTAGAGCATTCCTCAACAAATTTGCTTATACATGTATGTACTATCGGAGAAGACCTAAAGCCGTCGGTCCTCTGGCTGCTTACTAACAAGCATTTATGCTCTCTTAGTAGTCAGGTTAAATAACCATCACTACTACATTTTCATTCTGAGATCAAATAATGAAACATACTGGTATAAAATGTGTCATAGAGAGGAAGCACTTTTGATTTTAATAAAGTAGCAGGCATATTCAACAGGCTTGCAGTAGATTTGGAGAATCTACTTTTACTTCTCTTTTACCTTTTCTCTTTTCATGTGGATTGAACTTGTTTTTATATCTTTTTTTAATAGCTTTTGTATGTTTTGCCAGCATGTGAACAAGTATTGAGCTGCTGAGAAGCAGAGACTATCATCATGTTACTGCAAGCTGACAGGAAACTTTTCCAACTAGCTTTTAGAAGTCACTCTAGGGTTGCTTGGCGAAAGTGAAGGTAGATTTAAACATGTCAATCTTGATTTGCGAAATTCGGCACTAGGAGTAAATGAGCACTTTGAAATTCAGAACCTTAAAATTAAATTGCCAACTTTTCAAAATACATGTAACCATAAATATAAACAGCCTGAAAATTAAAATTCTATTTCATCACATCACTTCCATCTCTCATTTAAATTTCGTGCTTCACGATGATAATACAAAGTGCATCAACCCATGTCAAGCAATAAACGATTCAAAACAGAAATTGTGGGAATAAACTTTCCTCAACTTTCAGTGTTCCTCATATGGTGACAATTCCATTTAGAGATAAAATCTACAGAGGCAATTTTTCATATAAATAATGCATGCACTTTTGCCTTTGTGCATAAAAGCATGCAATTTTAATCTTGGAGAAAAAAAAACAGAGCTTTAGTTTAGAATTCAGAAAATACATGTTTTCTATGATTTACAGGCCTACATTTGGTAAGTCTAAAGAATGTTTACATAGGGGAAGGAGGTGCCTTGCTGATAACTGAGAGAATTCACTGTGTATCCTGTAAAATGTTAACGTTATATAACATAGTGATTACAAGTTTGCCCCGTAGCCTGTGTACACAAATCAATGCCCTGACCAAAACAATAGGAGCATATCAATTTCTTCTATTATTTCAGAAAAGAGATTTTGATTGTCATTTAAAAACAATTAAAATGCACCTTTTGGATGGTGTTCCCATTGATGAGTCACTGAATCATTTATGTACATGTATGCTACTTATGCAAGCTAATTAATAATTTGGCATTGTACCGATTGGTCACAAAAAATTGTATACTTCTTTGAACAAAGGTAATTTTGATAGAATAGCAAACCCTTACTTTTAAAAAGATTTTAGCGTTTGATGATGTATCAATGAACAGCATGTCATCCACCATTTATATAGTAATAAGCTCTAGAGACTGAAAGTCACCGATGCTCTGTGTGACAGGAACAGTAACTGGATTGTTTTGATCCCTGACTTGAATCATTACGGGAAAGATGGATGTATCGGTTGGGACCACAGAAGCCGACGCACCGTTATTTACGTTGGAAGATAAAACATTGTTCTGAACTTGCTGCTGGATGAAAGTATGTCCATCACCAGCCCTGGAGTTGGGGTCTATGACTAGCTCTCCACTCTGTGCAGGGACTTGGACAGTGTTGCTCATGTCAGCGAGCTGTTGAGAGATCTCAATCAAGGCATCTGTTGCGATGGTGTAGGCTTGAGTCTCCTGAGCCTCTGCGCTGTCACATTCAGGGAACGGGATGAAGGGGTCTATTTTCTTTTTACGACGTCGGGAGGGAAGCACCCCGTCCGAGCGTTCAGGACCTTTGGTGAGTATCCTGCCGATAAGGATTTTGTGAGTCTGCGCCATGTGCTTCTTGAGCTGGGAGGAGTCCACGCAGCCTTGGCCACACTGCTCGCAGACGTAGGGACGCTCGCCAGTGTGGATCCGCATGTGCTTGGTCAGGTTGCCTTTCACAAGGAACGTCTTCTCACAAACGCTACAGGCATACGGGTGGATACCCAAATGCCAGTTCACATGCACCCTGAGTTTGAACTTGTCTCGGAAACCTTTCCCGCAGTGTTCACAAGGGTAGGGGTTCAATCCCGAGTGGACCTTCTCGTGCTGGTTGCGGAGGGATGAGCGGGAAAACAACTTGCCGCATTGTCTGCAAGGGAATTTCTTAATGTCAGTATGGATGGTTAGATGATGCTGCTTCAGGATGCCTTTGCTTTTGAAATTTGATCCACACAGGTCACAGAGGTATGGCTTGCCTTCCACATGGACAGTTTTCTTATGCGTCTTCACCTGGCTTTGAAGAAAGAACTTTATGTCACACATATCACAAGAAAACTCCTTCTTGCCAGAGTGTGTCACCATGTGGTCTTTCAAGCGATTCTTCATGTAAAAAACCCTGTCACAAAGCGTGCATGGATAGGAGACCTCTTTAGTGTGAACATTGTTTCTATGCCTTTTGTAATGGGTGATCTGTGTGAATACCTTGTCACAGAATTCACAACTAATACATTCTTTATGTTCTTTTCTGTGTTTCTTTAATTCAAACTTGTCCCAAAACACGAGCCTGCACATTCCACACTCAAACTTGGAGTTCATGGCTTTGTTGCGATGCATGATGAGATGCTGTCTGAACAGTGACCTTGCATTGAAAGTTTTGCCACATGTTCTGCAAGAGAATATTTTCTTTTTCTTTCCTTTAATTTTCTCCTCTCCATGCACCTCTTTAGTGTCGTTATTCAAATCTTCCTTCATGGCATCAGATGGTTCGACTTGGACTTCAGATTCTGTTTCGCTCTCTGCTGGGAGATCACTAGCTTCCTCTTCACTCAGCCCTTCCTTGATGTCTTCATCCTGCATTTCATCATCCTTCTCTTGGTTCTTCTCTGCTTGAGCAGCCTCTTCAGGATCGACCATTGGGGCTTGATCAGCCTCTTCAGGATCGTCCGTTGGGGTTTCCTCCTTCTCTGTCCCTTTCTTTTCACCAAACACATCCCTCAGCTTCACAGGTAGCCTGCGCTTCCGTTTGCTTCTGGTTTCTTGCAGCTTGTGCAGGTGAAGCGTATGCAGCTGAGGCTTCATCAGTTGAACCTTTCTTGGTTTCTCGTGCTTCGATCGAGTCTCTTCAGCAAGTTTCTTTGCTAACGAATCTCCCTTAAAGGAGCGTTCTCCAGCTCCTTTAATGCTTTCCTGTTTATGTTCTGAGGGCGTACTCTTAAAGGGCTGACCTCTTTTCTTTTTATTGCTCTCTTCTATTTCGAGGGATGTGTCACTCTTCCGGGGACGGCCCCTCTTTCTCTTAGCACTTCCTTGTACCTCTTGTGGAGGATTAATAGGGACAGACTTGCGGGGTCTTCCCCGTTTCTTCTTTTCTGGCAAGGGGGGTTTCCAATCATCGTCTTGCTCATCAGTAACCAATCCAGTTGTTTCAAGTTCCTCCTGGACTTTCTTTGTGGGTCTTCCGCGGGGAGGTGTTTTACTGCTGCAGCCATTCAGCACATGCAAGTCAAGTTCCCATAAGCTCGTCAGGACAGAGTTACAGATGTTGCATTCGTGCTCCTCTGGCGGTGGTGGTTCAAATGGTTCCTCTGCCTGTTCCGCCTCAGGTTCGGGGCCTTGACCCCCTCCAGCCAGGGTGCCTTCCTCCCTACCTCCTTCTCCTGCAGGGCTGTCATCATCATCATTATTACAATTGTTGTGATTGGATTCTTCTGCTGCTTCTTGAGTTTCATCTTTATTGTCTGTCTTGCCCTGAGAGGTGTCTGGTTTTTGTAGAATGACTGGGAGGAAAAAGTAAAAGAAAAGTGTTCATTAATTTCTAAATACTATCTAAAGCCAAAAACGACTTCTCCTCAATTCATTACATGATTTGAAAACTTTGTTCAATGAAATAAAAACGACCCCACCCCACCCCACCCCGTAAAAACGGCAGATATCTCTATTTTAAACCTTCATCCCCTGTCACTACATTTAGAAGAAAAACTAGATGGATCTTTGACTGCGTGCAGTTGAAATGATGCCTCCGCCATAGAGCGATTTTACAAACCAAAACAGAAGCAATATTTCAAATTCAAGTTTGATTCTAATCCATTAAGGTTCTCAGAATATTGTGATCAGTTCAAGAAAAACACTTCTTTGGCAAGGCAAGGGATCTGCTGGTACACGAACCTACTATAAACTCCTACCATCTTTTTCATTGAACTATTGCAACTTACTGATTGTCTGCAGCTCGTTTTCATCCTCAGGATTCTTCTGAACACGGAACTGAAGCGCCCCTATCTGAAGCAGGAAATTGGCTACTGCAAATTTGTCTGAATTTAGAAGAAAAAAAGGCAATGAGATTTAACATAATGCTCCAGTAACAATCAAGATTTGCACTGATCACATACAAAAAAACAAAAATAGAAAGATTTGCACTGTTCATCTCAAATAGGCAAATACTAGGGTATACAATGTATGTCCACAGTAAAGGACAATGTTATATGATGCATTATGATTCATATATTGTATTGTGTAGCTCTCCGGAAAAAAGGAAACACAAACAACAATCAATGCAGGTTGTATGTACACCCCCCCCCCCCCCCCCCCCGCCTCCTCCTCTGGATGTTGGCACAACTGACCTTTGCCCCCCCCCCCCCCCCCCCCCCCCCCCCCCCCCCCCCCCCCCCCCCGCCTTCCTCAAACCCACTGTGGTATACATTTCTTTTCTTTCTTTTTTTCCAAGATGTTTTTTTAAGACACCTGAACAACCTTGAAAGCTTTTCATAATTTCTTTTGAAATTGATTCTGAATTTTGGTTGACATTTTTTTCTTCAGAAACCTTGACCTGCCCCCAACCTAAGAGCTAGAATTTTACCTCCCATAGATGCACTTTTGTCATAGAGCTTCTTGATGACTTGTTTGCTCTCCGATTCAAATGTGGTGCAGACATCACTGATACGATCTCCAGTTGATACATGGTCCCAAAAGTCATGGATATCTGTAAATGATCAGAGACAAGTATACTGTTAGAACAGCGAAAAGAATTCTAAAAGGAAGCATTCTTTTAGAATAAGGATGTGTACTTATTATAAAATATTGAGTATAAGAACCATTCAAATACAACTAAGATAGGAGACTAGGAGTAGAGTAAATGTAGTCACATCAGAAAATCTCCCTCATTAACTTCTGTCAAAAAAAATAAACATGAAACAAATTAAAGATGTCAGGAAGAAAAATGTTTTTTCGTAAAATCAAACAGCTTAAAGGGATAGTTGAGTTCTGTTTTCAGACCACAAATGCCTTCAAAGTGCATGGTTATTGCTCTTATTTTTATCTACGACATTTATAGTTCCCTTTTAGAACCTGAAATTGCTATGAAGGTAATTTTAGACCCAAAATGTGTGAAATTTAGCCAATACGATCATACCAATTTAGCTCCACTTTAAAAAAAACATGGTGACCGTTAATTAATTATCTAATCAAAAATAACAATAGATGAGCCGGCTAATTTTGGGTAATATAAGCAACACGAAAATGCCAACAAAAAAGCCAACATCAGCATTGGTTGAAATACAACATAAAAGGCGTTATTTCGTTTTTTTCAAAGGTTTTTTCAAATTTTTCAAATTATCTTCACCATTTTATTTTCATTTCAACTCCAAGACTTGACTTCAAACATTTTTACAGGCATTATTATTTCATTTATTAATCTCTAAACCATGAGTAAATGATGAATATTTGTGATAGCTAGTGCTATTAATTTGACACTCATTTTTCATGTAATTCAAAGACAAAACAAATTTCCCATGGTGATGCCTTTATTTTTTACCCAACTAGGTCTAGAAGGTCAAGGCTGAAGCGCCAAAGCAAGCAAAGGGTAAGCAAGATAAGTTAAGAGTTATCAAGGTCTAAAGGATTATACATGTATATAACCCCAGGGGAATACTCAGGTTTGGTTTGGACAGGGGCTGGGGTGTGCTGCTGAAGCCTCAAATTCAAAACCCCTACCCATTTTAAAGATAAACTTGAGTTCTGGTAAAAAAAGAAAATGAATTCTCACAGAATCTAACGAAACTTACACTGAATGTTCAAGATTACAAATAAATGTCATGTGCCAAACAAATTTGGAAGAAAATGTATACTGGCTGAGTAATGAGCATAGAAAGATAAGGAAATCAAGGTACCGGTAGTACTACTACTAGCCCCGACACTATGCGTGTTGTCCCATATGAATCTTTCTGTGTAAGTGATTGTTACTTTACCAAGACTCTGCCAAATTTATGATGATTTTGATGACTCCAGAACCTTGCATTTAATACACACCATTACTTACATGCTATATGATCAACTTTTCTGATCCATTCCACACCTTTTCTTTCACAATGCAATCGCATTACCAGGTCTAGAATCTATATCTAATTAGTTTATTCATTTGGGGGGATTTTTACAGCCCATTATTAATCACAATTGTTGGTTGTTAGCCAGCCACGCAAACACCAGAAAATTTTTAAAAACCTGACCCATATGTTTAGAGAGATTTTTGTTCAGAATGTGAACCAATGTTTACTGTTTCTGGATTTTTGTGTGAAAAAGTGACCAGACTAGACTGTAGTAGTCTAGAGACGTGTCTCCCCCCCCCTAAGAAACATGAACGATGCAACAAGGTGCATGAGGATAGCATTTGTGGAACTCTAGCCCCAGGCCATAGCTCATACATAACAACAATGAACAAGGTGCGGTACCGTTTTGTATCCATTTCTGACTTCACTAGATCTAGGTCTCTGATACATGATCACAGTGTGACAATTCAACTGTCGTGCATAGCCACCCATACACTCAACACACGTTTCTCACATACACTGTCTATGTCACGCCAGTTGTCCAAAATATTTTTTAGCTTTTCGTGAAAAATAAATTTTAAGTTACCCTTCTGGCTAACGACATGAACTTGCGATGCCTCTTCCGACTCCTGCCCTATATCTCCTGGATCATTTTCGACATTCTCCATCGTGTTTTAGCCACTCCAAGGCGCTTGATATTTAGGCGTTTTATTCACGTAAATTTTAGGAAAACCGTTGATAAAAATCCGCAATTTTTATTTAAGACAAGCGCCATCTAGCGGCGTGTTCGTATGTATAATAGCGCTAGCTAGCGCTAGTGTGAAGATGAAGAAAACAAATTTAGCTGGCTTGCTCTTGACGATGGCTTTCAATCCTTTTTCTTTTAATACAGATAACAATGAAAATTGAATTATAGATATGCCCAGGGCGGGAGAAGAGGTAGGTATAAAGTTTCAGTGTAGTGGACCCCTCTTATTTTCTGGAATTTTTTTTTCTCTCTCCCTTTTATAGCTTATAACTTCTTCTTCTTTTCTTTTTCTTTTTCTTTTTTTTTTTTTTTTTGAGGGGGGGGGGGGGGGGGGCAAAGATCTTGGACCCCTGTGCCCCTAGCTCTTAGCTTTTCAAAAATCCTCGAACCACCCCTGTTTTCAGCCTATGTATAACTACATACGAAAGGAAAATCAAGCAGTCATTGGTTAATAAATAAAGCCAGTTATTAATCCATCAACCAATATATTAAACAACATATTATGGCAATATATCTCTCTCCCTATATTAGACATAAAAAAATAAAAAATAAAATAAAATCTTCAAAAGAGACAATGCTAAGTAAATCGGAAGCAAAGCTCCCCCAATATAAAAAAGGAATAGCTAGGGTTTTCAATTCTACCAGAAAGCATCATTCTAGGGACACTACATCAAATCAAATAACCGATCTACCCCCAAAACTTACAAACAACCCTTTATAGTATGCAGCAACATTACAAAATATAAAATGGTAGAAAATTATGACCTGATGAGAAAACATTTGGACAGCTTCAAAAAAAAAAAGCAGAATCTTTGGTTGAAATGGACTTTGTTATATAATACTTCGGTTACACCAAGGTAGTTAATTTTGCCATTCTAAATTATTGATACTCTTGTTGCCTTTTTTTGATAGTCCCAGGTAATATAACAAACAAGGATATGTCCTTGGTCCAAATTTGTTTTTTAATTAAATTGCATTCACCCCTTATTTGTCCTTCACACATAAATGTATTTGCAAAATACACAATGCATAAACTCCACATTGGAGCATATCCAGTCACCATTTAAAATTAGATAAACAGAATCAGATATTCAATTACAACACAAGACTGTTTGATTGAATACACACTTTATTCAGAAGAAAAATGAGACATAATATGTTATACATGTACTGTATTTACAATGAATTAAAAGACAGAATATTGTTTTTTCATTTTAGTAAAATATATAATCTGCACTATTAAAAAGATCAGAAAATCACTTTTTGCCCAGCTATATGTACATATATGTGGGATGAAAATGATAAAATATAGTGCAAGATTATCATCTAGCACAAGTCCAAATTAAATTACAAATATTCTGGTTAAAAACTTAAACTCCAAAATGGTCAATGCAGATATGACAGATATGCATGACAACCAATACCTCTTTAGCAAATATTCAAGTTAGTTTTCATAGAAAGTTTGTTTCTGTTAAAAAATGTACAGGTATGTGTAATTTTCAATGATCTGCCAGTTTTTACTCATACAAAATTTCTTTTCATCTTTGGTTCTTGACTTATATATGATATGATATATAGAGTGTACTTCACGCTCTTAAAGAAATTAGAAAGTATGAAAAGGGTAATACATGTATGAACAATAGATATACCTTTATTGCAGATTTTAAAAAATATATACATACAATGCATATCATAAAATGCGATAATTACCTTACAATCCCTACTAAATTTCAACTTCGGTGAATGATTTGCTCAGTATTTCCTCTCTTTTAAAACCATATGTTATCATTCAATTACATGTACCTGCAATGCAGCAAAAAAAACTTCATGGCAATACATATATCTTTCTGCCCTTGTTCATAATATAATTAGTTTTCCCTGCTTCGCCACTCCCCGGAACTTCTGGGCCTTTATGATGCTTTGGGAACAACGTATCAACCAAGTGTTCAACGGTTTTATATAAAGATCGCATTGAATAAAGGTTCAAGAAATGTCAAGATCCCACAACAATCTGCAGCAACATATAAACATAACAAAGCTTTTGGCGGTTTAAATAAAGATCGTACTAAATAAAAGTTCAAATGTCAAGATCCATCAACCAGTCTGCAGCAGTGGAACAATATAGGCTCCAGCAACGATTGCTTGCAGTCTATTTCCTCAGTATACTGAATGAATTCCTAACTTCAACCCCGGACCAAACCCAAGACCTAAACCCTCACCTTAAACTAACCCTAAAAGCCAATCGCAACTCGTACCCTAGCCCTGTGTCTTTAACAAAATAAAATCCGGAGCGAATGTTGGATCACTGCTGCAGCTGCATTCATGTATACATACATATAATTCATTTACAATCTAAAATAAAAAATAATTTAGTCAAAATATCATCTACAGCAAGATATTCAGAGAAATTTCAGAATAAAAAGTTTTAACAAACCGGATTTCAACGATGTAAAAGAGAATTTACACAGAGATAAAGCATTCAAAAAAAAAGAAGAAGCAACAAATGTCAAGGTTTCAATGATTTCAATTTCTTTACCATACATTAACAAAAACTGTACAAGAGCTATCTATCTACTGTGGTAGCAGAAACCTGAAACTTTTGTGATATGAAACTATTGAAAAGTGGGTGGGTATTTTGCAGCAAGAAATGTTTTCCAATCACAAAATTCCATGTAATCTTATGAGGACGAAAAAACCGTCACAAATCAATAGCATTCACACAATTCACAAATATTTTATGCATCCAAAAGTTTCTGCTTTTTACAGAAAGGCAGTATGTGAAACATGGAATGCACTTTTGCAGACAGCAGTATGTTTAGAGAAACAGAATATTGTTTGATCCCCTCAGATGTGTAGCTACAGGGGGGGGGGGGGTATGGGCATTTGCCAACTAATGGCAGAAAAGGAAAAGGAAAGGAACGTGAAATAAGATAAAAATGAAAGAAAAGAAAAGAAAAGTCAGAGTTAAGAAAAGGAATGCAATACTGGTAAGACCTAATCCAATTTTGTTAATTCACATTTCATCAACCTTATCTAAAGGCTGGTGCCCCCCCCCCCCACCACCACCAACTTTACTTTACCAGTATCTCCATAATGACTAGAACCAAATGGTCCACAAGGAGTTACCAGCGACAGGTTTAGTAATACTGTACAATTTTGAAAATGAGCGAAAGGTTAGAATTTATTCTCAACCAAAATTAAAAGTTATAAATCAAATGTTAGTCATATAATTTGTTTGAAAATGCTTCAAAGCGTGGTTCCGATCGCATCAGAGAACACCTAAGACCCCCAGAGCCATCAGCCCTTAAGCAAACCCTAGACCCCAGCCACAAACGACTTTAATGCTTCGCACACTTCTTGGCCCTGTTGCATAAAACTTGTTATCAACAACAAAACAAGTTACAATAACTGTTATAAGCTACTGTAATCATGGCATTTGATTGGCCGAGAGCAAATGTGTCATAGAAATTAAGCTTTTTGTAAATGAAGAAAAGTTTTATGAAACAGGGCCCAGGTTATACTCCTTCCAAAAAGCAAAGTTACATGATTGAATTTTTTTGTTGGTGGACCACTCTGCTGGAACCATGCTATGACTTTAATCTGGGGCCCGTTTCATAAAACTTGTTATCTATAACAACTGCTAAATTTCTATAACAAATTTGCTCTCAGCCAATCAGAAGCAAGGATATCAGTAGCTTATAACAGTAGCTTGTAACTTGTTATTGATATCAAGTTTTAAAAAACAGCGCCCTGAACTGCCTTCCAATCAAGGAGTAAAACCTGAAGGGCTACCGAACCCACTACTCGACAGACTATTGCATTCGCTGCTGGGGCTTCCATAACGACTCGGACTGTGAACGTTCTTGAACTTCTCCAGGATCTTCATATTGAACGAGTCGATGGTAATATCCCCCATCTTGCCCGTCCTGGATGGCTTGGAGGGCACTTTCTTCTTTGGGATGCGTCCAGGTGACCTTTAGAGAGAATATGAGTAATAACAAATCTTTTTTTTTAAACATCACAGGTCGTTAGAGATCTCTATGTGCTATGATGTGACTGCAACTCCAATATTTCACTATCTCAACTTTTATTAATATTCACAAATGCATTTTTAAGACACTCTTTTGAATAACGTCAGTCAGGATAGCCATAGACAATCACATTTAAAGATAAATGGACAAAAAAATGTTTTGAAACGATTTTTCCTATTATGGTGTAGCAAAGTTTATCAAGTCATGAATACTGAAGATTGAGTTTTATACCTGTATATGCTTGTTAATCGACTGGCTTTGTTTGGTTTGTGTTCTCTCTTATTAAACTCAATCAATTCATCATGAATAAAGAAGAGTGGATGGAAAGAGCATTGGTTTATATAATGTTTATAATGTTTATTTGTTCATTATCTGTATACAATTATATACACTAAAAATATTGTATCAAACCATATTATGTTCATGAAAATGTATGATGAAAAAAGAAAAAAAAAAGATGCAGAAACCAATAAAATCAAAATCAAATCAAATCAAATTATCTAGCCTTGACTGATTCTCATTTTCTTCTATCAAAGCCCATCAAATAAATAAATAAGGAATACCAAAGGCTGAAAATCGCAGAGCACTAACATTTAACAACTGAATTACCCTTCCCTTACCAAGTTTTGTAATTTTGTTAAGTAAAGTGACAAATTGATTTGTCCTGATTTATGTTTCTTGATGAAGTGACGTATTAAAGTTTGCATCTAAAGTATTCAACAAAGGTCCTAATTCAGCAGGTCCACCTTTCATTCTGGAGTTAAGAAAAACACAAAAATATCAAATTTACAAGGGGTATAAATAATTAAGTTGTTGAAGATAAGCTTGAGTTCTAGAAAGGTAAGGAAATCAAGGTAAGTAGGCCTGACACCATCTGCTTAACACAGGTCATTATGTGCAAACGAGAGATGAGGTATTTATTGAAAATGATTTCCAGCAAGTTTTTTTTTAAGTTGTTTTTATTTTACTGGTTCAAACAATCGATCTACTGCAGGATAAACAATCCAGAATGAATTACAGCCATGTTCACTCAACATACGATGCTCATACCCAGAGTTCAAGATTAGCTTAAACTGCATACCATATATGTTCATGATTTACCTGGACTTGACTGCCTTGAGTTTTCCCTTATCGAATCCCATCAGCTCTTCATGGATACTGGAAACTGAATTCAAAGAGGTTGTGGATCTAGAGATGGGAAGAAAAAACATCACAAAAGAAAATTATATTTTCATCATACAGTAGTTTGATTGTATTCCAGATGTGGATTAATGTGTAAGAAAGCTAACAGAATATTTAAAACTTATTATTCATCTACATCATTAGAATGGCGGCACAGGTTCAAGTCTGTGATAAAATCATGTTAGTTTACTGCGTTCGTAATTGTTTTTCATTGGACTAAAGACATAATTTTTAATGATGATGAGTGGAGTTGTGAAATTCACATCGAAATTGACCATTTAACCCTTACTGTACTGGGGGGGGGGGGCCTGGGAGGCCCCCCCTCGACATTTTCGGAGATTGCGCCGCAACCGCTTGGAATTTTTAATTGTCGTTTCATGACTTTTTTCCCTCAAGTCTTAAGCACATTTTGATCCCATTTTCGTCGAAATCGGATATACCTGTAAGGCGTTACATAACAATTAGTATGCGCATGTCATCAAAAAAAAAAAAAAAAAAAAAAAAATCGCATCAAAATTTGCATAAATTATCATTATTAATTACATTAAAATAACTTTTTTGTGTAAGAAAAGAAGTTTCATATGAATAATGAGTTTCAACATTCAAAAAGTGGAGTTTGACACGTTTTCTGTAAAATGCATAAAATTAGCGCATTTTGCATAATTAATTAGGCCAACAACAAAAATTTGCATATTCGGAAAAAACTAATTATACCATCTTGTTCCTTACGTAAATATCTACAAACATGCAAATTTTTGTGTTCATCGGACAATCGACGGCCGAGATCATAGGGGGGGGGGCCTCCCAGCCCCCCCCCCCCCCCCCCCCCCAGTCAGAGGGTGCTCAAAATAGCCCAGTACAGTAAGGGTTAATGAAATCAAAAGACCTATGGAGAATAAGAATGATTCAGAGTGTGTACTGTACACATAGTAAGCAAGCCTCAAACTTCCCTGTCCTTCTACAGTAGCTCATTGAAAGAAACTTAAAGGAGCTACACAAAGAAAATTCACCAACAACTCATAATAAGAACAAACTACATATGGATGGAAAGATTTTCTCTTGAAAAACATGAATAATTTGCTGAGAAATCATATAGATATCATGGAAAGGCGTAAAATGCAATTTTTCAAGACCCTTCTTAGACGCCCGAACGCCCCTGAACGTAAGTCAAACACACAAGCGTAGCGAGCTCTGAATAGTGACGTCACACACTGGACAAACAGCTCAGTGCCGTGTAGCAGTCTGCAGCTAGCCAGCCGTGTCCCGTATGTGACGTCACAAATATTGACGCTCTACAAAGGACCGCTGAAGGCAGAAAATCTGGATCTCAAAACTAACATTTTTGAGAGTTGATTACTGCGGGCCCCAAACATATTTTGAAGAGAAGAGTTGTTGTATTTGATCGGCAAGGCTTCCCCTTCGCAATGATACGAGTTTTGCATCAATTTAAAACACTTTTGATTCTTCGTGTGGCTACTTTAACACAATAAGTGATATCTTGGGGAGATTTTTGTCATGAATAAGCACAGGACAAGAACGAATGGGCTTTTGTGAAAGGTGTCAATAAGAATCCCTGATGTTGGTGGGCTTGACTGTGAAGTTTTGAATAGACGAGCTCCAAAGTCTTTTTAACTCAAGCTTCTGTGACCCCCCCCCCCCTCCCCCCTCCTCGACTTCCAGAGTGGAACATCCTTCTCTTCAGACACAAACCACTTCATATGTTGTTGTTGTTGTGTTTTGAGTTATTGGCGATTAGTCAGTAATTTGACTATTGTCGCCAAAATACTTTACGGCACGTGTTATATCTCTCAATTTTGTATTTTTTTAAAATATATTTATTTCGTTTTATATTTATCTATCTTTTAAGATAGTATCGAAAAATAATATCGTAAGCAAAACATTCATGGGCTTTGTTAGTGTTTCTTAACAGTACGTGCAGATTATTTGTTATATCACATACACACCATACATAAATATGTATATAAGATAGTACCTACACAAGCCTCTATATTCAATAATCTAATACCTTTTATCATTGTTGTTACTTTTTCTTATTTTATTTTCTTAATACATTATGTTATTATATTTTTAATGTACCGAGTGTAATTTAGCATATTTATAATATTGTATTATGTTTTACTGTTCTTATTTTATTTTCTTATTACATTATGTTATTATATTTTTAATGTACTGAGTGTAATTTAGCATATTTATAATATTGTATTATGTTTTACTGTTCTTATTTTATTTTCTTATTACATTATGTTATTATATTTTTAATGTACTGAGTGTAATTTAGCATATTTATAATATTGTATTATGTTTTACTGTTCTTATTTTCTTTTCTTATTACATTATGTTATTATATTTTTAATGTACTGAGTGTAATTTAGCATATTATAATATTGTATAATGTTTTACTGTTCTTATTTTATTTTCTTATTACATTATGTTATTATATTTTTAATGTACCGAGTGTAATTTAGCATATTATAATATTGTATGTTTTACTGTTCTTATTTTATTTTCTTATTACATTATGTTATTATATTTTTAATGTACTGAGTGTTTTTTATCATATTTATAATATTGTATTATGTTTTACTATTCATCAAGGGAGGTATTACTTCCTGATAGGGAACCGTTTCGTTCTGAAAAAGAACCGTACAATAGCTTTTTGTACACTGGACTCACTCTTTTTTAAGTATTCCATAATTTTTTCCGGTTGGGATTTGTTAATTTCTGTTAAAAACATAGCCCTTTCTATAATATAGTTAGGGCAATGTACTAAAAAGTGTTTTACAGTCTCTATTATATGGAGGATAAAGGGTATCTTTGAAATATAATACAACATGCAATCTACATTATAATTATCTTATCATCCCTGTCTAGTTTATTTTTATACAGAATGTATGCAAGTACATTGTATATACGTTGATCTAATAAGGCCATGATTTAATTATCTCTGCACAGACTGCACTAAATCCCTTTGTATAATTTCAAAAGTGACTACCAAATAAATCTTGTCACTTATGGTACCTTCGAAAACAAGTGCATTTTCTATATAGATTTTGCTATTAGAGCAATATGGTCTTTGATTCACTTACCCAGCTCTCTTGAGCTGCTTCAATCTTGGATCAGACTTGAGAAGAGCCTTCTTGGCAGGACTCTGGGACTGACCAGTAGGGGTGGTGATCTGGATTCAAGAATAGGGAAAGTTTGAATGGTTAATCTGATACAGGTATAATGTACAAAATGATAGTAACATTTGATTTTCCTTTGCATATCTCTGTGTTTACTTAGAATAGTTAGTCTTTATATCTGCTTAAATTCAGTCAATGAGAGAAGAACGCTTCAATATTTTGGCGTTTGCTTTAGATATTCATGCGGCATCTACATTTATATATAGATATTATTCATTTATTCAGTGTTTCGTTATTCACTACGGAAAAAAAATTGGTCCTTCAAAATATTTGCTTGACGATTTTTTATTTTTTTAGAAGAAGTTATTATTTTGTCCCTACAATGAATTCCTGTACTTCAATGTGTCAGCTCTGCAGAGACTTGGATGTCCATACATAAATATGATGATCGAACACAGTATAGAGGAATTACTTCAAAGCTGACTTACATAGACAGTATTTGTCCTCTCTTGAAGTGGTTTCTTGGCAGCAGTCTTAGGGGTCATGGTGCTAGGTAGAGGGGGCGGGGGAGGAGGAGGCGGGGCTACAGGTGCCACGCCCACTACTTCTCCTGAAGGCTTCTTGGGTGTCTTCCTACCACTACCGGACGCTGCCTCATGGCGGAGGGGCTTCCTAGGGGATGGAGTGATACCCAGGACCGAACCACTGGGGGCGGGACTGCGCCCCTGAGGTACCTCCTTGGGCCCGCAGGATCCTGGAGGGGGGTATGGAGGAGGAGGTGGAGGGGCGGGTCCCTTGGGCCTCTTAGGCGTGGTGGTCTTCCCAGAGGTACCACGGTTGGTTCTCTTGGCAGCAAGGCGTTTGGAGAAGCGCTTGGAAACTGGACTATCCCTTGTGTCTAGAAGAAGGGAGTAAGACATTGATAAACTTAGATTTCAAGTTTTCAACAACAAAATTTCATGAAAGTCAATTGTAATATTGACTTCAAATCCAACACATCAAAGGTACCATACTTGAGCCAAGGTCTGTAGAAATCCCTTTAGCTTTTCTGAAGTCACTACAATAGAATTGTAGCACTCTGTACATATAAAACATGCATGTTGACCTTTGACTTCTAGACACAAAACCTATAATCTAGTAAATTCATTCATAGCATAATGAACCAACTATGTCAAACTGAAGTCTTAAGTTATGAATTCAATAAGATGTCTCCCATCAACAAACAGATGGATGGATTTACATCCCGAATGCCTTTTACACAACTATCAAGATAAAGGAAAAAGTTGTTTCTTCATAGATCAATCAATTAATGAACAACAATGTTATTAGGTAATTGTTGGTCACTGGCGTTTTTTTAATATATCGGTCAATCAAAAGATGATGTTGTGTGTTTTATTTATTTATTTTAATTTATTTTAAATGGTTTATTTCATTAAAAAACATTCGCGGCCCGAGAGCCGAATTGCAGTTTCTTTTACAAGGTATACATCAGTGACAAAGTAAAATTACACGTAAAACATTATGCATGGTAGTAAAATTGGAATTCTTTTGTTTTTGGTTTCCAACGACCTTGGCAAATTGCTTGGTACATATACAGAAATTCGAATTGTATTACCATATTTGCAATAAGATGATATATTAAACTTATACAATACATGAATAGCAATACATTTTTGATATTCAAAAGAATTAAATGTTTTGGTTGGAAAATGCATAGCCAGATGGGTAAGGTATAGTTGTGGTGTTTTCTTCAATAACAGGGACAACAACAGCAGAAACCAAATCCAGGAATTATAAAGTCAAATAGATGCTCCAATGATTTAAACAGATTATACAAATTATACATTGTAGGTAAAATGCAGAACATTTTGTATATGGGCCAATTTAGTAAAAGGTACATGTAGAATATTGCATAAAAATATGATAAGATAAGTTCCGCATACAAACATGGGTAAAAGGTTGCCATTGTAATATTCGATATAATGTGTATCATCTTGGGAATCGTTAAAAAGTCAAACAGGATTTTGTACAATTAAATCTGATTTAGTTAAAAAAAGTAAAATTCTATAACATTATTCAAAAATGCATTCACATGTCATCCTTTTATTTAGGAAGTTATATCAGAGAAATAGAGAGAGAGATAGAGAAAGAGAGAAAGAAGGAGAGTGAGAAAAGGGAGAGAGAGGGTGAGGGTGGGAGAGAGATAGGGAGAGATAGGGAGAGATAGAGAGAGAGAGGGGAGAGAGAGAGAGAGAGAGAGAGAGGGGAGGGGAGACAAAGAGTGAGAGTAACAAGACAGAGAGCTAGAGAACAATTGGAAGCCATGAAGAGGGTTTCCCCGCTCCGCAGCACAGCACTGACAGAGAGGAGAAAATAGGGATATTGAGAGAGTGAAAGTATAGTTGAAATAGTTGAAATATTTATTGGTTACTGAATCATCATAGGTTATAACAATAATGTGACAATGTCTTTACATGAGTATAAAACATAAGTTAAATTACATTTCCACATTCAGTAAATCATAGATACATACGCTCGAAGAGGTGATGATACAGAAGGGCTACAGCCTAAGCGTGACAGCTTGATACGCTTGCAGCCCAGAAACATTTAAAATCATAACGATTGTAAAGTAAAGTAAATTACAGTACATAATTGGGGGAAAATAACAAAAAAATAAACAGTGACTTGCAACCCCAAAAAAAAATTGGATAGAGGGTGCATGGGAGGGGGATTTTCCTGCTATATCAAGGAAATGCTGACAAACATATATGATATCATGTGTTAATTTAAGAGATTTGTCAATATTTGCTCAATAAAATTGAGAACAATGAATGTGTTCGTCGAAGGTGAAACTGGTAATTATTCAGTACTATGAGCGTTTAACAATCTGACTAGATATGGCAACGGACTGTTTCTATACCGTGTCGTTTTGCATGAGTACCGAAGGGCTTTAACCCTTACTGTACTGGGCTATTTTGAGCACCCACTGACTGGGGGGGGGCCTGGGAGGCCCCCCCCTATGATCTCGGCCGTCGATTGTCCGATGAACACGAAAATTTGCATGTTTGTAGATATTTACGTAAGGAACAAGATGGTATAATTAGTTTTTCCGAATATGCAAATTTTTGTCGTTAGCCTAATTAATTATGCAAAATGCGCTAATTTTATGCATTTTACCGATAACGTGTCAAACTCCACTTTTTGAATGTTGAAACTCATTATTCATATGAAACTTCTTTTCTAACACAAAAAAGTTATTTTAATGTAATTAATAATGATAATTTATGCAAATTTTGATGCGATTTTCATTTTTTTTTTTTTTTTTTGATGACATGCGCATACTAATTGTTATGTAACGCCTCACAGGTATATCCGATTTCGACGAAAATGGTATCAAAATGTGCGTAAGACTTGAGGGAAAAAAGTCATGAAACGACAATTAAAAATTCCAAGCGGTTGCGGCGCAATCTTCGAAAATGTCGAGGGGGGGGGCCTCCCAGGCCCCCCCCAGTACAGTAAGGGTTAACCCCTTTCACAGATTTAATGCCCCTTCTCGCTTTACACAGACACCGTGATGGTGATGGATTGTGATACAAACCTTGCACATAGTTGTAAACATCACACATCTCCATCTGCATCTGTTCAAGTTTCTCCTTGCTTTCATCATCTGTGATGTCCGCCATCATGAAATTGGGTCCTTTGACTCTCTCCAACACTTTACACTGTAACGGGAAAGAGATTTTAAAAAATGAAAGATGATAAGTAAAATATAACAAGTGACAAGTGTTCTAGCAGTAGAAACCAGACATTTAAAGGGGAAATCTACCCTGATATCAAGTTGGTTTTAAAAGAAGCAGAAACATGAGAGGAACAGGTCAGTGGAAGTTTTCAAAATTCCAGTAAAAAAAATAGGAAAGTTATTAATTTTTGAAGTTGCGATTAATCAAATACAAATTGGTAGCTCTGTGAGACTGTGACAGATCTTGCAAGCTCCCATTTCATTTGCTTGATACATAGTATTTAATCAACTATTATTTTCTTTGTTATAGATGACATAATAGATTTTTTTCTATGCATGGGGTGTATAAAAACATATTTGAAATAATTATATTTACCGGTACGGTGCATGTAAAATTGAAAATGTTCTTGAAAAAAAAAATGAAATTTCTGATTTTTTTTTTTTTTTAGAGTGCAGAGCAAAAAGGAGGGAACTTTGCTATATAGACATGTCACAGAGTTGCAAATTTATTGACTGATCGCAACTTCAAAAATTCATAACTCTCTTACTTACTTTTAATGAGAATTTGCTCAATTTTTTTTATTAAAACCAATGTAGTATCGGGGTGGACTACTGGACTTTCCTTTCAAATGCATATATTGGCTACCATTTTACCAAATACCAATACACACACAACCACAGGAATGACAGGATCGCTTCAAAAGGGGTTTAAATCTTGGAGAAGCCAAAAAATACATTTTTTACTACTATGTGAATTGTTTCGTGCCACCAAGTTTAGTAACATACAGTATTTTTTTCCTTCCTTTTATTGATAATCTCTGTACCCTGTACAAACAACTTCATAATTGTTTACCCCTTACTGAATTAAAAAATCATTAAAAAATAAATCTTTGTGCAAAACAAGTACAACATGTATGAGATAAAATGTCACATTTCATACACCTCCCCCTATATGCTACAGGAATAAATGTGTTAAATTATCTTTCCACAGTTGTTGAGTATGAAAATGCTCTTCTCTTTTTTCTTAACAGTTCAAGTACCAAATCTGTAGCTGTTAGTTTAAATTGCCAGGCGTGTACATGTAGATGACCAGTGGTTTCATTGATTTGTAAATTCCATTTCCATGAAGATTGAGCAATAACAAACGTATGATTCTCATTTTCCATATTTAGAACAAGAAAACTTATAAAAGTTTGTTTCAAAATGCATTATTCCTATGAAGTTCTCAACTTTACCTTCAAAAACGAAAATAATCCTTCATTTTCTGCTTCCTCCTGCTTCTTTTTAGCTATAATTTTTTTGAAAACATCTGAGTTGCTGTCCATATACTGCAATAGATTCTAGAGATACAATATAGAGGAGAGAAGTATACAAATGATCAGAAATGGCTCGACATTTCCAGCTTGTGTTTCACTGAAAGGCAGACAAAATAATCTTTCATTTCTCATATTCCTTGAATGATTCCAAAATTGACATATTATTTCAAACTGTCACTTAAAGCCCCTCTGCACTAGTTTGGCATGGAGGGATTAGACCTCCCTGCAAGGTCACTGGCAGGTGGTTATCTCATCAAATCAGCTCTCAATTAACATAAGAAAAAGGGCATCATGGGGGATCAACAGGTATCACTTAGGCATTGTCGGCTGTAAGTAGTGTAGTGGGGCTTTAAGTTAGTATACAATTATTCCTAAAATGTTTTACCTTATTTGACTTATATGTTACCTCATCACTGTCAAACTATGAGTGGATAAATTCCTGCATTTAATGGTTCATAGAGTACTTTATGTGGAATAAGAATATGATGGTGTTGTACAATTATACCCTGCAATTATTACAAAGATCACATCAACCATTTACAATTCAGTCTGTCCGTTACCTGTAAGGCAGCATATGTTTCCATGGAGGCCTGCGCTTCGTACTCCTGTGAACTAATTCTGCTGCAGTATTTCTGCGCAAGAGGAGTAGCAGAGTCATATTCACCAAACGTCTCCATGTCCTGATTTGGTCCTGGTGTCCAAGTCAAAGAGCTTGAGTTCTGGGAACAAGGGGGAAATTGTTGAGATTGGTGAGCATTCTTCAAAATTTGGGTTTCATCACTCCAGCAAAGCATAGAGAGTCAATGCTAATGCGTATTGACCTCTAGTACTGCACTACGTATTCATAGGCAGCATATGCACACATGAATAGTCAATACACTCTTAATACACAAATGCACACAATTATGCCGATGTGGCTGATCGGCAAGTTTGACAGTAGACTTACAATTTGAATTTTTAGATTATTCTTTCTAACATCGGAAGTTAAAAATATTGTATTTTACTGCTATTTACGTGTCATCAATTGTCATTAAACTGATTTCTAGTGTAATCAGTTGAGTTTTGTACAGTGGTGTTTGAAATGTTGAGGATCAATAGCACAGCTTTTAATACACAGCCAGGATAGTAGTAATGCAGCTATGTGTGGGTTTCATGTGAATTTTGAAAGAACTTCCGATTCAAAGCACTTTTTGTGTTTGGTAGGCCTAAACTTAAAGTTAAAGCAATCCATATGACATCATATATTCAACTAGACCGAAAGCTTTAGTCTCTGATATTGACAGTTGTTCCTCTGAGACTAGGCCCGTAATCGTTTAACCCAATGCGTAAAGTTATATGTGGGTTGATACTGTTATTAATGACCATGTCCATGACCATACATGCACGTTCAACGTCAAGTTCAACCAATGACCAGTAGGGCGCTGGTCCGAGAATAAGAATTGTCAAGCATAAACTAGGATATCCTTTTAAACGTGGACAAATCGTGTCTTAAAAAATTAGGATCGTCCGCAATTTGTGGATGTTTTTTCTTCTTCTGCGCTCTGCAAGTGTAGGGTTCTTGATCCGCACGTTGGCAATGCGAAAAAACAGGATCTGTTTTCGCATCGCCAACGCGTGGATTGAAAATGAGATTAAGAATCGATGCAGATGTTCCTTATTTTTTTTAACGCCTGTGTGAAGCTGTGTGAAGTTTTCTACCGTACTGATCATGAGGATCTGAGACATTACAGTAGATAACTTCACACAGGCGCGCGCCCGCAACCCACCATCGGTATGCACTTGTATTGTGTAGCGGTTTGCCGTGAAACCTGCGAGAAAATAGTAATATCAATGTTTTTCTGAAAAATACTCCAAAAATAACAGGAAAATTGACACGAAACATAACGACTTTTAACTCATGATCTTTATTTGGACATTTAATGAATATTTACTTCATTTTGGGTAGTCTATGTCTTAGTTGGGTAGAGTATTTCCACGGCCACGCCGGAGTTTTAATACGGGTCAAATTTTGGATAGACTCTAGGCTTCTGCAATGCTGAACAACCGCCGCATATTTTTACTTCAAAATCCATTCAAAAATTCGTCATCAGTCTCATCAATAACATTGTAATCAATCACTTAGTCTAGACGTGGATTTCGTACGACAGAGTGGAATCGTTGGCAAATTACGCAAACGCGCTGCAAGGAACAAGCGCAACGCAAGCACAGTCATAAACAATGACAGCCTGTGACAGCAAACACGTTTTGGAACACATGGGACTGAAGTGAACATATATGTCACCCGACGAATGTAGATCTACAAGAACGAAATCATTTCATAAATGTTCACGACAAAATAGAAACCCTCATGCTACCATATAATAACTTGAACATGCACAGCACACGAATTATATTTCCTTAAATTCATTAAGCAAGAGAATACAATGTTATTGTTACAAGAATACTCACCTACAATGTTGACGTGCTCGATCTAGCTTGTTCAAAATAACCGCTCAGTTGGTAATTTGCATATTTGAATAATATTATGTATGTATTTTTCACACGTTACCCCCCCCCCCCCCCCCCCCCCCACCCCCTTATCCTGCAAAAAAAAAGACTAAAAAAAGTTCTAGAAGTAGCATTTTGAGAGACTTTCTTTTATATAGTAGTCGATCACTTTATATTTGATTACTCAGTTATCGGAAGACTGCCTTTTTCATGTAATAGCATGTGACAAAAAATTAGTACAATATTACCGGAATTTAACAACAATTATTAATTTAATAAAATACGATTGGTTTATCATTCTTTATATTGCAATTTACTTTTTTCATGTCTGAATACACAGTCAATGAACGAATAAATGAATGAAAGAAATAAGGAAATTAATGAAGGAATGAAGGAATTATGAAGGCATTAATAATGAATTAATAAATTAGTTAAGTGCACGTACCACTATGGGCGCGTCACTTTTTTAACAAGTAAATCATCGAGGCGCGATCGAGGTTTGGGTCCACCCCTCCCCCCCCCCCCTCCTCCATGAGAAATTTAGATTAAGGGGCAACATAAATTCTAACTTATTGGGGGGGGGTCGCTAATTCGTGACTCCATCGATTTACCCGATACAGAAAAAGGACAATTGGTGCATCATGATCATGCAGTGGCGTACGCAGGATTTTTCAAGGGAGGGGTTCTAACATTTTGAAATCGGGCCAAAAATTTCGCAACGACTCAGCCAGCCGCTGAATAAGCGGGGGGGGGGGGGGGGTAAGAGGACATATTGTTTGTTTTTTTTGTCCCGAAATTTGAAAATTTGACCGATCGTCATTCCGTTTCGTAGGGGGGTGGGGGGGGGGGGGGTTAAGGTCATCTTTTTTAGGTCGTCCATTTGGTTTATTTTTTAATATTCTTTTTGAACATAAAACTGATAAACTGCCGATTAAGAGAAATCCTGATAATTATTTTATTGAAAAATGCATCAACAAGTTCTTTATTTACTTTTAGACACTGGCGCAAAAATAGGGAATTCTCTCCCCAGAGATATCCATGATACTACATTCTTTAACTCTTTTAAATCTAAAATCAAAAAATGCATCTGTTTTTAAATCAATAATAATATTTGCATTTTAATACGTCTACTATGTTTTGTACACTGTTTTGTTATTCTTATATCTTTTACAGGGAATTGTTGGACACCTCGACAGAACCGTTTGGTTTTATTTGCAGTTTCCCCAATTCACTTCTATTGCTGATTAACTTTGTATAAATCCGGTATATTTGTAGACATAATTATTTCCATTTTGTGTGTGTTCTCTGTTTCCTACAGTATATATTGTTAATCTGTATCTTATGTGTTTTTTATGGATTTGAATTGAAATAAAACTTGAAACTTGAAACTTGAATATTAGTAAAATAACTACTGTTTCTATAAAATGGAAAACGGCATATATCGCCAGCAACCGAAGATGATATTATAAACCAGATTGAACATTATTAACAGATGAATTAGAAGAAAACAAGTAAGCTAATAGCACTTATGATTGGAACTATACATGTAGGCCTATTCGTAGCGCTTCACCTGAAAAAGTGGGAAAACTTGGCATGTATAGTGGTTGTCATGTATAGCCAGGGGTGGCGATCCCGGAGGGACGGGGGACCCCCCCCCCCCCCTCCCTCCCTCAATTTTTTTGTTGGGGGGTCGTCACCCCTGAAAAAGAGCCAACAAATGTATAGCAAATACTGACTGAAGACTGCAACACACTTTTAGGCTCTGGAGGACCAAGAGTGCGCGTTTAGACAAATAAAAATGCAAATTTCTTCTCGCTCGATAGCTACGCTCCCTCGCATAATATCCTTCAAAATGTTCAAGTAATTATTGTAGGAAAACGTGAAAAAAGACTATAGATTTGCTAAGGAATCTAATTTTGAAATACAACAAAACTTTTAAAACTTGTGAATGCGGGGTAATCACTTCCGTGACCGTCACCTTCACTCCTCTCGTTTACGTACTATGCTCCCTCGATGGCGCACTGATGGGGGAGGGGTAAATAGTTGCGCCCCCTAATAAAATTCAAACGTGCATTTCATTTCAAGTTCGATACCAGTGATTTACAAATGTTGCTTAAATGGCATTATTTCTCCCTGGGCTAGCTTCCGGGGGCTCTGCCCCCTGGAGCCCACCAAGGGCCCTAAGGTGGCCCCTGTATGCTCATCTAACCGTTATTAAATGCCTAAACCCCTGAGCTTCGGGGGCTCTGCCCCCTGGATTCTACCGGAGGCCAAAAGGCCTCTGGATGCTTATCTGACCGTTATTAAATGCCTAAACCCCTGAGCTTCCAGGCGCTCTGCCCCCTGGACTACACCAAGGGCCCTAAGGCGGCCTCTGTATGCTCATCTGATGGTAATTTAATGCCTAAACCCCTGAGCTTCCCGGGGCTCTGCCCCCTGGACCCCGCCAAGGGCCATTATAAGGCGGCCTCTGGATGCTCATCTGACCGTTATTAAATGCCTAAACCCCTGGGCTTTCGGGGGCTCTGCCCCCTGGACTCTACCAAGGGCCCAAAGATGAGCCCCTGTATGCTCATCTAACCGTTATTAAATGCCTTAACCCCTGAGCTTCCGGGGGCTCTGCCCCCTGGACCCTACCAAGGGCCTTTAAAGGCCTCTTGATGCTCATCTGACAGTAATTATTAAATGCCTAAACCCCTGAGTTTCCAGACGCTCTGCCCCCTGGACTCCACCAAGGGCCCTAAGGTGAGCCCCTGTATGCTCATCTAACCGTTATTAAATGCCTAAACCCCTTAGCTTCCGGGGGCTCTGCCCCCCGGACCCTACCAAGGGCCCCAAGGCGACTTCTGGATGCTCATCTGACCGTTATTAAATGCCTAAACCCTTGAGCTTCCAGGCGCTCTGCCCCCTGGACCACACCAAGGGCCCTAAGGCGGCCTCTGGATGCTCATCTGATCGTTTATAATTTAATGCCTAAAACCCCTGAGCTTCTGTGGGCTCCGCCCCCAACCCGGACCCTACTCCAATAAGTGACCTGTATGCCAGTGTCACAAATAAAGTTTCAAAATATGCTAATCTGACCGTAATTAAATGGATAAAATCCCTGAGCAACCGGGGGCTCTGCCCCCTGGACCTCACGCCAATTTATACGCTCCACCTGCTTCGCTCTACCTGATCGTAATACTTGAGCCCACCTCCCTTCACTTTGAAAAAAGTTCCGCGGGGCCTGCATGTAACATGTTCTAAGAGTGGTGGTGATGCTGAATATTTTTTATATTTTATTTTATTACGCCACTGCTCCCTCGTCCCTCGCATTTCACCCCACCCCCCCCCCCCCCCATCCCCGGTTATGAAAAAAAAAATGCCACCCCTGTGTATACCGTGTGAGTCAAAAAAAAGTTTACACCTAGAAAATTGCTAATCATATGAACAGTAAATTATTATACATCTTATGAAAGAGTGTTTTATCCCAAATCATTTGATACCATTTTTGTGTGGTATGTCTTCACGCTTGGATGAACAGGTGGCATTGTTTGCGAGAGTGCAAAAATCGACTTGCGCCAAAAATTAGTGATGCCTATACAGCATGTATTGGGTTTAGCGGAGTGAGAGAATGGATTAAATCAAATGAAATACATTGCATATGTTTTTTGCAAAGGGCAAAGTCACACACACCCACACAAATGTTCGTTGATATTTGATATTCGATATTTGTGGCATGATTAATTTTGTTAGGGATGTTATTTGGATCTGCAAAGACCGATTTAATACCCAATCCCAATTTATTGAAACATCACATAGGGCGGCAACTTTGGCGCAAGTCGATTTTTGCACTCTCGCAAACAATGTCTCCTGTTCATCCAAGCGGGAACACATACCACACAAAATGGTACCAAGTAGATCTGAGATTATATTATCAAAACAAAAGAGAAGAGTACGAATTTACAAATAGTAAAAAAAAAAAAAAATTTTTTTAAGTGAAAGACGTAAATATTCTAAAAAAAGAATGAAACGCCGATAATACCAAACAACAACAACAACAACAACTCTTTCATAAGACATATACAAATTTAATGTTCATCGATGATTTTTTGAATAATTAGCAATTTTCTAGGTGTAAAGTGTTTTTTTTTACTCACATTGTATAACAGTTTTGGAATAGGTTTGTTTATAAAGCTTATTGGTATATTGTTTTTGTTTTTATGTATTGCTTTTAATTGGGATACTAATTCGGTTATTTCCTTTAGATTTTGATTGTATATTTATTTAGGGGTACTAAATGTAGCAATCGAGACGACAGCATGGGTTTACAAAAATTATTTGTAATAGGCACATGAGAATGATGATCTAAGATGCCCTTTTAGAGTTTTACCCCCACCCTCACTTGCATGTCTCTAAATGTCAAAAGCCTAAAGTAGTAGGCAACATTTGTGTTTTCCCCATCGCAAATCAGGCAGTTTAGGTTAGGGGAGTAGCCGGGTGCATGTGGGCCTGGTATATGGAGGGAATGGGGAACAATCAATGTTATTACTGATTTTCTCTGTAATAGAATGTCTTTTTCCCCCTCGATTATATCAAATTTGGTTCATTGAATGAACAAAATAAAATACTTTCTTGAACAAACAAAAATCTATGCAACTCCAATAAGAAGGACCCCCCCCCCCCCCTTTTTTTTTTTTCGTTCCTCAGATATCATAGGGAAAATAACGGAGTACAATAGCACCCTCAGCTTTTGTTGCAGTAAAGATGCCATTATTTTTATGTAGGGCGATTATTGTATGCGCAGCGCACATAAATAAATACAAAGTCAATTAATGCAGTCAGTCATCACTTTGAGGAAACACGATCACGTGAACTAAAGTTAGTAGGCCTACTGCCACGATTTTGATTGCGTACACAGTTTATTGGGTAAGTGAATGGGAAAAGTACATTTTTGGGGAGTGAAAATTAATGTCACTTTTATTGTACTTTAGATAACATGAATAATAGTTAACAGTGCAGTAACACTAACACTTGTTTTTGTCAATTTGTGCACCTGTCTCGTAATGTCGTTTTGGCTTTGCTCCAGCGGGCGGCTCTGCACCGACGCGATACCAGGCCTAGACTTCTCTATGGCCCAGGCGCAGGGTTCCCGTAGAACTCCGTCCACGGCCCGGTGCTCCAGTACAGTAGTCATGTTGTTTAATTTGTGGCGCAGTGCAGTGTAGAAACTGGATTGAGTTAAACTTGATGTTTTGTTCACCACTTAATTAAAGTAAAATTAAGTTTTTCGTTTGCTATATGTGTAGATCTATCAAGTGCAAGTAGACTAACTGTAATTTTGATGATGACTTTTTTTATCATGACGAGTAGACTCTGAGTCTGACTAGGTCTAGACAGGCAAAGACTGAAGTGAAAGTGATTTTAAATCTTCTTCATCTTCTTCTTCTTCTTCTTCCAGTGCAAGTACAGTGACAGTCCTCTGGGTAGAGTATCTTCATACTGTTGTGTAGTGCTGTGAACGAGTGTTCCATGTTGCATTGTGTGAGCCTCCAAAAAAGAGGTCCCAAACGGTTTTAGAATTGAGTAGTAAAAAGTGTTCATTGTGCAATGGAAATAAAAGATTTTGAAAATATTAGAGAATATGGTATTCGATCTATACTTTCTCATATTCTACACAATTCATTTATTTTAATTATTACCTAATGGACGGCAAAGTTTTTTACTACAAATTGGTTCAACTAGAAAATTTATCATCAATGAATTCCAGAGATATCGTGCTCGCGCTCGCTGCAAGTGCAACTAAAAAAGTCATAAAAACGACGATGCCTTACTTCGCGCATGGGGTTGGTTTTACAGCTGATTTATCAAAAAATGTAAAGTTATTTTATAATTTGTAAGACAAGATATTATACATCAGTTGATACCACTTTTTACTTACAATTTTGAGGATATCTCTCAAAATGAAAATTTCCAAACCTTTATTGGTGAGTTAAGAATCGGAACGGACTCAAATGACTGCAAAATTTGCTGGTCTTTTGTCAATATTTTCATAATTTCGCAACCATTCCGAAGAAAATTTCGTCTCTGGGCAATTTTATGTTCCTCTTTCAATTGGTGATATCGGATTTTTGAAATCTTACTGATTTTTAGATAGGTAGATACATGTAGGTCATGCCCGAACTATGGTTACACAACCATACTGACTAGGCAGACACTTGTGAATTTTATCATGAAATGAGTAGACAATCAGGCATAGATAAACTTCAGTGAAATTTCAGCCTTTCTCGTTTGATAATGCTATAGCTGTGAAATCACATACATGCATTTGCAAAAGTTCCTTTTGACAAAGCCAAAGATGACCTAAGTCCAGTGTCATTAATAAAAATGGTTTCTTGTTGAGTCAATACAGAAAACCTTATTTGCCATGATTGCCACAAGTATTTTGAAAAGTTTCATATGTATATTGTGTGTTCAAATTTTCTCAGAGAGATGAGCTGTATTAATGTGAGAATTTCCAGACAAATACTTGTACATGTTACTGTAAGGCTGAACCCATACATGTACATGGAAGGACCAAAACTTTAAAAGCTTGAAACTTATTTTTGATAGCCCCAAAAGACAGCTTTTCTACTCAATCTGTGTGCTTTATTAGTTTTGCCCCAAAACTGGTTGCACATAAAGTAAGTACAAGATGAGTAGCTTTGTAGTCAGTAGTAAATAACATATCCTTGGATTGGGGATACCTTTTTCTTTACCGTGTCACATGTAAGTTCATACAGGTTTTAATCTTCTGAGTGCTGACTCCTGAATTTTCTAATTTCCATAGAATTGGTCAGTAGACACAGAGAGGAGATCAACATTATTAATGAATAGATCAAACAGGACAAATAAAAGATTACTGCTACATTACCCCAAAGTAGCGCCACAAAGATTGGTTTGGGGTTGATCTAGCTGTGTGACCGAGGAGGTTATTGAGGTATTACATGACATGTACCAGAGAAAAAGACTGCAAAGAAGAACATTTTGCAGAGAAATATTCATATTTGTATTGATATCCGTTCTCTTTTTCTACAGACATGTGAGATGTAATTGGTAGAGCCTCCAGCCCATGGACATGATACTAGAAGAATTTAGGTTGACAAGGTAAACAAGAAATAAATGTGAACCTCGACGTCTTCCGCACTTTTTATGAATAAAGCTCACCAACCCTAACTCAAAATGGAATACGAGCCTGATGAACGACGCCCTCTGATTAGCAGGACGATCTCAGAGGATGGGGTGTTTGACCCTCCGCCGACCCCCGTCTACTATGACACATCCCGCAAGAAGCGAAGAGTGGCCTGTTTGATCATCTTGCTCACGGAGATGCTTGAGAGACTTGCCTACTATGGCATTACTTCCAACCTCATCCTGTTCCTCACTCTGGAACCGTACAGCTGGCTGTCTTACAACGCAATGCACACCTTTTTTGTGTTCACATGCGTCTCGTACATATTTTCTGTCGTCGGAGGATTGATCGCGGATACCTGCCTGGGTAGATTCAAGACAATTTTCATCAGCCTCATCATATTAGTCATTGGTGCTACCTTTTTTGTACTCATGGGCTTTGCCTCAATAAAAGGAAATCATGATTTCATGTGTACATTGTGTGGTATTGAGGGAGATAATAATTCGACTATCCACCCTGAAGGACACGACCTTGGACCTGCACCTATGAAATCATCAGTGGCATGTCTTGGTCCGTTGGTGGTAGCCACTCTCTTAACAGCAATAGGAGGTGGGTCAGTGAGGGCCAATCTCTCACCGTTTGGTGCAGAACAGGCAAGTATACTTTGTGTAGAATGATATTGATATTAAATTAACGCTACAGTCCTCTCCATGTGTTATGGTGCACACAGTTTGTAAAGTTTGCTAATTAATACCGATAGCAAGGTTCTACATTAACTTTTTTTATTCGGGGGGAGGGGGGACATAGACATAAACATGATATTGCATGTTGAGAGCCTGGATAGTGTTAACAGTGTATGTTAATGTTTAACAAGAATGAGTCAACACCATTCCAGCTCTCAGCAGACGGTACGTAACTGGAACATTATTCCGAGTCACATCATAAATAAATTCATATATTTTGATACAAAATGCAAACTGATACAAATTATGACACTACAGCAACTTCCTCTACTCACTGTACATGTAGTGTGACTTATTTTGTGACAATGCCACAACTTCCCCCGAGCACTGCACTGTGGTTTGACTTGTTATTATTTTAGATTAAACAATGAAAGATGATTTAGGGCACATGACTATCAATCAGGAAGGCAATTTAGTTATTGTTTTCACATGTGATGATTGTGATCGTACAGTGTAGTCTCTATTCTACTTGATGTAAAATACCCATATCCAGGAAATAGACTGAGTGAAACAGTGTGTTGTTAAACTTTAAAGGTACATCATACATACTGTCATGTACTCTAATAGAGGTGTTAAATCAGAAAACTAATGGACTAAAATTCTCCCAAAATATTCCTTACAGTAGAAAACCAATGACTGTAGTGAGCCCACAGTATGTACACATGCACCTATAGAATAATTTTCTTTAACTGGAAGGTATACAAACTTGTTGTTGGTTAACAAAAATCTTAAAGAAATAACGACATTTTAAATTTCACGGAATATTAGGCTTCCTTGGAAGAGGAAAAGCTAAACCGGTTCTGAATCGTAGTGATGTCAGACCAATTCTGCCACTGTCTATGACAGATTTGCAGCCATTTCAGCTTTTTATTTCTGACTAGAAGAGTTTAATGCGGTAAAATTCACAGCTTTTAGTTCAAACTATGAATCCTACATGTAGTTGTTTTGGTCCCATGTGCACCCTTGCTCATTTGAGTGGATCGTTTATAACTTTGAGGTTTCGCAAACTTTAAGTTTAATACCACCACAGTCCTGTGCAAGCATACATGTAGCTATTCTCAGTGATATTAGTAGAAAGTTTACATTTGCAAACATACATGTACATGTACAAGTATATCTGACTACTGAACAATACTGTAAATATCCGTTTATAAGACGCACCTGTGTTTAAGACGCACGGTCACGCACCCCTTTTTGGGGGCCGAGAAGAAGAAAAAAAGGGGGGGGAAAAAAAAAAATCATTTTTTAAAACCTGTGTATAAAACACACCCCAAACTTCCCAAAAAAAATTCGGCTGAAAAAAGGTCTTATACACGGAGATTGAGGGTACTACATTGTATTTATTATTTGTCTATGATCGATTCTTTGGTTTCCCTCCACAGGTGAAGCATGAAGGACCAGATAAGATCCGCACTTTCTTCCATTGGTTCTACTGGTCCATCAACATTGGTTCTTTCATTGCGTTTGGGGGAGTGGCCTTTGTGCAACAAAACATGAGCTTCTATGTGGGTGAGTAACCGTATAAAACACAAATTTTCACAAATTTATAGAGGGATTCAGAGTTGCATAAGTTTCATACCTGTTGTTAAATAATTGAAATACAGTATTAATACAAGTGAAGGCGAATCAATGTTTTGTGAATTGAGAAGTTGTTTTTTTTGCCCATACAAATTATGGCCAATATTTACAATTGTCAAAGTTTCTGACTTTCGATACAGTGTTAATTTTGAATTCACAAGAGTTGATGAAGTCTTGAACATAATTACATGTATGGTTTACCTCTGAATATATTGACCATCTTTATTCTTGCTAATGTATGAACAAAAATTCTTGGAACCAAGTTTCGTTTGTTTGTTTATTTGTTAGATATTTCTCCTTTTATTGAATTGTCCTTGGTTAATACTACAGCTGACCTCCCCAGTGAGGGTTTGTTCTCTCCAATATGAATTCTTACACAGTCTTGCCTCTTCTTGACAATTTCAGGATACCTGATGGTAGCAGTAGCTGTCGTCCTGTCCCTGGTGGTCTTCACGTGTGGACGATGTATCTTCCTGATCAAAGACCCTACTGGTAGTGTGCTTCCTAACACCTTCAAGATCATCGCCCAGGCGTTCAGGAGACGCAAGATGAGGAAAGAGATCAGTAACAAACGAACAAGGTACGTTCTACATCATCAAGATATATCATGAGGGGATTGGGTTTTAGGGTTTAGGGTTAGGGTTGGAGGATGTATCTTCTTGATCAAAGACCCTACTGGTAGTGTGCTTCCGAACACCTTCAAGATCATCGCCCAGGCGTTCAGGAGACGCAAGATGAGGAAAGAGATCAGTAACAAACGAACAAGGTACGTTCTACATCATCAAGAGACATCATGAGGGGATTGGGTTTTAGGTTACATGTAGGTTTACAGGTAGGTTTTAGGGTTAGGATTAGTATTAGGTGTAGAGTTGGGTCTAACGTTGAAGTTGGGCATTTGGTTAGCTCTAGCAGAGTAGATGTTGCTGGAGTACATTCCAGATTTTGACAAATGTTCTAGTAATTTATATAGAAAATAAATTCTCACAGAATCCAACGAAATGTACACTGAATGTTCAAGATTACAAATAAATGACATGTGCTAAACAATTTTGGTAGATAATGTATAGTGGCTGAGTAAAGAGCATAGAAAGATAAGTATTAATTTTTTTTTGCGTTTGTTTTTATTTCCCTGGATCAAACAACCAATCTACCGCAGGATAAACAATCCAGAATAAACCATAGCAATTTTCTCTCAAAATCTATTTCCATACCAGAGCCCAAAGTTAGCTTTAATATCAGGGTGGACTTCTCCTTTAATTGTGGTTATGGACATTCAAAAGGTTACAAAGATCATATGATCAACTACAGACAAGGAATGAAAGCTACTTGATTTTAAACCAGGATGTTAAAAATACATAGTGGTTTTTATGACTTGCATATGAATAGGAAACATGGCCATGACTAATTGGAGATTTTATGAATTAGAAACACTTATCGTACTTGTAACTAGAAGTTATTTGTTTCCATACACTGTACATTGGTCCGCACTACATGTGTTCTATATGTATTTAGTTTTGGCATAAGTGTATAAACTACAAGTACATGCGAGTAGGTCTGTGAAGACGTTTTGAAGCATTACTTCCTAATGTCGTAAATTTACTCTCTAACTTTCTCTTTTTTCCTCCCTTTCTCTGCCTCTAGTTGGTGTTGTGTATAATTAGTTTTCTTTACTTTTAAAACAAGTACTGTAGTACTGTAGTACTTTCTCTCTCTCCCTCTCTGTCTCTCTCTCTCTCTCTCTCTCTCTCTCTCTCCTTTCTCTCTCTCTCCTTTCTCTCTCCTTTTTTCTCTTCTCTTCCCTCTCTGTCTCCTCTCCTACTCTTTCTCCCTCTCCCTCCCATATTCTGCTCTTCCTCCTCTCCTCAGCCTGTATAATATATTTCCCCCCTCTTTCCATAAAATGTTATTCTTTAATCTGTATTGATCTGGAACTGCCATTGGACTTATACATAACAGAGACAGCCAACATAATGACAATGCCAATCGATTGAAGGAGACTGATATTTACAGAATCTTTGGAGCAGTAAGCGATTTGACTGCAAAGACAAGATGAAAATCCCCAAATAAATCTCACTTATTCCATATAAAATTTAAAAATACCCCCTGTTAATAGTCAAAGTTAAGTATTATTCTGAGAGAGACCATTAGGCCTAAAATAAAAACTTGATGTATCGCCCTTTGCGACCGAACCCAAAATCTGAAAATCTACGGTCGGCATTTTAAAACCGTTTTTTTTTTTTTTTAACCGTTTTTTTAGATTTTTTTAAAAATTATCAATGAATACAAAAAATATGAATTTTGTTTGTTGGGATAAATGGGATATAAATGCATAAAATCAAATCATTCCCAAATTCTAACTCGTCTTCTGCCCTAGTTTCAAAATCCTACTACATTGTAGCATAAACATCTCGATCAACACAACATTGCAAACCATGGATTATTATGAGGTGAAAAAGATATGAATGAAATGATGACGCTGAAACACATATTAAAGCATTAATAACTGAGAAATATCAGCCAAAAGAGGGCGGGAAAAAAGAAGGAAAAAAAACACATTAAAAACTCATGTTTTGGCACCCAAAGGGCAATACAACAAGTTTTTATTTTAGGCCTTACTTAGTAGCTAGTTTAATTCAAGTGAAAATTAACATTATGAAGGGTAATTGTAGAGATTTTAGTAGACTCCCCTGACCCCAAAACTTTGCTCAGTTCTCTTTTACATTTTTTGTATACTTTTGCATACAATATTCTACTAAAAATGCTGATTTGTAGAAACTTTGTACTTGTGAATTTCCTATCTTATATCCTTTTTATGTACATTTACCCCTATCAACCCTGGTGAAGTAGACACACTCCAGGTGAGAAGAAATTCTTTGAATCCTTGAGGCCTGTATAAGAGTAGCTTGGCCAAAGAAAGGATAGTAACAGTACTCATCGCTTTGTATCCTCAGAAAAAGGGTTTTATTGCCAACTATTATTATTATTATTATCTAAATCCTTAATTCCTTATATTATTTTGTTCTTTCCCACTCCAGTAATCACATACTGTCGTCATGTCCGAAGGTCACGTTCCTTGACATGTCAAAGAAGCGATACGGAGGCAGCTTCCATGACTCCATGGTAGAAGATGTGAAGAGTCTCAAGAAAGTTATCGGTGTCTTTGTCGTGCTGATTCCATACTGGATGGTCTACTTTCAGGTTCGGATGATGATTCATATAAATACTCTTGTCCTTCATTGGAATCGTTGTCATCATCGTCCTTATATAAATTCTATTCCTTTTCTCTTCAAATTTATCCTTCTCGTTGTCCTTGTCTTCCTCCCCAATTCTCCTGCCTCCTCACTTCTCTCCTCGCTTAATATCCTTCTCATTCTCCTCTTCCTTTTTCCTCCTCCCTCCAATCTCCGCTCTTCCTCCCTCCCCTCTTTCTTCCTCCCCTCTTTCTTCCTCCCCTCTTTCTTCCTCCCCTCTTTCTTCCTCTCCTCTTTCTTCCTCCCCTCTTTCTTCCTCCCCTCTTTCTTCCTCTCCTCTTTCTTCCTCCCCTCTTTCTTCCTCTCCTCTTTCTTCCTCCCCTCTTTCTTCCTCCCCTCTTTCTTCCTCTCCTCTTTCTTCCTCTCCTCTTTCTTTCTCTCCTCTTTCTTCCTCCTCTCTTTCTTCCTCTCCTCTTTCTTCCTCCCCTCTTTCTTCCTCTCCTCTTTCTTCCTCCCCTCTTTCTTCCTCTCCTCTTTCTTCCTCCCCTCTTTCTTCCTCTCCTCTTTCTTCCTCTCCTCTTTCTTTCTCTCCTCTTTCTTCCTCCTCTCTTTCTTCCTCTCCTCTTTCTTCCTCCCCTCTTTCTTCCTCTCCTCTTTCTTCCTCTCCTCTTTCTTCCTCCCCTCTTTCTTCCTCCCCTCTTTCTTCCTCTTCTCTTTCTTCCTCCCCTCTTTCTTCCTCCCCTCTTTCTTCCTCCCCTCTTTCTTCCTCCCCTCTTTCTTCCTCTCCTCTTTCTTCCTCCCCTCTTTCTTCCTCCCCTCTTTCTTCCTCCCCTCTTTCTTCCTCTCCTCTTTCTTCCTCCCCTCTTTCTTCCTCTCCTCTTTCTTCCTCCCCTCTTTCTTCCTCCCCTCTTTCTTCCTCCCCTCTTTCTTCCTCTCCTCTTTCTTCCTCTCCTCTTTCTTCCTCCCCTCTTTCTTCCTCCCCTCTTTCTTCCTCCCCTCTTTCTTCCTCCCCTCTTTCTTCCTCTCCTCTTTCTTCCTCTCCTCTTTCTTCCTCCCCTCTTTCTTCCTCCCCTCTTTCTTCCTCCAATCCTCTTACCTTCCTCCCTCGCCCACCCCTTCTTCTTTCCCCTTCCTCTTTTCCCTTCCTCATCCTCCTCCACTCTCTTATTTTGTTTAATTTTTATTCTCCTCCATCTTCTAATTTTCCACACTTTGTATATGCAATTTTTAATACATTTTCAGTAAAGAAAAATATTCTGGAATTTTGAGCAATAAGTTTACATTTGCATTTGTCAGTTAACATGCAAAGATTGATTTCTGAGACTGAGTGTTACTAAACTACAAGTGTTTAGATTCCAAGTGACAAAGATTTTTTATTTTTTTAATGTACACACAGGCTTTAAAAAGAATATATTGGTACTGTAACCAAATTCATTTACCTTAATTTTTTGGATAAATGAATGATGTTCATAGTTGGTTTCAACTGCATTTATTGTATGTTGATGTATAGACAGAGGTTAGGATTAGATTATGCATATAGTTGGGAAGTTAGGATTTCGGTAAGCATTAGAAATCGTTCATGGAGTACTCGTCATTGCCGAATGTGTTGTGGAATCTCTATTTCCTATGAAATGACAAAAAATAATGATTTTGAATTAAATTTTAATTGTGTTCTTTTTGTACTTTGTATGTATAGATGCAGAGTACATTTGTACTTCAGGGTTTACACATGAAATTCACCATGCCAAATCATAACGGCACAGCCCCTCCATTCCAGGTGAGTGCATGCAGGGCCAGGGGCGTAACCAGAATTTTGTAAAAGGGGGGGGGGGGCACAAATGTCCTAAGATATGCTGACATGCAAAAAAAAAAAAACCTCCAAAATCAGAGGTTTTGAAAATTCAGCATTAATAGGGGAGGGGGGGGGGCAGAGTTTGGAAAATTGTATACAGAATGCACATTTATGTCAATTTGGTTTCCAACAGTAAGGAGACACGTTAGTGGTATGTGTTTGTTCTTGGGTTTAATTAACAGACTTGTATCAGAAATAGAAGAAAGGGGAGAGGTGGGAATGAGAAAGGAAAGAAAAGGTCTACCGGTACTCAGCCAAGGATGACATCATTTAACGAATGTAATGTCACAGTTATTTTTATTTTTTAAATTTTAATTTGCAACTGGCAGTGTTTTATTCACCCCTTGTATTGTGTACAAAATGAGGGATTCAATTTTCACTCTAGAGAGAAAACCTTTTGATTTGAAATTTTGCACATGTACTTTCTTAAAGGTGAAATTCAAAGAAGATCACAAATATGTCAACTAATGTATCACTAGAAACTGGTAAGCTAACAGATGGCCATCGGACAAGTTTTAGGTCAACTACATATCGGGTGATTTATAAAAAATACAAATACAACCGCCTCCATAGCAGTTGGGATCTACGAGAGATTCGCTGGAAAAATAACGATGTTTTAATGACGTGACTATATGGACCAACACTGCCAAAGCAGACGACATCCCATAGAGAATGAACATAATTGCTAAGCTATTATATCTCAAATTATCATGAGTTTAGTGTATATAAATGTAATGGCATGTCAATCCATTCAAAAGGGGATATGACCCGATTCTGATAACTAAAATCTTTTGCTTGTAAATACACAGGATAGGGGTTAATTAACAAATCAAAGAAACCAGACTTTCAAATTGAAAAAACCCCGGAATGATATTAAGGACGGCATTCCTTCCCTCTTGAAACACTGAACATACCCCGGTGTGTGCAGCTGAATATACAATGGTGTCTTATTTTGTTTGCAAGCAACAGATTCCTTTATTTTTGTATCGCTGCATTTGTCATCAAAATAAAACCATGCGCGGGGTTTAGAGTGAGGCAATAGATTATACATTTAGCCTGACGGTAGTGAAGTAAGAGAAGAACTCAAGGGAAGATGAAAACACAGGCACTGAAAATGTGTGAGATGTCATGGGACATCGTCTGCTTGTGCAAGTCATGTCCATACTGTGATCTCACAGCAGCGTTCAGAGAGCTCTTCAGGTGCTATGCCGGGGCTGTATTTGAGCGTTTTGTAATTTATAATAATCATCACTTTGAATGTTTCCAAGCATTGAATTTTGATAACCTTGTCGAATCAAAGATCACAAGGTCCGCGGTACGAGTCCCGCCGCAGCACTAATATCCTTTGGCAAGACATTGATCTACATTTGCCACACTCAACCCAGGTGATGTAAATGGGTACCTGGCAGGAATTAATTCCTTGAAATGCTAGAGCGCCGCAATGGCATCACAGCTAAAGCCTGGGTAATAATTTCCAAGTTTGGAAGCGCTTAGTGATTTTAATAAGCACCATATAAAAAACTTAGTATTATTATTATTAAAGTACATTTTCTCTTTCCTACAGTTTCCCGTTGCCTGGCTGAGCCTCTTCGATGTGGTCGTCGTCATCATCCTCTTACCCATCCTGGACAGATGCATCTATCCATGTCTGATCCGCAGGGGATACAACGTCTCCCTCTTCTATCGCATCTTCTTCGGAATGCTCTTCAGTATGCTGTCCGTGCTGACAGCGGGAGGCTTGGAGCTGGCCCGCAAGGACTGCTACTATAACACCCCAAACTGCACCCTGAATGAGACTGTTGGGAACGAGGGAAACGTTGCCACGTATACGGCAGCGAATATGTGGATTTTCTACCAGATTCCTCAGTATGTACTGATTGGGATCAGTGAGGTGCTAGCCAGTGTGGCAGGTAGGTCTCTGAGCTAGGTGGTAATAGTTATATTGATGATGATGATGATGATGATTTTGCTCTCCCCATGCTTATGCTGAACGTGCACAAAATCAGCGTAGCCTGGAAGTGGCCTTCAAAATTTGTAGTGGGAACGCCATTGTCGTACAAGTAGCGTGCCGTGGTAGCATTGTGGTGAGATATTTGTGGTTTTCATAAAAACGCAGCACCGTCAGAAACTATTTTGAGCATCACGTCCGTTCATCCTCAAAGTTAGGAAAGAACTAAAGAAATACTTAAACACCCCTGATTTATATAGACATCCCCACAAATCGTACTAGAAGCGTAATATGGTCAGCAACAGCGGAGCGACATTGTCCTACAGGCTTGTAGGTCTGTGAAACAGAGTAGTATGGTCCTCAAGTCGTAGTGAAAACGACCGCTTGGTTGGCAGCGTAGTAGCAGCGAGCCTGCAGCGCTTTTGACGTAGAGGCATCGCAGCCAGTCCAGTCGTGACAGTCTTGAATTTGCCAAATAGATGGATTTTGACGGCGATAATGGCCCAAATTGATATCTTTTTCAGATTGGGGTGATGGGCATGGTCTTCGTAGGGTCGCAGAGCTGTGTAAATGGGGTATTACTGATCATTTCAATGTGACCACAATTCACCTAACATTCCTTTTTTTTGTTCCTCATGTTAAACACTTTCTGGTTAAAATATATGTCTGATTTTTGTTTTAAATACTTTTTCGTATAGGTTTGGAGTTTGCCTATACCCACGCACCTAAATCCATGCAGGGTCTGATCATGGGTCTGTTCTGTCTCTCCAATGGCATTGGTTCTCTGTGTGGGAGTGCTCTAGTGGCTCTGTTATCCATCGATTCAATTGGATGGTTCGTCTCCAAGGACCAGGGCAACATCAACGACGGGAAGCTCGCCTACTATTTCTTCCTGCTTGCCGGAATTCAACTCGTAGCGACGGTGATCTTCTTCATGTACAACCGTGGAAACGTGATGAACAGTCATCCCGGGTCGCAGTCGGGGCCGAGCAGCCTCAAATCCTCGGCAAGAACTGTTCACGTGCAGCGGAAAAACTCCACATCTGCTGGTTCAGGGGACTGACCAAAGCTGTCAAGGTGAAGAGTTACACCTATATTTGGATGAAAACAGTGAGAATATTCTGTTCCTGCATAGCCCAGATGCCATTATGATACAACGTCCCTGCGCACTTCCAAAGAAATTTCAAAGAGAAATAATAATAGAGGCTTTAGCTCTGGCAGCCATTCAGAGTCCATTTTTGATACACATGTTTACATCTGGGTCGAGAGTGGCAATTATAGATTAATGCCTCGCCAAAGGACGTACCTTGCCACGGTTGAAACCTAATCTGTGAAGCAGGATTGTAATCACATTTGGATATAGCACTTGCAGCATGTATGGCTGTTTGCCATGGTTGTGAAAGAGGCTCATGCGATTTATCGAGTTCATAAGAGTAGATTTCTGGTTACCAAACCAAATTTATCAACTTTATGAGACCTTTATGATTGCAGACTTTATCACACAAAAAACTTTTGAGTCCTGTGGCTGCTAATTTAAATGTCAGACATTGGAAACATTCCTGAAATATTACACAGGATTTATGCACAACAACGCAAACAAGTTTAGACATTGAGGTGCATTTTCTTATGTTTTTGTACGTTTTGTTTATAAAAGCAATCTGCGGTACATATTCTACTATCTTTTTAATTTGTTTTGTTCATATTGTTTAGTAGAAAAAAAATCTCTGAAATAAGATTGTGAAAAACTGTGAAGCTCCCAAATGTGGAATCTTCATGGGTGCTGTGGTCATAGTGGTATAACACTCTTAAAGTGACTTGGTAACATTGTTGGAAGATTGAGGAAAAAAACTGAGTAATTTTTGTATGAAATATTACTTATTATATTCCTTCTGCTGTACTAACCCTCTTACATGCAAAATATCCTGAAAAAATACGAAGATATTTATGGTTTTCTTTGAAGGCGTCACTGTGCGACACCTCTAACAGTAAATTCTCCCAACCATTTTTTGAAAAAAAGACATAAGACAGGCTTTTAAAAACCTTTCAACACTTAGATGTCTGGAATGGTATATAGAGCCAATTCATTGCTTTGTGACGATTTACATTCACCTAACATGTAATTAGATTGTTTTGATATACATGTAGTTGGGAGAATTAAGGAATCGATCAGACCAGTTTTCCCTATTTTTATCATTAATAATGGTCCGTTCTCACTCAAACTCTCAGATAATCTTTAATTGTACATCTAGCATTGAATTCACTACCTTAATACTATCTTCTCTCATCTGAGCAATGTTACCAAGACCCTTTAAAGGTAGAAAATTGTAAATTTCAACTGTATTGAATGAGTTGGTGACTCTTTTTTGTATAAATAATGTATATTTGGTAAATAATACTATAAGCAAGAACCAAAGCATTTCCTTAGTCTTATATATATATATATATGTGTATATATATTGGTGCTCAAATTATTATTCAGCAATGGATAAAGAAATTTAACATATATTATAGACTTTTTTCTAATTTTTTCTATGCAGTTATTCTTTTGTTGACATACATGAATTTTATTGGTGCATCATGGTTATACAAAGAAACTTGAATTTGTAATTGAATCATTTTTTAGGTACTGGTATATATGATTAACAATTCTGTATTTGATCTCAGAATGGGTTGGATATCTATTTCTTTCATTTTCTCAATATCGTACAAGTAGTTTTGTTCGATTGGATTTTTGTGTCAAAATTTAAAGTTGAGTTCTGGTCATGTGAGTGCTTTGTAAAAGAAACTGTCGAGAACTTAACAGGAAACTATCAGCGTGTTTCTACTAGAAGCCATTATCTGGTTAATGGCGGATAAGGGATAAATTTTGCCTAATAGAAACTGACCTTCTCCGCTATTATCCGGATAATGGCCGTGAGAGCTGTGACGCGTTCACGGGCAAAATTATTCTTCTTTTAGAAGGATAATTCAGGGGAAGCTAACCGGATAACGTAAGTAGAAACTCACGCCGTTCCGATGGAGTGCACATAACGGAGAGAAACAGGAAATGGGGAGTGATCACTAGATCAGAATATTTCACCCGACACTAAAATCCCAGGTTGACCTAGCAGTCCCACAATACTTTGCGGTGACCTTAGCCAAAGTCCGATGAACTTTTATCCACGGCATTTTAACCCACTATTTAAAATAGGAGCAGTGTATTTATCCGGATAATACACATAGATAGAAACTGTTCATTCCCTTGTATTATACGCTATTTTCCAAAAACAAATTAACCAGATAATTACAGTATAACTATTAGAAACTCGCCGTATGATTATGAAGTATATTGAAAAAATTATGTGTATTGTGAGGTTTTTGAATCACTAAAATGATAACGGATTAACCCCAAATTTGCTGAAAATCCCCACCCGTAAGAGCAATGCACACAAGTATATATACTCTTCGGTTGGAGACTGTATTTAGTGTATTACAGTATATGATATTATCATAGGGCCTCAAATAAAGAAGAGAACCTCTCGAGTACTACATATTGAACAAAAATTATGTTTTAGTAACTTTGTGTGTTGGAACAAGGAGAGAGAGAGAGAGGCCCTATATCATAGTGACATCACAGTGGCATCACAATGACATCATAGTGACATCACAGTGACATTACCAAGTCAGCCAGTTTGACATTCCCATGTGTGTACTTATTGCATTGTAAAGAAATTCTTAGGTTTCTATTCGTTTATCTTGTTTTGTTCAAACTTTCATGGACTTGGTTCTCCGATATTGCACTTTCTATTTAGAGCACTTTGCTGTTAAGTTTGGAATTTTCCCTTTAAACTTGGAGTCCCTTTGGTTATAAATTTAGTCAAGGCATATAAGTGGGTCTCTATGATAAACTTTTCCACTTTTCTTCAGAAATCCATGTTTCTTTTTCTTTCAGGTCAATGTACCTGTCATTAGCTAGTTTTATATTCAGTGCTCAGACATTCTCTCCAGCAACAATTGCTCAGGCTTTTATCTCGTCAAAGGTGTATAATTAGAGTCGGCGTTGTAATTGGGTTGTAGGTTAGGTGTAGTGTTTGATCTAGGATTGCAGTTAAGAAATTGGTTTAGTGTAGGAAATTGACACAGAGCAATTGTCAGTCACAGGAACATGTGTTCTCGTAAAACTGTATATTCTTGTAGATAGTTTGTTTATTTTTCAGTACAAAAACTTCTTGGGGACTATGCACATCTGTTTGTTTATTTTTGTTCATAGCCAAGACTATTTCTAATTGCACATGTCACATAAACCAGTACATGTATCTTACATTCTTCAAGTGATGTATTAATGTAACTTGGCAAAAATATCTTCCTCTTAGCTTTAGTATGAACTGAAAAGAAGAACATATTGCAAGTTGACTACTAGCTACATATCACTAATCTCAGATGTCTTCGTCTCAAATTTCAATATCTTAAAACTGTTATGAACATATCTTTAGAATGCTTTATTTTTTGTTGAAGCAAGATATTTTCAGAAATCTTGCAGATTCACTTGAAATCATATTTTTCGTAAGCTAAAAAAATGCAGGACATTATATTTTCTGGCACAAGGAAGATATTATATTTGTATTATGAATAACTCAAGGTAATGTGTGAATTATTGCAAAGTGCTATATTGTGGTTCTTCTTTATCACGATTTGGCATTGTTTTTGTCATTTATTGTATTGATATATGAATATGTCAACAGTGTAATCTTCGTGTTTTGATTTATTACATAAAGTATTATTTGTTGTTTATGAGATAAATCTTTATTATAATGGTTATTAGTTTCATCTGTATCAATGATCATGTATTTTTTGCCATTTCCTTTCAAATTATTTAAGATCAAAATATTACTATTTCTGTTGATTTATTATCATTTCACTGTTACATAACAAAAAGATAACATTCTTGTGGTGGGCAGAATTATATTGAATCATGATAAAGAGAGAATTATATTTTCAATAATTTTAGTAAAATAAAAAAAAAAATATATATATATATACATATTTTATTATCTTGTATCATTAATCTAAAAGCCACTTCGGGGATACTGTCTGCGCATGGGCAGATAAAGGGCATTTGTACAAAACTAAAAACTAATAAAAATGACTGCTGGATACGTGTTCATGAAAGTTATGTAATCATTCATTTATGCACAATTGTCCAGTGGTACATTATAATGCACAGGTGGAAAAATCCTTTTTGTCAAGAGTGCAAGCAAAATGTATTTATAAAGCACCTCCATTTAATATCTGGCAGTGTTTATTCTAAAATGCACAAAGTGGGACGTCTCCATGTTCATAAGGATCTGTGGATATTTGGGGGTCGTTTGTACAAATGCTATCTCCGTAGTGGCTTATTGTTGAGTAACACTGAATCGGGTGCTCTGGAAGGCATGCCGGGAAAAAGGGGGTAGATATTATGAAAGAGAGGGAGATAAATGTGGGGGGGGGGGGGCTAAGGATGGAAAGAAAGTGAAGGATAGAAAAAGAATGAGAAAAAGTATAATATAGAGAGGGAGAGAAAAGTGGGGAGGGGAGGGTTGAGAGAGACATGATCCTTATGATAACGTGCTCTATTTTATAAAAGAGCACAACTTCGGCCTTTGCCCGAAGTTGAAGACTTTATACTTCCCAGTGCGAAAGCATTTCAAAGAACATGATAATGGAAATAAAACGCACGTTATGATCCCAGGTCGAAAAACCAGTTGAAACCAGTAGGCAACTGGTCAACTGGTACCAGTTAAAACCAGTAGTCGACTGATATTGTGATAGTCAATAATCAATATTGGCATGATCTGGCCACCAACGAGACCATAATTAATGAACTCTTGCAATTACCCCATAACAAAGATAATTTGAAGTGGATTACAGATAAGTATCATACTAAATGAGTACTGTAGAACTCGTACGTATATATATACAAATTATACATGTTGTTTTCTGGTTAGTAATTACATATATCAGTATATCTATTTTTACGTCTTAAATTAGATGAAAAACATGATCAAACAATATATATATATAAATATATATATACATATATATATATATATATATATATATATATATATATATATATATAATTATATAGATTATATATTTGGCAATAATTGACTAAAAAAATGTAAATCACAAAATTGATGTACATTGCCACATTTGCTTGACAGATCATGATAATTATATTTTCTATGAAAACATGCAAATTAATCATGAATATGCATGAGATACATTGAACTGGTTTTCAACTGGTAAATCTACTGGTCTTCAACTGGTAAATCAACTGGTATTCTACTGGTTTTCAACTGGTAAATCAACTGGTAGTCATCTACTGGTTTTCAACTGGTAAATCAACTGGTAATCATCTAGTGGTTTTCAACTGGTAATCATCTACTGGTAAATCAACTGGTAATCATCTACTGGTTTTCAATTGGTAAATCAACTGGTAATATCAACTGGTCTCAGATGTCAACTGGCATTTCTACTGGTTTACAAATTGTATCAACTGGCATCAACTGATACCAGTTGAGACCCGTTCAAACCAGTAGATACCAGTTGGAAATCCTCACTGGTTTCAACTGGTATCAACTGGAATTTCGACCTGGGACATGCAATCTCTGCAGCCTTAATTTAATAAACATCCTACGTAAAGCTTGCAACTGGTAATCAGCTCCTGGTTTTCAACTGGTAAATCAACTCGTAATGATCTACTGGTTTTCAACTGGTAAATCAACTGGTAATCATCTACTGGTTTTCAACTGGTAAATCAACTGGTAATATCAACTGGTCTCAGATGTTAACTGGCATTTCTACTGGGTTACAAATTGTATCAACTGGCATCAACTGATACCAGTTGAGACCCGTTCAAACCAGTAGATACCAGTTGGAAATCCTCACTGGTTTCAACTGGTATCGACTGGAATTTCGACCTGGGACATGCAATCTCTGCAGCCTTAATTTAATAAACATCCTACGTAAAGCTTGCAACTGGTAATCAGCTCCTGGTTTTCAACTGGTAAATCAACTGGTAATCATCTACTGGGTTTCAACTGGTAAATCAACTGGTAATCATCTACTGGGTTTCAACTGGTAAATCAACTGGTAATCATCTACTGGTTTCAACTGGTAAATCAACTAGTAATATCAACTGGTCTCAGATGTCAACTGATATTTCTACTGTTTACAAATTGTATCAACTGGTACCAGTTGAGACCAGTTCAAACCAGTAAATACCAGTTGGGAATCCTTACTGGTTTCAACTAGTATCAACTGGAATTTCGACCTGGGATGCAATCTCTGCAGCCTTAATTACATAAGAGAAAATGAGGAGGAAAGGTCGGAAACGTCCTACGTACAGCTGGTGAAACACTTTCTTTTCCTCTACACAATCATACAGTTCAAAACGTTTGTTATTTAGATACTAGTGAATAAAGACATTTTTGTTCTATTTGTCATCACAGTTTTACATTTTGACCACCGTAATAATCCCTGGTTAATCTTGTGGTATTCGACTTGAAGTCGCATTTGATGCAAAAGAAATAATACCCCCTCTCGCGGTTATGCCATATTGTTAACGGATTTTCTGTTTTGTTCGCTCACAACGGCACTAATACAATGACCTCACTCTTCTATCTGAGCGAAATTCTAAAACGATATTTCAGTGCTCTCCTATACAGGGGGGGGGGGGGGGGGGGGGGAGGTGGGGACAGAGAAGTCTGACAAATCACTAATTAATAAATAATTCATGTCAGCAGCAATACAATATATGCACAAAAGAAAGTTTAGCACTTTTCCTGGCCTATTTGAAGAAGTCATGATTATCGACTAGGCAAGCATGGCAATAAGCAAATATATTTCAATTGAAGCACATTTTTCTTCAACACGATAATTTTGTGCAGATTTTTTCCCTCTGTGAATATGTGCAATTGCTAGTTTGATGTTATCTTCAACTTTCATGGCAGATTGGTAAGTGGTAACACCTTAAAAGTAGTGGGGATGGGATCATAACGTTTGTTAAATCACACATTAATTACCAGGAAGTTATCATGACAATACTTTGGCATGCTGGATTAAAAGATGTTGCTAAGTTGGCCCATACAAATGACTTTCCAGAGTTTAGCAACATGTTTATCTTTCAAAAGAACTCACAGATTTATAATGCAGAGTTACGAGGCTGTTTTCATGCGCTTAATTCATTCCTTTCTAGGACACATGCAGACACGGTAAAGAAGTTACAGTTACCAATACAATGAACATTTTATGCAACATATAACAAAATAGTTTCTTGTATCAAGTTTGATGAAGGGAAACATACAGACCTGGGGGTGTTTCACAAAGATCCCAAGTCAAACTTAACTCTAAGTCGGACTTAAATATTATGGAGAGCCATGTGTAGCCTTAAAATAAAATATATTCCAAAGCAAAATTTCAAGTATTTTAGACTTTTTATAAATTCCACATTAAGAACATGAAATCTCCCGAGATAATAGAAAATATGAATAACTGGAATCAACATTTTATGCCTTTTAAAATAATTTTTACAAAATATTTTCAATGATGCTAACGGCATTCCATAATATCTAAGTCCAACTTAGAGATAAGTTCAACTTAGGATCTTTGTGAAACACCCCCCTGGATAAGTTGAGAGTTGCAGAACGACAACTTTCTATGTCACTTTGTATCTGTTTCACGAGCAATGTGTGCATCAAATGGGTTGCCATAATGAGGGAGCCAAATCTGTAATATATAACTATTTTGATAAAAGATATAGTTCACAATATGAAATAATTAAGTCTACCTTCCATGTGCAACCTAATTCATGTATCACAATTGAATGCATGAATATTATATATACATCACCATTGAAACATTTCCAGGTGTTCATGGAATATGACAATATTGTCATGTTATTGTCATGAGATGGGTTTCATCGAACTTTATAACGGTGTTTAAAGAAAGACGTATTTTGCTCGATCAGGCAAATACCCAAGGGTTATCGCTAAACGGTATGGAGCGATCCCGTAGAGATGAAGCATATGTGAGGAAGAAGAAGAGTTTGAGGATGTAGATGATGATGTCCCCCTTCCAAAAAAAACTGGATGAAATTCTTTAAAAGGCGTTCACAGAAGTATACGTTGTGCACATGGGTGTCGATCCTTACGTAATACCTATTCATCAGGGGGGGGGGGTGAATGAATAGATCATCCCCCTGATGAATAGGTATCAGTTACGTATCGACACCCATGGTTGTGCATGGTATTTATTCATAAATGTCTTTATGTTGTTCCATCTCATTTCAGGAATTCAGAGCAAGTATTTATAACCTCTGGTGGATTCCATGTTGAATTGCAAATTTGCAATCATCTCATGATTGATCTGGAAAATTAGTTACTATTGATGAAAGGCAAAATCATCATCTAGTACATAACCACGAAGACTCAAATACCCAGATTGGCTTCATGCCTTAGAGTCTCAGTGCAGCAATATGAAGTTTTGAAGTTTATTAACAACAACAAAATGAATGTACTGTACATCATAAAACAAAGTATGCAAGGCAAAACTATAAAATACAAACTGTACATAGTGTACAAACCAATGAATTACTGCAAAAACTTAATTAATGCTTAATCATAAAACACATTTATACAAGAGTTCAAGTTGTTGCTAAAAGAAAAAAAAGTTAGCACAAATGCTAGTCGACATCGGTTTTCTCTATAGGTATCTCTTCATTACTATATCATCATACTAGTTCTTACAAGTATATTGTATACTTTCAAAATACAAAACATTACTAACTACTAACATAACAGACAATTTATTTGTTCATCAAATAAATTGTGAGGGTATTATAAAATGAGTATCTTGTTTTTTGTTCTCTAATCTTCTGAGGTAAGCTATTCCAAAGCTTCGGTCCAACAAAAGAAATAATGAGTGTACCTTGTGTCGTACTACAAATTGGCAAGGGTAGCGTTGCATTTTCTTTTCCTCTTGTTTCATAAGTATGGTGTACAATCCTACAATAATCTAATTAATGTGTGTGGCAAATTTATGTTATACAAATCATATACTCATGTTAAAAACTGCCAGTTCATGGAAACCAAAAACATCCAATATTCAAGATTCAATTGTTTAAACAGTGGTCCAGAGGATATTCTCAATAATGAAAACGTAATAGCTTGCACCGCCATCTTCTGAGCTAAATGAATAATTCAAGCGAGATTTATAACCGCTTCCCAATACCTCGATTCCATAGAGTATGTGGGGCTGTATAAACGATTTATACAAGAGCACAAGGGTATACTGAGGAACGAAATATCTCAATTTGAATAGCAAACCCACTTTTCTACGAACGCACTTATTAACACAATCAATGTGATTGTGATGCTTCCAAGACAATGTACTATAAATTTTGAACTCCTACAAAAGATGCCACGCTCACATCATTAATGTCCGTATTAGACAGTCTAAGGACACCATTTACATCAATTGCCCGTCGTTTGCTATCAATAAACATATTATTAGTTTTCTTAAATTGATAGTGAGTTTATTAGCATCGCACCAGTTTTTAATTGCAACTAGTTGCTCTTTACCCTCATTTACATCACTTTCAATTTGATTATCATCAAAAGTGTGAAAAATATTTGAATCGTCTGCAAACAATCTAAAATTAAAATATTTAGTACAACAAGGTAAAGAATTAATATAAACTAAAAATAATGTAGGTCCCAGAACTGACCCCTGCGACACGTCGCACGTTATATTGTCTTTCCGGTAGATGTGATCCTTGGTGATATCCGTACCTTTTCTATTGACCGAGTTATAGCTATGACTGAACTTCCCGTACTACAGTGGTCACCCAGTTTGATGCCAAAGTAGGTCAGGAGAAGGTCTGATTTTCCACTTGTTATCATAAACAGGATCAAGTCGTATATAGTGTCTCCTGTTTGACTTGTAATTCTGTGTTTGTCGACATTTTCCAGCGTCTTTGAACATTTTTCCTCGCATGCATTGACCATGTATGTTGGAAGAAATAATTGGTGACAAAAATCTCCTGCGAGGATTGAGGAAAGAAGGATAATATCTACACTGGACATTTAAAGCAAAAATCATGGGCCATTCCTTGTTTTCTCACGCACTGGATCAAAGTAGACTACATTGATTATCATTCTCACACTGTTGCTTTGCTCTATACCAAACCGAATTGTGGATATCAGTCAGCTGTTCTTCTAAAAGCATCATTAGTATAGGATTTCTCGGTCAATTTCGTAAGTTGGCCACACAAATTAATTTTATGTTCATTCAATTTCGCCGATTCTGTCACCGCAGCTGTTATTTTTCGTTCAAATTCGTTTTTTAGCATTTAAATTCATAAAACGATCATTCAAAAACATTTTATTTTCGTTTGAATTAAAACGTGTTTCTTTTTCGTAAAATGTTCATTCAATTTAAAGCGAGACGATTCGCGATTACGTTATAGCGTCTTCCGTGAATTCAAATTCGTTTCTTTGCATACAATTTCAGTACACGTTTTGCAGACAAATCAAACATGTAAAGCTTGCAGTAAGCTTAGTTCCATGCTAAATCCATTTCAAATTGTATGGGGTAAGCAACAAATTTAGCAACTGAACGATCATGTGCTAAGTAGATATAACCTAGCCACATCAATATAGAATTAGCATGGAACTAAGCAAGAGTGTCTTTTTATGAATATGCAATGATATAAGTGCATGCAAAGTGTGTGTTTTACAGACTACAGTTCTATTTATTGGAGTGGCGGACCATAATGGTGGGGGGGGGGGGTATCGATACTCTATACATTGATTTATTTTTTTATGTTTTGTTTTGTTTTGTTTTTGATAATTTATTCGATGTTCATAATCTCTTTGAAGCGATTTATATTTGCGTAAATTATATTTAGTCTGTATTGAACATGTTAAGAACAATCTATGAGTATCATCAGTTTAATCACAATCATAATCACATCAAAATCTGAATCACCATCACACCATCACACTGACTATATCTATACGTATATTCGCTGTGTGTATGTTATACACCGCGTGTCGCTTTCTTGATGACATTACGTAATATCGTTAATTAAGTCTAAGATACGAAAGCGACGTTCTTGTTTGATCAACCTAACTATAGATGTCAAGGTTTACTTTATTCAGGTTGTAAGTAAGTATAGGCGTCCGGGCGCATCTTTGCTAGGGAGCTGATATGCCACTTTAATAAAATACGACATTATTTTGATATATTATTAAGGTTCGCATGAAACTTACATTTGGTCATCTCGCTGCCCCAATTTGAACATATTTTTTCAGCGACGATGATCGTGCTCCCTCTCCATGAATTTCTGTATACGCCAGTTAACGCCATGCCATTGTAGCAAAACTCTTGGTATAATTATAAATCGGAGTAATAATGATAACAATTACAATGCGAAGTGCGTGAATAGCAGTGCAAAGTTTGCGTTAAAAATCTTGAAGAAAGAAAAAAATCAAGTAATTTGAAATCTAAAAAATTCGTAATGATGATGATGATGAATCATTATTATTATCATTATCATTCTTACTTTAATATAGGATTTCTCGGTCACTTTCGTAAGTTGGCCACACAAATTCATTTTATGTTCATTCAATTTCGCCGATTCTGTCACCGCAGCTGTTATTTTTCGTTCAAATTCGTTTTTTTAGCATTTAAATTCCTAAAACGATCATTCAAAAACATTTCATTTTCATTCGAATTAAACGTGTTTCTTTTTCGTAAAATTGTCATTCAATTTAAAGCGAGACGATTCGCGATTACGTAATAGCGTCTTCCGTGAATTCAAATTCGTTTCTTTGCATACATTTTCATACGTTTTGCAGACAAATTAAACATGTAAATCTTACCCAGTATGATCATATATAGAACCCCGCAAGCTTAGTTCCATGCTAAATCCATTTCAAATTGTATGGGTTGGTAAGCAACAAACATGTTATTTGTCCTCACAATGGTGTATAAGTATACCTACTAAATCATCACTATTTAGCAACTGAACGAACGAAACCTAGCCAAATCAATATAGAATTAGCATGGAACTAAGCAAGAGTGTCTTTTTATGAATATGCAATGATATAAGTGCATGCAAAGTGTGTGTTTACAGACTACGGTTGTCTTTATTGGAGTGGCGTACCATAATGTGGGGGGGGGGGGGGGGGGGGGTTATCAATACTCTATACATTGATTTATTATTAATGTTTGGTTTTGTTTTGTTTTTGATAATTTGTTCGATGTTCGTAATCTCTTTGAAGCCATTTATATTTTGGGTAAATTATATTTAGTCTGTATTGAACATGTTAAGAACAATCTATGAGTACCAGTTCAATCACAATCACATCAAAATCTGAATCACCATCACACGGAATCACAATCACGATCGTGATCACAGTCACAATTACCATCTCAGTCACATCGTAATCACCATCTCAATTACAATCACGATCACGATCACATACAGTAACAAGCACAATCACGCTACACAATCATTAATGAGTTTGATACATTGTTTTCTCACTGCGCGCACATCTCAATAACTCATGCATGTGGACATAACCTAAAGAATGACATGTTATATAACTCATTTGTTTAATTAAGATGAGAAACATGTGCATATACCATGTATACCATAGGTTTGTAAAGATAGGCGAATATGAATGAAAACTTTGTTATTTAGAATGACCCAAAGTGAAATTGAATGGTACGGACGTCCGATTTGCCATTGTTGACGAAAATGAATGCAAACTGCGCATTTGTAAGGGATTGTTAAAATGAATGAAACAAGTGCTCAATCCATTGACCGAATAAGTAAATCAAATGAAAAAGTGTTATTTTGAATGAAATTTACACGCCGGCAGCATTATTTTGCGAATTTGAATAAACTTTGTATCAAAAAGAATGAAAAGCTTACGAAAGTGACCGAGAAATCCTATATTATTACTATTATTATAAGTTCTATAATACTGTGTTTTTCGTTCCTGCAGAAAGAGAAATAAGCAACCTCCTCTTATACGACCGTTACCATGACAACCTCCGATGATTTCCGTGTCTGGGGCAAGGAGATGGTGGACTACATCTCACGTTACCAGGACGGTATCGAGGACCGACCAGCCCTTGCCCAAGTAGCCCCGGGCTACCTGCTGGATCAGATGCCCGCCGATGCCCCTCAGAAGCCCGATGAGTGGAATGACGTGATGGCTGATGTGGAGAGGCTGATTATGCCAGGGGTAAGGAAAAGCCCTTGTACAAAGTTTTGACCCCCCCCCCCCCCGAAAAAAAAGAAGGCTCAGATCGAAGTGATTACTGAGTTGTTGGGAAAATGCGTGAGCTGTTGTGAAAAGGCTTATTTTGTAGGGGGTAAGGAATAGCGTTTTGCAATCATGTTCTGCCCTTCATAGGAAAAAATAAGGACCCCCCCCTCCCCTTTACTATTCAAACGTGTTTGAAAAGATGTGTTAGCTGATTAGGAATGCCAGAGGTAAGGAACTATCGTTTCCACGTTTTAACCCACCCCCCCCCCCAAAAAAACAACAACAACAACAACAAACAAACAAACAACAACAACAACAACAACAACAACACAAAAACAACAAAAACAAATTATTAGATAAGGAAATAAAAGAACCAAGGCCCGTATTCATTAAACTTCTAGGACATTTTAACACCTTTTGCTAACTTCACATCTCTGCTTTAAAATAAGATGAGAAAAGACATTGCCAAATATACTTATAAATAAAAAAACTAAAACTTTTTTTGAGTCGCAGAAGAAGACGATTACTGATAATTTGACCGAAACGCGAACCCATATTCGGGGTCCGATAATTTAGCCTCCAGGGGGGCTATTATTAGTCGAAAGGTGTCGGGTATTTAATTCAGCGCGCGCCAAAATTAGGGTCGTCTGATCTGCACGCGTTCACACATAGAAGTATAATTTACATCATTCATCGTCTGATTGTAGCCAGAAGGGCATTTACTGGGCATATAATTTAACACACAGTTGATAGTACATCTATCTGCAAACAAAAGATATGTTTTTCTTTTTTGTATAGGGTAGGTGTGGGGAATCGGAGACCCTTAAGCACATTTGCATAATTCACATAAACATGAAAAGTGTTACACATACAGAAAGTTTCGTATTCTCTTCAGTAACTTCTTCTCTTTATTTGGTAACAAAATTGTGGTCATGACGTAACTGATTAATAAGATAACAATGATCAATGATGTCATCACCAAATGTCTCTCATTACCTACATGTGTATGTAATATGCGACAGTTACAAATCAAGACATTTTAAATACAATTTGAATGAAAATGGGATTTTTATAGTTAGTTCACACGCAAGAGATACATGCAGCCAATGAACTTACTGTAATTTTGAAACGATTTCAAAACATAGGGCCTAAAATATTTCTGTAGTTTTTTTTTTACAGTAATAAAGGTGCTTTAAATTATGTTGAAATACTTTCAGAATAATGTTCTGGCAATGTGACTTTTACATTGATCAAACTCACAGCATAAAAACAACTTTTTAAAATGAAATGCATTCAAATTAGAATGGTGACACGAACAACCAAATATGTTTCATGATAGGGCCTTTCAACATGAAATGAACAACCGGGGAAAGTAGGCCCCCATCTTGGACCTGGTGTCCCCCTTTGCCTACACACATTTCTGATCAGACACCATTCATAATGTGCATTGCAACACCCATTCACAACACACAATGGCCATACGTTTTCTGCGATGGTTGGCACACTTCATAAACTTCCTTTTAAAACTACTTTTTAAGAGCCACCCCGGCCTAAATATCTGCATACACCACAACATTCAGTGAAAATTGTGTTTTATATCAGAGCACAAGTTTAACATCAAATTGCTTATCTTGGTCAATTTTGCCAATTTTCTCGGAGAAAAACGCATTGTAGTCTTCGAAATGAATTGGATTTATGTAGTAGTGTTGTTAAAGGCCACATTTAGCGCTATAGCAATATTAGAGCCAACATGGACAGACAGTGATGGGTTCAAGCTTGGTGGTCTCCAATTCCCTACGGTCTCCAATTCCCTACACCTACCCTAGATTTAAAAAAATCTGTTTACATAGTTGTATTACGAATTCATTCATGAATAAAGAATTTAACAACATTTTCTTTTTGTTTCAGACCGCACCGTATATTTTAGATAATTAAAGAGAAGGTTGAGTTCTGGGAAGAGGTGAAAAATAATGTGTGAGCATTACTCATTCTTATTATGCAAGTGTGGAAGAACATCAGTTAAGACATGTTCCCTGTAAAGCTTGGCTCTTCAATGCCTTCATATTTTAATATGCATGTAACATCGTAAAAATCGGGCCGGCTTTTTACGCCACGTGTTCGTGTAGTCCCATATACATCTTTCTGTGCAAGTGTTTGTAACTTAACCAAGACTTGGCCAAATTTCTTATCATTTTGATGATTCCAGAACCTTGCAATACACACAAATTCTTATATGCTAGATGATCAACCTTTTCTGTCGGTCCACACCGTTTCTTTCACAATGCAATCGCATGACCAGAACTCAACTTCATCGTTAAGTTGTTTAACAATGAGATTTATATCATCAAGTGTAATCAGTCCATGCATAATAATGATCTAATTGAGGTTATATCCAGTACAAATCGGAATTCCTCGGATTTTAAAACTATGACGTAAAAGTAAATTTGGCGAGCGACATCACTAAAAAAAAACCAGAATAAAGAAATTACCATCTCGTTGTGTTGCCCCAATATGAGATGACGGTTGCCCGAAAGTTCCTCTTTATTGATTTTACCCCTCTTTCTGAAAAAATAAGATATGGAATCAATATAATCGCTCCAGATACCTTTCATTCAATCGTCCAGAGGCTCTTTTTGACCATATCATCCATGGATAAGGCGCCATGAGGTACAACTCTTGATAATATAATTCTTCAAGATGAATTGCATGTGCACCCTGTTGATTCTACTCGCATTAATTACTAAGAACCTGATCACGGGGGCAGCTGTTGGCATAATTAATTAGCTCGTTAAAAATATGATGTTACTGAAACATACTGGTACCTTAGTTAGCTTGTACTGTAGCGATGTAAATATTACGTAATCCCGATACACACACAATGCCGACACTGAGCGAATTTGTTTGTGTGGACAAGTCGGTAATAATGATTTGACGAGGGCGCCGTGCATCAATTATCATAAGAGAATCAATAAATGTGATGTATGATAGCAAACGTGTGACAATCGTCGACTCGTCGTTCCTAAATATAAGATCCTCACATCTTCTTCATTTATCTACAATATTATATAGGCCCCATTGTAATTGACAATTTTTTCGTAATTTCAGTTCCATATCTTAAATTCTTTCTATTTGCATTGTTAGGACCCTGTACTTTCAAGAGTCAAAGAGTAGTTTATTGATATAATTCTCATTAAAAAAAAAGTGTGCAATATTATTCTGTCAGGACAACCATAATCTATGAACATATTGAGAATTATTATTGTCGAGAAGGATATTAATTACAATTGTTGATTAAAAAATTATAATAAATTGTAACCATCATTATGAAATTCCATTCCGTATGTATTTGTTTGAATAATATCTGTTTTATCATCATCATCATCACTCTCGTTGCTAGGTAACGCAGTGGAATCATCCCATTTCCACGCCTACTTCCCCACAGCAAACTCCTTCGCTTCTCTATTAGGTGATATGTTATCAGGTGCTATCGCCTGTGTCGGGTTTTTCATGGGTGAGTACACATTACTTTTATATATCTACACAATCTTTCTTTTGTTTGGGGGGATACGAATATTATTCTATGTACATTTATTTTTTCATTTTTTTCTTCTCCGATTTGGAGGGGTGGGCACATGCCCCCTTGACCCAGTCACCAATCCACCATTGCATATCAAAATTGCTATTCACTTCTTTTTTTCTTTTTTTTTTGGGGGGGGGGGGACAGGACATCTAGAAAGCAATATTGATGATAGGACAGGTGCTGTTTAATCTACACTGTCGCTCATATAGTTGGAATTTTTTTTTTTACCCCAATTTATGGAATTATTTTGACAATAATTTATTCCTAATAGATCTAGATAATAGTATACATTCTAAAATGTTTTTGAATAATAATAAGCCAGTGTTGTTTTGCGTGACTGCTAAAGCATGTGTGTGCTACTATGTTTGTCAACTAGGGTAACTACGCCCTTAAGTCATAAATGACAGTAAAGGCCGTAAGTCATAAATGACAGTAATGAGGATTAATGCCTCACAAAAGGACACTAATATGGCACTAATATGGCACATCGACACGGTTTTGACACTGGGGCTTCACAGTTACGAGGCCATTGTTTTGCCACTGAACCATGACTGTACGTAGCGGGGCTAGGGTAGGGGGGCAGTTCCCACAAATAAAAAAAAAACAAAGAAAATGCAATAAATTATCAATAATTCATTGAATTCCCCCCCCCCGGTCCCCAACATTAAAAAATCCTCTGTACTTCCATGCATTATGGCTCAAGGCATGGGCACACAGAAGATTTTTTTTTTTTGTAACTGTGAGGCCCCAGGACCAAAACTGCGTCGATGTGCTATGTTAGTGCCCTTTTGTGGGGCATTTATCTTCATTACTGTCATTTATGACTTAAGGGCGTAAGTCCCCTAGCTGATAAGCATAGTAGCATACACATGCTTTAGCAGTCACGCAAAACAAACACTGGCAAATTATTATTCAATAAAATCTGAGAATGTATACTATTATCTAGATCTATTAGAATTAAATCATTGTCAAAATAATTCCATAAATTGGGTCAAAAAAAGAAATTCCAACTATATGAACGACAATGTATATGAATGAGTTACATAAATTATTTTCTCGTGTTTTTTATTGTTGTTGTCTTCATTAGATAACCAGTCCAGCATGTACGGAGCTCGAGATGGCTATGATGAATTGGTTGGGAAGGATGTTGAATCTTCCTGAATCATTTTTATTCAATGAAACAAGGCAGGGAGGAGGAGTCATTCAGGTAGGAAGTCTCAGAATAAAAGTTAAATAGAGAAAAGGAAGTGGTGAGGAAAATTGTGAATAGATGGTGAAGAAAGTGCTATTAAGTACATGTAGTTAAAGTAGAAGAAAGGGAGAAAAGAAGTTAAAGGTAAAGACCAGTTATGGTCATGCGATTGCATTGTGAAAGAAACGTTGTGGATCGATCAGAAAAGGTTGATCATCTAGCATCAAGCATCTGCAAGGTTCTGGAATCATCAAAATGATAAGAAATTTGGCCCATTCTTCGTAAAGTTACAAGCACTATACACAGAAAGATGTATATGGGACTACCCTATATCTCTCACAGACCATGAGAGAAAACAAATTTACCAAATATATGAATTAGTAGGCGGTTTCCCAGCAAATTTTTTATCAATTGGGGCGTTTCCAATACTGGTCTTTACCTTTAAGAAAGAAGAAATCAAGGATATAATGAAGAGGAATCAGAAGTAGAACGAGAATAAAATATATAACCCTACATGTTGTGTTAACAAGACATCTATATATTACCCTAATATACATTAACAGGACATTAAACAACTGGCATATTACCCTATCCGTAACCCTAACCCTCAATTCAAACAATATACCTATTAAACTGATGACTTTTTATTAATTATATTGTTTCTTGGGAGGCCTTTAATTTTCCTCTGCCTGCAAACGTACGCAAAGGACAGTAATTATATTGTTCAATCGTTAACAGGACACGAAATGTGCTGCTTAATGACTCATTTCGTCACTACATGTCCGTCTAATGACGCTGTAAGATGTATAAATGAGTGATACAAGAAGATAAGGTATAAAACATGCCGAAAATGAATAAGTAGAAATAAGAAGTAGAATGGAGAAAATAGATAAGAAGAATGTGGAGAAGGTTATGCGTAGAGAGAGAGAGAGAGAGAGAAAAGATGAATTATAGATGTATAAAGAAAAGTATCCTTGGAAAATGATTAGGTAGAGTTTTAGTAAACGGAGATCTACCAAACAACAATAACAACAAAATAATGAAAGGGATAGAAAATATAAAGGCATTGAGGCAGGAAGCAATATTCGTAGCGTTATCCATAATAATTAAAGATACACTCATATGAATATTGCTTTCTTCAAACAGGGTTCAGCAAGTGAAGCAACTCTAGTAGCCTTGCTGGCAGCTAAGATGAAGACAATAAGACAGAAGATAGAGAGGATCCGAGTCTTGATCAGTATGACGTCATGTCAAAACTAGTCGTTTACACATCAGACCAGGTATATCTCCATCCCAGTATAGCTTCCTAAGAAAGCTGCTAAAGGGATTACTCCATCAAGTATCGAGCATCCAGATTTTTAGTCTGTTTTAAGGGTGTCGATGTTGTGAGGGGGGGGGGGGGGGGGAAAGGGCAATAGCCTTTAGATTTCTCATGATAATATTGTGTTATTTTGGAGTATATGCCTTACGAAAATTCAAGCATAAATCTACCAAAAAAGCAACTCTTTACTATTTCCATATCTGTGACGTCAGAGGATATTAGAGATATCGACTGCTTCGAGAGGCCTGCCTGTTTTATATGGTCAAGAGAATGCACGCACATCTTGACATGACCCAGAGGCGCGCCTGGGTGGGCGGCGCGCGTCATTTTTTAACCTAACCTTGCCATCCTATCGCTGCATTTGATTGGCTCAACAGGAACCATACGTCATGCGCTAGTCATAAATATTCACGATACGCACGCATGTACAGAATCTGATGCGATAATTTATCAAATAATGAGATTTCATACAAAACTTACAAGTGCAAAGCTATGTTTACTTAAAATGATGACATTGTGAGAAAATTGGGTGGCTTACCATTAACGAATGACTGCCCAGGTCATAAGTTGTCCATAATCATTGCGACATACTGGTTAAGTCCAGAATATGGCCGATTTATTTTTTTATCTCAATCACAATTGCAAGATGGCAAGTTCTCGAGAGCCTATAAATCAACCAGACATGAATATTAAAGCAGTCTATATGTCTTTTATATTCCGAATTCAAACAGAAATCTACCAAGAGTTCTTACCTTATATCCTTTTATTGAGAATATGGCTGTTTATCTTTGCTGGAAAAAGACTGAAATTTTCGATCAGTTGGGAATCGCAGACAAAAAGCACTGTATGGTGTCCGCGCTCGCTCAAAGAACATTTTAACACGCAAACCAATGGGTATCGCAGCAAAATGGAACTATTTGCATGAACCAGAATTTTGAGGGATCTCACTCTTGGACTATTAACCGGTTTTGGCACTTTTCGTTTCTTTACGGGAATGGTTAAAATCACGACTTCAATTTCGACCAATCAGATGGCTGGATTTCTTAAGTAAGGTGTATCGTTTCTATTATTTCCCGCTCTAGTTGCAGAGATCATCGATTCTTGGTTATTATACTGAATGGAACCGTGCCCCCGTAACAATGCCCAAAGTTGAAAAGGAGTAAAGGAATTCACTATTTAAATTATTCCATTCAGACACGGTGATTTTGATCATGATGATCTTGAATTAAGTTTCATATATATATATATATATATCCCTCTCTCTCTCTCTCTCTCCCTCCAAAGAGCCATTCATCAGTCGAACGAGCAGCTTTGATTGCTAGTCTTCGCATCAGACAGCTGGCCACCGATGACAAAGGTTCTCTGAGAGGGGATGTACTCCAGAAAGCCATAGAAGAAGACAAAGCCAAAGGGAGAATCCCTGTTTACGTAAGATACGATGTTACGTTGCGGTGATTCAAAAATTAGGAATATTGAGGTTATTCTAAGTAGTCTAGGATTGTTTGAACGAACAAATACGCAACATAATTATAAATAGACAACAAACGAACAAAATATAAAGAAGAAGGAGAGGAGGAGGAGGGGGAGGATCGAGGAAGAGAAGAACAAGAACAAGAACAAGTAGAAGGAGGATGATGAGAAGGAGGAGGAGGAGAAGAAGAAAAGCAAAACTAGAACTATGTACCGAAATTGTTATTTCCACCTTTTTTTTTTGAGGGGTAGGGGGTAACACAATGAATTTTAGTTTAGTTTAAGCTTGCGAAATGATTTTTTTTTTAGAACCGATCAGCTTTTTGCGTGATAGATTTCTTCAATTGAGTAGAACTTGAAGCTTATAAATGTCACGGTTATACATGTTATGTTAAGATTCAATGACAGATAAGAAAAGTAATTCATGCCAAATTTCCTATAACAAAAAAAAAAAAAAAATTTATCTTTTGAAAGAGGACAGTTGTTTGTTTGTTTGGTAACTTGATGGTATCACATATACTTGCTAGCTATTCTTCCATTTTTTTTATTTTTATTCATCTTTAGTTATCTTTTACACTCTTTTTTTGTTTAGCTCTGTGCTACACTCGGGACAATCACGTCATGTGCGTTCGATAATCTCAAGGAGCTGGGTCCAATATGTGAGTATCACTGAGGGGGGGGGGGCACAATAATTAAAGGCATCGTTTAACAATGTTAAATCGGAGATGCACGGCCCTACGTGTAATCAGTGTCTGTGATATGATGTAATATTGAAGCCCTAAAACAAAACGCGCTTCAAAATGATCAAGAAGTGCCTCAAAAAAGTAAAAATCGTTGAGTGACCGGTTTTACCATACTCATATTCCCCAGTAGACTGTAGTGTTATGAAAACCGTTAGGCAAACGCAAAATTTGGTTTTGATTTCCAATCTTTAATATCTTGATAATCAGACAGGCGATCGGCTTGTAAAAATCATGGGGTTCCTGACTGACCTAAAGGTTTATACTTATCATTGCAGCATGAGCTAAATCCAGGATTTTGTTTCAGAATCTGAGAGCAAGTTACCGGATCCCTTTAAGAGACGCGCCATCAACTCCCTTTGTATTTTCCAATGCTATTGGCATGCATGCCAGACATGTTTTAAACATGAAAAGTGTTAAATTTATGCCACTCTTTAAAATAAAAAAAATATTTTTTAAACAAATTAAAGAAGAAAAACGGCTATAAGGATAAAAAATATCGGTCCTGCCACTGAATGGGCATGGCAGGTCCTATTATAAATTGATAAATGCTTATAAAAATTAAATCGTTAAGCCAGAGTGTACAGTAGGGGCAACTATCATTAAAGTAGGAATAATTTTGTTTTCCTCCGCCCCCTTCAACTCCCCTTTCTTTCACTATTCGATTAGGAAAGGGGGAGTCTGCCCTTCCTGGTAGCTATACGCAACTGGTCGTCATATTAATTTTTTCAGCCTGTGATCATTATTTTTTTTTGTTTAAAATCCATATTTACAGAGTTTGATTATTGTCCATTCTTACAATGACACGAATTAGAGCCTATATTTGAACGAGAAGTAATAAGCCTTATTACGCTTTTTCATTTTTTTAAATATTTCTACATGGGCAGGTAGAGAAGAGGGCTTGTGGTTTCACATTGATGCTGCATACGCCGGTAGTGCTTTTATATGCCCAGAATACAGACATCTATTAGACGGTGTCGAGGTAAGTTTCTAATTTATATTGGTCATCCCCTTATACAGGGTGAGTCAGAAAAATGTCCCACTTTTAAAAAGTTGTATTGTTTAAAGTTTGACTATTTAATCAGGGGTTTCATGATATGTCTTGATAGAGTTTATCCTCCCAGTACATGTACATTTAGGTACCATTTTCATTTGAGTCCCTTCACGCATGACTGAACATCAGACAATCTTTTCAAGACTGCCAGATTTCACTTGCGCTAACTTACTGGGTGAGGAAAAAACAGTGCATTGAACAAAGACGTCAGGCAGACAGACAGACACACACACACACGCACACACAAAAAAAAACAGGCGCACATACTCACACACACACACGTACGCGCACGCACCCACACACACACACCACACACACACACACACAACACAGACAACACACACGGTTACAATTGTCTGATTATTTTCCCTTTTCTGATTAAGCATTGATTTTTTTCAAGATCCCTTAATGTTTAAGTGGCATTTCCCTGACAATGTCTCTTTAGTACACATTCACTACCACCATCATATCATCATCATTGTCATCATCTTAATCTTAATTATCATCATCATCATGAAGTGCACATGAATCCTCTCGACTTCTTCTTGTGGGGCCACTTGAAGTCAAGGATCTTCAGCAGCCCACCATGTGAACATCGAGGAGCTTCGGAGAGAATCATGGACGAGACAGACGTGGTACACCAAGATGGGGACATAATCCGGCGAGCTTTTCAAGAATGCTTCACCATGCACAACTGTGCTCGAGAGGAATGGCGGCCATGTCGAGGATTGAGTACGGAGGATGGAGAACTTTGGGGAACAGATTCAATGTTGTACCACAATAAGATCCTGTAAAGATTGTCTGATGTTCAGTCATGCATGAAGATTCAAATGAAAATGGTACCTAAATGTACTGGGAGGATAACTCTATCAAGACATATCATGAAACCCATAATTAAATATTCATACTTCAAACAATACAACTTTTAAAAAGTGGACATTTTATCTGACTCACCCTGTACAACGATGCTTTTCTGCCCTTTCTGATGCTTTCTAAAAACTAACTGTTGAATTCAAATGAAAGAAATGGGGAGTGACAGAGTTTTGAAAAGGGTAGATGTACACATTACACTTTAATCTAGAATTTGCTTAGTGTTCACCCATAATAATACGCAATTCATGCAGAAATGACAAACACCGTCACATTTTGGCAGTTTTAAATTTTAATGACAGTTCAGGTTTCAGACTGTGCTGTAGATGATCGATATTTTGTTTCTACCCATTATAGGTGGTGGTAATTTACTGACTGCTAGGAAAGCATAAATGCTTGTAAGTAAGCAACCAGACGGCCGACGGCTTTAGGTCCTCTCCGAGGACCTGGTAATGAGGATTAATGCCTTACCAAGGGCACTAGCGCATCGACTTGGTTTCGAACCCGGGTCACCGGGCGGGAGTGGAAGTTGATGTGGGCCTACAATCAGGCGCGTACACAGAGGGGGGGGGGGTTGGGGGTTAACCCCCCCCCTTTGGTAATTTTGTGTGTGTAAACCCCCCCTAAACCCCCCCCCCCCCCCCACTGAGCGACTTTTTCGGTTGGCTGAGTCGTTGCGATTTTTTTTGGACTACCAAAAAAAAAAAAAAAAGTGTCCGCTTACCCCCCCCCCCCCCCCCCCCCCCCCCCCCCCCCCCCCCCCCTTTGAAAAATCCTGCGTACGCCCCTGCCTACAATTCTAGTCACCGATCACGAGACCACTGCTCTACCGACTGAGCTATCGCGCCTCCTCCTAGTCCAGAATCTGGCCTATTTAATTTGATATCCACCACACCAACGCTTACCTCTCCCTACTTACTTGCTACCAGCCGATGATGGCGTAATCATTAAATTAAGACGCCCGGCAAAAAAAAAGGCTGGGCTGGTGAGCATAATTATAAGTTTGTTGATAACGCCATCTTCGACGGCTTGAATCAAGTGTAGTGAAATTATAAAGGACCGTTGAGAAAGGTGTAATTGTAGGCCGTTTTAGGGCGGGAGTGGAAGTTGATGTGGGCCTACAAGTTCAATATTGCTATTATTATTTACTGGTGTGTTTCAATAACATGGATCCTTAGATATGATTCGAAAAGTTTACGTTCATCTTTTTCATCTTTAGCTTGCAGATTCATTCAACTTCAACCCTCCCAAGTTTCTGCGAGTGACCTTTGACTGCTCTGCCCTGTGGGTCAAAGACAGGTCAGCGTTAATAGGCGCATTCCATCTTGATCGAGCCTACTTCAAGCACCACCATCAAGACACGGTCATCGACTACAGGTTAATGTAATTTGTCATAATTATATACATCTCTAATAAGGGGGGTAAGGGGCACTATTTTTTTTTTTGTGCTCCCGAAAATTTGAAAATCGCGCCGGCTGATATTTCGCTAAGTGTGTGTGTGTGGCGGGGGGGGGGGTTAGTGAGCACTAATGTTTTTATTTTTTTGTTGGCTCTCGAAAATTTGAAAAATCGCAATTGGCCCACATCCCCAGTAATTCAACGGAGATTTTGAACTGCTAATTGTGAATTCACTTTGTGTACCATGTCACTCTCATATCACCGCATCAAAGGCGGCGCTAGGTGCCAAGACAGCCCTATATAATTATCAGAAAAAGACGCGAAGTATTTAATTGACCAATATAGTGATTTTAGGAGCAGTTAGAAGCAATTGGTTGTTTCGACCAAAGTACATCATTGGAATAGATCAATTAATTAAGTTGTATTTAACATCACAACTAAACTAATGTTCTAGCAGGCGTCACTTCATATTCAGATTGACGGATCAGTATCATACTCATTCGTATTCAGTCCCATCTTACTTTCCCTCAATCTTCCATTTTCTACAGCACTGGCAAATCCCAGTAGGTCGTCGATTCAGATCTCTCAAACTTTGGTTCGTGTTCCGACTGTTTGGAGTTGAGAAACTTCAAGAATTCATCAGAAAGGTAAAAGGAAAAGACTCTTCGAGCATCTATCACTCCCGAGGCGAAGAACTGGTGTTCTTACTGTCAGCAAGAACTAATCAAGTCTTGCAATTGATCATCATCGAGAAGTTGAAATCTAGGAAGATTTTCTTCAGCCATTTTTGCCTTGTTTGGAAACTATCAGTAGAATCTAGGCCGATTTAGTACTACGGTCGACATTTAAAATATATAAAAAAAATAAGCTAGCGACCAATTCGCACGCACGCAATGTAAAGTATCCGCGCTCGCTCAAACCAGATTTAACATGTAACCAATGGGTATTTCAGCAAGACTGAACTATTTTCCCCGTAAGGAATTTTGCCGGGCTTTTACCGATTTACTCTGGAACTATTACATGGGTTTGGCATTTTTCGTTTATTTACGGGAATGGCTAAAACCACGACTGCAATTTTGACCAATCAAATGGCTGGATTTCTTAAGTGAGGTATATAAAACCAATCATTACCTCTCATATATTCATATGTTTCATGATATGTGTTCTAAAAGTTAACTTTCTCTACTTTCTATATAAGTTGTCCAATAAATCTGTTGTGAAGCAAATTATAATCACACAAACAATTAAATAGAATTAATGGATATAATTGTTGTGTTTAAGGCAAGATACATTTTAAACACTATGCATTTTTATGCAATTTGCTTCTTAAACAGAAAAAAAACATCTTCCTAGAAGTCTTCTAACGAAATAATTCAATACAAATTGGTATTAACAATAAAAATCAGTAGTCACAGAACCAAAAATATTTCTCATGAAAGAACGATGAATATGATTAGGTATTTTAAATCATTTCCTTCAATTCTGGTTTATCTATTTGTTTTCACACATCTTCTAATAGCAAGTGTCTCTTGCAAAGGAATTCGAAGCCCTCGTGGTCGATGACAACCGATTCGAAATCGTTGCCGAGGTTGTGCTAGGTCTGGTATGCTTCAGATTGAAGGTAGGACAAACAAATACAAGTTTTTCAATTAATTTTGATCGTACACTTTTCTTAAAGAAAAGAGAGAGAGAGAGAGAGAGGGAGACACAAAATAGATATTTTATGTGTACTTTCGTTTCGTTTCCCATTACTGTTGTCAAAATGGACCAAATATCCAAAATAATGTACAGCTAAAATTTGAAATGTTTTTCTGGGTTCTAGGACAATTACTTCCCTGGGCAATCACCCCCTCTCGGAAAATTACCCCCTAGGATAACCATGCACCCCCAAGGACAATAACCCCCGAAAATTACCCTCTAGGACAATTACCCCCCGTGGACAACCCCCCCCCCCCTCCCCCGAGGACAATTACCCCTCGAAAAAAAATCTTCTTTTATTAAACCAACTTATTATCAGGGTGGACTCCCCCTTAATGACAAGGGGGGGCTAATTCTTTTTTTTGGGGGGGGGATAATTTTCCTCGGGATATTGTCCTTGGTTGTTCTGGAGGGGGTGTTGTCCTTGGGGGTAATTTCCCGGGGGTTATTGTCCTCGGGAGGTAGTTTTCCGTGGGATTATTTTCCGGGGTAGCGGGTAATTGTCCTGATACGGGTGTCTGATTTAATTCCGCAACACTTTTTTATGGATTTCTCTATTCCTTCACCTATTTCCATTTGCGATTTTAATTCAAGGCGATTAAGTGATTCACCAGGGTTATCTCAGGACGGTTTTTGTGTAATCATGCCTGTAGTCAGGATATGATCTGAAGTCACCAAACTTTTATCCATCTCATTTCTGCCCATGATATCCAATCTATGCCATAATGCATGGCCGTCCAGAGGATTTTTTTTATGTTGGGGACCGGGGTAAAACGCAATAAATTATTGACAAATAAATCGTCCCTATTTTCACGAAGTGACGGTAGTGAGAAAATCGTAACGCAAAGTGAATGCAATTTTTTTCACTACCGTCACTTCGTGAAAACAGCGACGAATTATTGAATTTTCTTTGTTGTTTTTTTTTTATTTATGGAAACTGCCCCTACCCTAGCCCCCGCTGCGTACAGTCATGGTTCAGTGACAAAGAAATGGCCTCGTAACTGTGAGGCCCCAGGATCATAACCGTTTTGATGTGCTATATTAGTGCCCTTTTTGTGGGCATTAATCCTAATTACTGTCATTTATGACTTAAGGGCGAAGGTTCCCTAGTTGATAAGCATAGTAGCATACAAATGCTTAAGCAGTCACGCAAAACACACATTGTCCAATTATTATTCAATAAAATCTGAGAATGTATACTATTGTCTAGATCTATTATTTTGAAATTATTTTTTTAATAATTCCATAAATTGGGGTAAAACAAAAATATTCCAACTATATGAGCGACAGTTTAGGTCCTACACATTTCTCCGCCTTACACTATTTCTTGACTGTTCCTATACTTGTAATAATTTTACTGTTCCTATTATTGTAATAATTGTAATAATTTGATTATGTGCAAAGTTTATTTGTATAGTTTCCTGAAAAATGAATTATGTATGAAAACAAATGTTATATCTTTGTTTACCTTTCTGTCGGAAATGAAATAAATATGAATATGGATGTGATTATGAATATGAATACTCATATGCTATCCTTTTCTTATTCAGGGTTCGGACGATTTGAATAGAACTTTGCTGGATCGCATCAACGCCAATGGTAAGATATACATGATCGGGTCGGTGCTAAAAGGTCGATACATCCTTAGAATGGTCGTGTGCAGTTCCCAAACCGAGTCAAGACACATGACGTATGCCTGGGAGGTCATCTCAGAACTCGCCACTAAACTCCTGGCCGATGAGACTAATAGACATGCTGCAGACACGGCCTAACTCTAGTTCAAGATCAAGTTCATTTATCCTTCTTTACTGACATGAATGTATACAATTTAACAAATTTATAACATGTAGAGTATATAAAAGGAACAATTATAAGGAACAAGTTCATATAACGCATTTAAGTGGGGAAAAGGGGGAGGAGACCAGTGGCGGATCCAGGGGGGGGGCCCCCCCCCCCCCTTGAGAAAAAATCATGTAAAATCACGTGATTTTTACCTTTTTTGGGGGTTGGGCCCCCCCCCCCCTGGCGCTCAAGGGGGGGGGGGGGTGCAAATTGAATTTTTTTTGAGGATCAAAAAAAAAAAATGTGGCTCACTACCACCCCCCCCCCCCCCCCCCCCCCCCCCCCCCACTGAGCGAATTTTTGGCCGGCGCGTTTTTCAAATTTTCGGGAGCAAAAAAAAAAAAAAAAAAAAAAAAAAAAAAAAAATTATGCTCTGCTCTGTACCCCCCCCCCCCCCCCCACTGAGCGACTTTTCGGCCGGCGCGATTTTCAAATTTTCGGGAGCAAAAAAAAAAAAAAGTTGGGCCCCCTCCCCTAAGAAATCCTGGATCCGCGCCTGGAGGAGACCTTAGGAAGCTTAGCTTGTCGAGGTCATGGCCCCGTCTTACAAAGACTTGATATATCAATCGCAACTTATTTGCAATTAAATATTTCCAAAAGCAAAGATTTAAGTATTTTTAGACTTTTTATTAAAGTCCACATCAAAAACATGAAAATCTTCTTGATAAAAGAAAATATGAATGATTTGAATCAACATTTTATGCCTTTTCAAATAACTTTTACAAAATGTTTTCAAAGATGCTAATGGCACCCCTGACCCCGTTATGGGATAATGTACATAACAAAATGTAATGATCTACCGTATCAATACATACATACATACATATTGATATTTTTATAGCGCCTTTACATAAACATGCTCAAAGCGCTTTACATTAGTTAATAAACAGAATAATTATTTTGCTCTCGAAGTGCATGAACTGTAACAATTTGTAGTGTAAAGCTGTGTAAGGTTATTCAAAAAGCTGTGCACCACATGAACCAAGCCTTTTTATACAGTACACAGCCTCGTTCGCATCCCACACAACTCCACACAACGCCTCGTCAAAAAACAATCTCAGAGAAACAGATTAGTTAATTTAATTACTCATTATTCCTAAGTTTCATTTGAGGTGTTCACACTTGTATAAGCATTGCTTTTTAGTGGACCCCTCTGTTTCCAACATGTATTTCTTAAATTTTGTTTTAAATGCTTATAATTGATTTGTAATGTTTTGTTGGAAACATGAATAAATTTTAAATTTGAATTTGAATTTGAAACAAGTCTTGATATTTCTCTTACATGATTCGACTGAGGTGCAGGAACACATGTTTAATGGGAGACTATTGCAAATAGTGGACCAGAAAAAGTTATATTTTGTTGACCCTTCTTCGAATAGATGCGGAGAATTTGCAGAAGAAGAGGATCTGACCTTGAGCGTAATGAATATCTTGATTGCTGGATGGGACAAACAGACTAGAAATATAGGATGGGATAAGGTTATACATGGATTTATAAACAATTAGTGCAACTTATACATTATACATTTTGCCTTAGAGTAATCCAAGAATATTCCAAGTATGTGCATGTGATTGTCCATAGCATTTGAAACTTTATTGATAAAGTGCAGTATGGCATGGGTGGTGGTATGTTTCTCACGGAAGCCAAATTGAAAGTTGGAAACCAATTTACTTGTTTTGAGAAAGTTTACAGTTCTCACGTAGATGACTTTTTCAAGAATTTTAAAGAAAGATGTTAATAGGGAAATGGGTCGGTAGTTCGTCAATAGTTATGGGTCACCTTTCTTAAAAGTTGGGACAACCTTTGCAAGTTTAATATTCCTGGGTACAATGCCATTTTGTCATTGACTAATGGCTGTACAATTCCTGCTGCTTTGACTAGCTACATAACACTAATCTGAGATTTCTTAGTTTCAAATTTCAATGTCTTTGGTATTTTCTAAAAATATCTTTAGAGTGCTATACTTATTGTTGGAGTAAGATATTTTCAGAAATCTTGCAGACGGCCATGCATTATGGCTCAAGGCAAATGCACACAGAGGATTTTTTTATGTTGGGGACCGGGGTAAAATGCAATAAATTATTGAACATTTTTTGTGTTTTTTATATTTATGGAAACTGCCCCTACCCTAGCCCCCGCTGCGTACAGTCATGGTTCAGTGACAAAGCAATGGCCTCGTAACTGTGAGGCCCCCTGATCAAAACCGTTTCGATGTGCTATATTATAGTGCTATTTTGTGGGGCATTAATCCTCATTACTGTCATTTATGACTTAAGGGCGTAGGTCCCCTAGTTGATAAGCATAGTAGCATACACATGCTTTAGCAGTCACGCAAAACACGCATTGTCAAATTATTATTCAATAAAATCTGAGAATGTATACTATTATCTAGATCTATTATTTTTAAATTATTTTAAAAATAATTCCATAAATATTGGGGTAAAACAAAAATATTCCACCTATATGAGCGACAGTGTAACTGTATAGAGAGAGATACGTGGGGGTGAGGGTAGAGAGAGAAATGACCCTTATAATAAGCATGAGAGAGAGAGAGAGAGAGAGAGAGAGGGGGGGAGAGAGAGAGAGAGAGAGAGAGAGGGGGGGAGAGAGAGAGAGAGAGAGAGAGAGAGGGTGAAAAACTCTAATTGATATATAGATTTTACAAGGCTTGAAAGTCTGAGTTGCAGTCCTAGTACCGAAGAAAAACAATGTTATGGGTCTTGACGTACGTCCCTGTCCTCAATAACGTATATTATTGGCTGATTCGGGGGAGTGGGCAAAACCTGCCCAAATCACAATGACATACGTTAATTAAACGAGACAAAAGATGTACCCCTATAAAATATGTTATTTTGTCCCCCCCCCCCCCCCCCGATATTTTTGTTTATTTATTTATAATCTTTTGTCAGTGTAGCCCATTCACCAATAAGTAGTGTTCTTCCATGGGACCCTGATTAAAATGAACATCAAATTCAAGATTCAAGATAATTTATTGTCTGATTTAAAAAAAACAGAAATTCGTCCTCCACTGGCGAGTGACGTACATATACAAACAACATAAACAATATGTAAATACATTCGAGGATACAAAGAAAATACAACAATAATAATTACAATAATAATAATAGCAAAATAGCAGTAACAAAACTAACACGTAAACTTGAAAACTGGCATTAAAAATTGAATGCACAGAATGCATGATATAAATGAATTAAAAGTGCTCTGAAACATTCACCCCTTCTCTCCCAGAAAAGGGGTATGAGGAAAGAACAGAGAAAAGAACAAATGAGAGAGAGAGAGAGAGAGAGAGAGAGATAATAATAATAATAGTCATTTTTATATAGCGCATAATAGTAAATTCTCTATGCGCTTTACAACAATCAATTATACAATGAATTACATGATTAATCTAAAGAGAGATAGAGAGAGAGAGAGAGAGAGAGAGAGAGAAAGGGGGAGTCGCATGGAGTAGAACAGAAAGGAAATGTGAGGGAGAAGAGAAGGTGACAGAAAACGAGGAGTTTTGGGAGGGAAGAGATGAGGTAGAGGTAGAGTATAGGATATCAAGAACAGTGACTGCCCGTGGTTAAAAAGACAAATGAGTCGTCAACATTCGAAATTCAAAATTGCAAGCTAGATGTTGAAGTTAAAATAAAAATGTGTCCAGTAAGGAACCTAGCCTTAGCCATTTCACATTTACATATTCATATACATATACATGTGTCATGGGACAGCGGCCATAACATACTAAAAATGTAAGAGGGCATGCATGAAGTCTGGTACATGTATACAATAGAGATACAGTGTAGAAGAGAGGGGAGAAATAAGAAAAAGTGGTAGAAAAGGGAGAGATGCACACCTAAAACAAAGCTTCAAGTGAAAGGAGGGAAGAGGGAAGGAGAAAGAACATAGCAGCTGACATTCATGCATGCACTCAAAATACATTATTCATCGATTAAAAGATTACTGTTTTCATCATTATGGACAGAGTGAAAGGCATTTAAACACTATAAAGAGAGTTCTTCTCAAATATACATATTTACATAAAAAAGCATAACGTTTATCAGAACAGTTAAAATAAAATTCCATAGTGCATTTAGAAAGATATTATGACACAGCAATAATAGACGTACGTGGCACAAACGAATACTCGTTTCCAAAATAATCACATGTCAGTAACCTAGTTCGACTGTAATGCCAATAGGAAAATATTGATTAAGTCAATATTTATTGATTCAAATTTGGAACCACAGGGGACCTGATTATCTAATTTTTCTAAAGTTTTTTTTTAAATAATTCGTTTGTGGTTTATAATGTTTCGTTTTGTTTGTATTTTATCTGAAAGTATGCTCTGGAAATAATTGTGTTAACAGTTAAATAATCGCTTACGTGTTAAAGATTTCTCGGAATCGTTAACCCCCCCCCCCCCGCCGTTTACAGACTCCTTGATCTACCCCTGCAGCACTACACGATGACGTCATCCATGCGTCGGGCATCCCACATGACACTCATCTATTCCCTGTTTTGTTCTTAACAATGCTAATGAGTTGTAAGCTAGGCTCATTTGATATGTAGTGTATTGATTGAGGGTCGCTGGAGACGTTTCTTGTATGGGTTCAATTCAGAGCGAGTGTTTTGGCCTACCGAGGAAACCATATACAGCAAGGGATTTAACTGTGGAGATCTCTTGCACATGTATATAGGCAGAGGCGTAGCCTTGCGGGGCACAAGTGGCACACCCCCCCCCCCCCCTCATCGAATGAAGAGGGAAATAAGAAAGAAAGGGAGCAATTAGAAGAGAGAATCAGAGACAGAGATAGGGATAAAGAATAAAAGGAAGTGGACGGGATGAGAGAAAGACATGATAATAGAATCCCTTTATGCACCTCCCTATCAATTAGCATTTCATTAAACCCAGGAAAATCAGTGCCCCCCCCCCCCCCATGATGCCAATCAATGCACCCTCAATGTCTGAACTCCCGCTACACCGGTGCTTGTTATAGGTTAAGTCCATCATTATCATGATCTTGTGTGGTAATATCTAGTCGACATTGCGGTTTCAATTCGTCATCCCTCCCACATTCTGTTTCATCTTCGCTAATCTTCTTTTTTGTTTTCTTCTCTTTCTTCTTAAATCTCCCAACCTCCATTTCTTGGTATCTGCCATAACCGATGAAGATGTTTCATTTCCGGAACACTGTGAAGATTAGCCCTTTACTTTCCTTTCTCAGTTTCTTTATTTCTGTCTGTCTTTCTTTATTTATTTCTTTATTTCTAATAGAGAAAATTTGTGTTTCTTTATTCTTGTGTCGTCGTTGTTGTCGTTCATGTTGAATATTATTATCCCTCCCTTTTCTATTCAAAATCAAGTAGACATACGCTCACATTCTATTTCCCAATTTTGATTTCACTTCAAAAGCAAAGGAACAATATATGTATTCCTCCTCGACTATCACCACCTTACTCCTTTAATTAAGATACAAGCAATGTTGTTATAAATGACCTTTAAGACTTAAATGCTTCATTAAGAGAAAAAACGGTTATGAAGTGTATGATTATCAGAGTTATTGCTTGGTTTACAAAATTGAAGCCATGACGTCATCTTGCCGATTAAAAACATTTTCAACTATATATTATGCAATAATTCAAGATCTAAACATTCTTGTTTAAAAAAACAATGATTTTAATGCTTCATAAAGCGAAAAGCAGTTAGCCCCATGACGCAGATCATTTCCCCCTCTAATGATGACTATTACTGACGAAACATCAATTCCTCAGAGCCGATTTTCCTTCTATTATTCCTTCCAAAATCCCTTTGTGTATTTTTGTTCCAGAATCAATTCAGACTTACCAATTCAGACTTACGATCTGAACGCGCCCAACCGAGGTTAATCAAATGTCTTTGAGAAGCAAGACGGATTGGGCCCTCGTATTGACACAAGTAGATGGGTGCAACCGTAGCACGCGCGCTCTCATACCACGCACTCGTGTGGAAGGCAATACATAATAAGCAGCATCTTATCTTCTGGCGTTCAACAGGTTGGTTGTCCATTCCGGTGTATAGGTAAAAGCGAAGCACGGACTCGGATTTCTTATTTGTTTCAAAGATAAAGGTAGATAGAAAACACTGGAATCACCGGACTCATAGTGCATAAGGTAAGTTTATTCAGTTTCGTGATTGTATTTTCTTGATGTTTATTATTTTCTCTGTCACTCTCAGGCTCTCTCCCTCTCTCCTCATTTCTCCCTCGTCCTTATTAGTATTTCTAAAGCATCTCATTTCAGGAAGAAAAAACTTGAATCTTTTATTTTAAAACAAATTATTGATCTACATGTATCTCGGAGGGGGAAGTCATAAATTGAGATAATTTTTTGAGCTGCATGTGGTCGTTTCAAAGAGTTTAACCCCCCCCCCCCCCCCTCCCACGAGAAATAAGAAAAGGAAACTAATGATAACGAAAAAATAAGAAAAGAGAACAATTCCTTATTTGTATTATTCTTTCAGTGTTTTATCTCTATATGGGTCGGAAATTGATATACTAAATGTGTGATCATAATCATATAAGGTGATTTTATTAATTTCGGAAGTTTACATATCATTTTTATTCAAACTAATATGATGATGAAAGAATTGATGGTGATGGTGATTATGATGATGCTGTTGATGATGACGATAATGACGATGATAATGATGATAATGATGATGATGATGATAATGATGATGATGATGATGATGATGATGATGATGATAATGATGATGATGATGATGATGATGATTATACTACTGATGATAATGATGATAACAATTATGATGAGATGATGAGGATGAAAATGATAATATTGGTATGAATGAGAGGGATTGTGATGATGATGAAATACAGATGCATTGTATACTAAAGTATCGTAGTTAATTTTACCCTGGCTTAGTCGAGCTACCGTGATGGGCCCCACAACATTTTGCTATCTGGGTACTTATGTTTTCGTACGTTGTAGAAATTCTACAAATTCATCATTATTTTCCTCTTCTTCCTCCTCCTCTTTTTCTTCTTCTCCTTCTTCTTTTTCTTCTTGTACTTAATATCATTTCTATCATCAGTTTAATGTTGTTATTATTATTATTATTATTATCTTTAATAAGTAGTTCTTTTAATTTTCTTATCTGTCTGTAAATATTACTATTTTAACTTATTAATTTTATACATGTCTGTAAGGGACCCCACTGGAAATAAGCTCGAGAGCTTTCGTGGGTTATCCTGTTCAAGCTGACTTATTTTTGATCTGTTATTATTGTATATTGTTGTATGTTGGAAGCTTGTCGAATAAAATCAGTCAATAAAATCAATCAATCAATCAATATGCACGATAGGCCTACACGAGTATTCAGGAAATGTCTTTCCATCGAGTAACCATTCACCTCTCCTGGGAGGGGAGAGGCAGATTGAGATGAATGCCTTATCACTGGAATGGCAGTGCCGTGACATGGATTCGAACCTCGTACCGTGTGGCCCTCTGACATACACACGATTGCCTATATCATATACATGTTATCATTATATGTAATTAATATCATATTCATTGCAACTTTTTAGGCCTGAACGAACCTGATGAACAATTTGCAGTCGTTGTAGTCTCACGTGATCAAATTCATGTTACCTTGGCCACATAATAGCTTGGCAAATGACCAATTGAAAGATTTAATTACTGAATACTAGGAGTCTGAATCAATACTATTTAGAATTGCAGCGCATGATTTATCTATTTGCCTATTTGATTATCAGACATTTTGAAAACGTGTAAAGATGCAAAAGGAAAATATAACTTTGTTTATGCATATCACAGATATTTAGCGGTTTGAAAATTATCAAGCTGACAGACAAAAAAAAATAGTTTTCATATTTCCCTGAATAAACCCATAATTATTCTGGTATCACCACCTGATTCATTCCTCATTAATATGCCAATCTTCCAAATATTTGAGCAATATTGTAGGCTATGGCAGGCGCGGATCCAGGGGGCGAGGGGGAAACGGGAACGGGAAAGGGGAGAGAAAGGAAAGAAAGAAAAGGAAGAAGAAAAGAAGGAGATGGGGGCGAAAGGGCCTTGCCTCCCCCTCCCCAAAAATAAAATATAGAAGAGAGGAAAGGGAAAAGAAAAAGGAAAATAGGAGATTAAGTTAAGGAAAATAAAATGAAGAAGAAAAGTAAAGAAGGGGGGTATCATTTGCGATTTTCCCACCAAAAATTTGTTGATCGGGCGGGGGTATATGGGGATTGCCGTAGGGTTTGTACACGATTTTTTCGTACTTATACTATTTCTAATTGGCTCGTGTACAAAAGTTTTGACGTTTCGTTATAGAGTTTCGGGATAAATTCTTTTATGTGTGGACACGCTGCATGTTTGGCGGGAGGTTTTTTTTCATAAACCGGGAGATTCTACATCGAAGCGGGAGGAAGGGCATGGTGGCGTGGGGCTCCCTCCAAATGCGGGGGGTTGACAGCCCTGTTTACTGTCCCATCCTATTTTCTACACAAATTTATTCCATGTCTGATGTATGTGTTCATCAAACCATGGACCTACTGTTAGGTCAAAGCCCGATCCAGGCCATGCTCCGAGATTCGGGTCATTTTCCAGGTCAGAACTAGCCCTATAAATTCGTGTTTTAGGCCCATATGATCATTTAACAACAATTACATTTTCAGACGCCCCCTGTCCGCTCATGCGCGGAACGCGCCATTAAATATTTTCTCACAAATGGCACCCCCCCCCCCCCCCACTCGCCACTTGCTTGATCCGCACTTGGTCTATGGTATTGTTTTTCTCCGTGCATATGCAAAAAGAGTGACTATATATATACGCATATTGTTGTGCATATGTTATACTCCGCGTGTCGCTTTCTTGATGGCATTACGTAATATCGTTAATTAAGTCTATACGAAAGCGACGTTCTTGTTTGATCAACCTAACTATAGATGTCAAGGTTTACTTTATTCAGGTTGTAAGTAAGTATAGGCTTCCGGGCGCATTTTTGCCAGGGAGCTGAAATGCCACTTTAATAAAATACGACATTATTTTAATATATTATTAAGGTTTACTACATTTGATAATCTCGCTGCCCAAATTTGAACATATTTATTCAGAGATGATGATCGTGCTCCCTCTCCATGAATTTCTGTATACGCCAGTTAATGCCATGCCATTGTAGCAAAACTCTTGGTAAAATTAAAAATCGGAGTAATAATGATAAAAATGACAATGGGATGTGCGTGGAGAGCAGGGCAAAGTTTGCGTTACAAATCTTGAAGAAAAAAAGATAAAATCCAGTAATTTGACATCTAAAAATTTCGAAATGATGATGATGATGATGATGATGAATCATCATTATTATTATCATTTTAATTCTTACTTTTAATATTATTACTCTTTATAATCATTTCTCTAATACTTTGATTTTCGTTCCTGCAGAAAGAGAAATAAGCAACCTCCTCTCATACGACCGTTACCATGACTACCTCCGATGATTTCCGTGTCTGGGGCAAGGAGATGGTGGACTACATCTCACGTTACCAGGACGGTATCGAGGACCGGCCAGCCCTTGCCCAAGTAGCCCCGGGCTACCTGCTGGATCAGATGCCCGCCGATGCCCCGCAGAAGCCCGATGAGTGGAATGACGTGCTGGCTGATGTGGAGAGGCTGATTATGCCAGGGGTAAGGATAAGGCTTTTTACAAGGTTTTTGACCCCCATCCCAAGATTTAAAAAAGGCTTATTTTGTAGGGGGTAAAGAATAGCGTTTGTAATCCCCCCCCCCCCCCCCCGCATAGGAAAGAATATACCCGCCCCCCACCCACCGCCCGCCCCCTCCCAAACATATGTCTCAGAATTTACTATTCAAACGCGTTTGAACAGATGTGTTAGCTGATTAGGAATTCCAGAGGTATAGAACTGTCGTTTTCATGTTTTAACCGTCCCCCCCCCCCCCAACTGAAAAAAGTCAAATTATTAAATAAATAATAAAAGAACTAAGGCCCGTATTCAATCAAGTTATAATATATTTTGATACATCTTGTTATTTTTATATCTCTACTTTAAAATAAGATGAGAATAGACATTGCCAAAAGAAAATTAAAGCCCGTCTGTACTACTAGTTTGGTCATGGGGATTATACCTCCCTGCAAGGTCACTGACAGGTGGTTATCTCATCAAATCAGCTCTTAATTAACATATGAAAACGAGGATCATGGGGACCAACAGGCACCGATAAAGCATTGTTTGCTATATAGAGGGCGCAAGTAGTGCAGTGGGCATTCAACATAATTCCATCTTTGTGTACGTTGAATATCCCCACTTTAAATAAATAAATAAATAAATAAACAAATAGATAAATAAATAAATTTAAAACTAATTGATAAATACATACATAAATAAATAAATGATTCATAGGACCCCCCTCCCATCCTTTTTTCAAATTATATTTAATTTCTCCTTTCGTATGAACCGGCAAAAATCACTATGTGGGGCACACTACCGTCAGACGACCACTCAAGTATTGTGTCCACAGCGTTCGCGCGCTAATTTCCTGTCGGCTGATGGAAGAAAATGTATGGTCATAAAGTTGAAGGCAGTGTCAACGAAAAGGGAGATTTGACAAATATTTGGTTAGGACAACAGCCGAAGAAGAAATAGTAATATAACCCCGTATGTCTGTCTCTCTCTACCGGTGATGTCACTGGAATATGACGGGATGGAGTGACTGCTGGACCTAACAGTAATTATAATAGTGATAAAGTTCAAACAATAACGCAGGCCTTCATCCAAAGGTGAAAAAACAGACTACAATATGATTGATATCACATATTGTTGTGTTGTTATATCGGTCATAATGTCCCCAAAAGTGGATAATTATTACAAGAACATAGTGCATTTCGGAAACTGTTGATTATCATAAATGACCCTTTAAACTATGATGCAGCAGGATTTATTGCTTACTTTTTTCTTCGACGGTTATCACTTCAGACAGGTCGATTCGTCTTTAACCCGCTGAATACTGAATTATCTAATTCCCATAGACTTAACACAGGGACCACCAGCTCCCGGTAAGCAATGGGTTAAAGTGTAACATATTGATGCATTATACGAAATACGAGATAGTAAAATTATAGATGTTTGTTAAACAATTGACTATAAAATAATTCTCTCATTCCCATAGATTTAAGACAGGAACTACCGTGTTCCAGTGGTGCATTTCGGAAACTGTTGATTATCATAAATGACCCTTTAAACTATGATACAGCAGGGTTTTCGCTTACTTATCGTTTTATTTGTGTCGACGTTTGTCGCTTCTTCAAACAGGTCGATTCGTTTTTGAATTTACAATACTCTTGGGTAGCAATCGGTGCATTAGTATTACTAGAAAACGGTTAAGAATCATCTAAGAGAGGTTCATTGTATAACGAATTGAAAATACACTAATTTGGCAGGATATCTTGGTTACTAGAGAAACACTTTAAAAGAAATGGTGACGGACTAATGTTTATCTACAGGGAATTCATTGCATAATGAGTTGGAATAGATGTGTTTCAATTGGGATTAATCAGTCATATACAAGAGTAGCGGGTTAAGTACATGTCACGGGGGAATGAAAGAGAGAAAGAAAAAAGTGTTTCAATTATACGTAATTGCTCCTAGATAAGCGATCCAACATGCTCGTCAAATCCATGCTTCGCTCGCAGAAGAAGACGATTACTAATAATTTGACCGAAACGCGAGCCCATATTCGGGGTCCTGATCGATAATTTAGCCTCCAGGGGGCTATTATTAGTCGAAAGGTGTCGGGTACTTAATTCAGCGCGCGCCAAAATTAGGGTCGTCCGATCTGCACGCGTTCACACATAGAAGTATATTGTAATGTACATCATTCATCGTCTGTTTGGGCATTAACTCACACAATTTAACACAGTCATATTTAATAACGCTCTTCTATCTCTAAAAAAACGATATAATTAATATTTTATTTTTCAAAATATATAGTTTAAGTGCAAATTCCATTTTTTATCAAGACTTTAACAGTATTCCTTATATTGTTTCAGACTGCGCCGTATGTTCTAGAATCTAGATGCTTGTCATCATGATAAAGCTTAGCCAATGTTGTGTAACAATAAGCTTTATATCATTTGTTATAATGAGTATACTATACTAATTGATTTTTTTTCTTCAGGTTATATCCATAACAAATCGAAAGTCCTAGACCCAAAAGGCGTATGGGACTATGACATAATCTTAAATCAAACATCCACTTTTAAGTTTCTAAATTTGGCGAGCGACATCAAACGACAACAACTCTCAATCATAAAAACGTTTTAAGGCCATCTAGTGATGTTGCCCAATACGAGTTGACGGTTGCCCGAACGGATATTAACAGTTTCTCTCCATTGATTTTACCCCTCTTTCTGAAAAAAATACAATATTGAATCAATATAATCGCGCCAGATACATTTCATGAAATCGCCTAGAGGCTGTTTCTTGAAGATGTAAACCGTGGATAAGGCGCTTGATAATGTCTTCCAGATGCATGTGCACCCTGTTGATTCTACTCGCATTGATTACTATAAGAAGCTGCTTACGGGCAGCTGTTGGCATAATTAATTAGCTCGTTAATAAAATGTGATGTAACCGAAACATAATTGTACCTATGCAGTTAGACAATGTAGCGATGTAAATATTACGTAACCCCGCTAAACACACAGGGCAGCGGTCACTGAGCGAATTTGTTAATTATTCGGTAATAGGGACTTTTAGATTTACACGACGAGAGCGTAGACTGCCGCGTGTGCCGCGTGTGACTGCCGTGTGTTAAGGCACTGGGCCGTGCCCGGCAGTGCCTTAAAAGGACGTCGCATTACCTTAAAAGAATGTCACACGTGGCGGTCCACGTTCTCGTCGTGTAAATCTAAAAGTCCCTAATAATGATTTGACGAGGGCGCCTAGCATTAATTATCATAAGGAATCAATAGATGCGATGTATGATAGCAAACATGTGGCCGTCGTCGACTCGATCGTCGTTCCAAGTATAAGATCTTCACATCTTCTTCATTAAATTTCCTCTTTACAATTTAACAAAGGCCTCCTTGTACTTGACGATTTTGTTCACAATTTCAGTTCCTTATCATAGTACATTCCACCTGTTTGCATCGTTAGGGCCATGTAAATTAAAGTAGTTTATTGGTATTATTCTCATTGTAAGAACGTGCAATTCTGTGAGGGTAATCATAATATACGAATATTGAAAAATATAAATTGTAACCCTCAATATGAAATTCCATGCCGTATTTATTTTGTATGAATAACATCTCTGTCCTCCTCCTCCTCCTCATCATCATCACTACTCCCGTTGCTAGGTCACGAACTGGAATCATCCCAACTTCCACGCCTACTTCCCGACTGCAAACTCCTTCGCTGCTGTATTAGGTGACATGCTATCAGATGCTATCGCCTGTGTCGGATTTTCTTGGGTGAGTACCCTTTATTTCTACACAATCGCAAAGATTTAGGAGAAATCAACTCAAGTGCAGTTTCAATACCCTATTGTATGCCCCATAAAAAATAATTGACATAATATTTAAGAATAAAAAATAAAAAAATCAATCAATTTCTGTATTACGCAATACACCGCTGTAATAGTAACATATTTTAATAGGGGATGGACAAGGCTATTAAAAATTCCGAAGGTTTATTTTTTTCGAAATCTTCTGCGATCGGGTTTCAGCTTAATATATCATGTTAGATTATGATATTGATACTGTTCTCACATTTCTCATGTGTGTAATTTTCATCCAAATACCTATATCAAGCTCAAATAAGACTATCATATTTTCAGTTTCCTGTGTAGTCTAAACAAATATATGGAAAGAAAAAGAAAAGCACATATCTATCATAATTTTCGGGAGCCTCCCCCCCCCCCCCCCCCACATTTTGTTTTGGGGTGGAGGTGAATAAGGGAGTTTACAGATAGCACATGGTACAAAATGACCCTAAATATCCACAGATCTTTTACACATGGAGAAGTTCCACTTTGAGCATCTATGAATAATAACTGCCAAAGTCCTAGATGTGCCTCATGAATACCTTTTGTTTGCCCTCTTGAAAAGAATACTTCCACCTGCGTATCTTAGAATGTACCGTTGGTGCATAAATGAATAATGTTACATAACTTTCATGAGCGCATATTCAGTATTCATCTCTGATGTGTATTACCTTTTTGGTACAAATGACTTTTATCTGCCCATGCGCAGATTGTATCTGTAAACTCCCTTATAATTATGAACACTATGCACATTTTATTTTTCATGTTGTGTACTTGACATTATTTTCCCCGATTGAGATGGTAGGGCGCATGTGCCCACGTGACTCAGTCCTCAATCCACCATTCATTGCATATCAAAATTGCTGTACACTTTTCTTTTGGTAACAGAGCATCTAGGACATTAGGGACTTTTAGATTTACACGACGAGAACGTGGACCGCCACGTGTGACATCCTTTTAAGGTAATGTGACGTCCTTTTAAGGCACTGCCGGGCACGGCCCAGTGCCTTAACACAATGTCACACGCGGCAGTCCCCGCTCTCGTCGTGTAAATCTAAAAGTCCCTAATATTGCTGATAGGACAGGTTGTGCTTAGTCTATATGAATGAGATAAAAAGAAATCACTTATTTGTGTTGTTGTTTTTCTTCATAAGATGGCCAGTCCAGCATGTACGGAGCTTGAGATGGCTATGATGAATTGGTTGGGAAGGATGTTGAATCTTCCTGAATCATTTTTATTCAATGAAACAAGGCAGGGAGGAGGAGTCATTCAGGTAGGAAGTCTAAGAAAGAAAGTAAAATAAAGAAAAGGTAAGTGGTGAGGAAAACTGTGAATAGATGAAGAAAAAAGTGCATGTTAAGTAGTTAAAGTAAAAGAAGGAGAAAAGAGGTAAGGAAGGAAGAATCAGAAGAACAAGGAGGAAAAATACAAAAAATACAAAAAATAAATAAAGAAGAAATAGAAGATGGGGCGCGATGGCTCAGTGGTGGAGGAGTGGTCTCGTGACCGGGAGTTCCCGGGTTCGAAACCAAGTCAATGCGCTAGTTCCCTTTGGTAAGGCATTAATCCTCATTATCAAGTCTTTCATAGAGGACAAGCCGTGGGTCCATTGGTTGCTTACTTAAAAACATACACATGCTTTCTTTTATGGCAGTCACGGAAAGAAAAAAAATCAATCGATAAAGATAAAATATATCAACATGTCGAAATTGAAAAAGTAGAAGAAAAGTAAAAAAGGAGAAGTAGAATGGAGAAAATTTAATAAGAAGATGGAAAAGGGGCAACGGAGAGAAAGAACGAGAGGAAGAATTGTACGTGTATAAAGAAAAGTCTCCTTGTAAAAAGATTAGGTAGAGTTTTAATAAACGGAGATATATCAAACAACAACAACAACAACAACAACACCACCAACAACAACAAAATGAAAGGGATAGAAAATATAGGCATTGAGGCAGGAAACAATATTCGTAGCATTATCCATATCGTTTAAAGATACTATGTCCCTTTTGCAGCCAACATCAAATTCTGTAGAACTTTGCAGGAATTACAAATATGTCATGTATATCCTATCTGTAAAATTTAAACGTTAGCAGTGTCCTAATATTCAAATTATGTAAGGAAACCCGTTTACTTGCTAGACCTCACTGTCAGACACTATTGAGTGACTGACTGGCTTTTTTTTTCTTTGATAAGAAGATACATAAAATGAGCTGTAAAGGGTACATGAGCATTTGTCTACATCAATAACCCACTTCTTGCAATGGCCAAAATTAAACTGATTGAATCTTTGCGCAGCATAAAACGTAAGACCATTGATTCGGTACAATGGTCTGAAAATCAGACTATTCCTTATTGGCTCTATAGCTCCTAAGTCTATTCGACAACTAAAAGTCATTACTTTCCCACTTAAAGACATTTTGAAGCCCCCTTTTTCAGGGGTTCTAAATTTCTAAAGTTCTAAATTGGTATTATCTTTCAAATGCCGTTGGAATTTAACCTTTTAATTTTTTGGGCCTGGAAATGGGACATTATAGTACCTTATACACTCATATTAATATTGCTTTCTTCAAACAGGGTACAGCAAGTGAAGCAACTCTAGTAGCCTTGCTGGCAGCTAAGATGAAGACAATAAGACAGAAGATAGAAGAGGATCCGAGTCTTGATCAGTATGACGTCATGTCAAAACTAGTCGTTTACACATCAGACCAGGTAAATCTCAATCAGGATATTAAGTCTCTTTTTAAGGGTGTCGATGTTGGGGGAGGGGGAGAGGGGCTAGGGCAATAGCCCTTAGATTTATCATCATTGTGTTGTGTTGGATTATATCCCTCACTGAAATTTCAAGCATTATTCTCCCAGAAGAGCAGCCTTTTACTATTAATACATCTGTTACGTCAGAGGATATTAATTTCTATTATTTCCCGCTCTATTTGCAGAGATCATCGATCCTTGGTTATTAATATATTGAATGGAACCGTGTCCCTCGTAACAATGCCCAAAGTTGAAAAGGAGTAAAGGAATCCACTCTTTAAATTAATCCATTCACAATGATTATGATCATGCTTATCTTGAATTGAGTTTCATATTTAATCAATTTTTCCTCCCCCCCCCCCCCCCTCTCTCTCTCTCTCTCTCTCTCTCTCTCTCCAAAGAGCCATTCATCAGTCGAACGAGCAGCTTTAATTGCTAGTCTTCGCATCAGACAGCTGGCCACCGATGACAAAGGTTCTCTGAGAGGGGATGTACTCCAGAAAGCCATAGAAGAAGACAAAGCCAAAGGGAGAATCCCTGTTTACGTAAGATATGATGTTACTTGGTAACACAATTAAACGAACAAAATATAAAGAAGAAGAAGAAGAAGAAGAAGGAGAAGGAGAAGGAGAAGGAGAAGGAGAAGGAGAAGGAGAAGGAGAAGAAGAAGAAGAAGAAGAAAAGAAGAAGAAAAAGAAGAAGAAGAAGAAGAAGAAGAAGAAGAAGAAGATGGTGATATGGTCTTTTGATTTATCTTCAGTTATCTTTTTAATTCCCTTTTCAGCTGTGTGCTACGCTTGGAACAACCACGTCATGTGCGTTCGATAATGTCAAGGAGCTGGGTCCAATATGTGAGTATTACTGGGGGCGAAACCAGAACAGTGAAGGTCGGGGGCGCAGGACACGCGCCCCTCCCCCTCCCATGTTATTTGCAAACATTATGGGGGGTTAGACACCTGCCTTATTCAATTAATAAAATGGAAATTAGAAATGCCATCGGTCGGCCAGAGTGTACAGGATAATGTTCTTTTCTCCTTCTTTTCTCCCGCCACCTTTAAAACCACCCTTTATCTCACCCTTCGATCGGGAGGGGTGTATTCTCCGGTAGCTACGCAACTGGTCGTCATGTTTTTTTTTGTTCAGCCTGTGATCAAGAGATTCGTTTTAAAATCCGTATTTACATATTTTAATAATTGTCCATTCTTGCAATAAATACGAATTCGAGCCTATCTTTTTGGACGAGAAGTTATTTAGGCTAACAATGCTTTTTCTTTCTTTTTTCTTTCTACGTGCCTGGACAGGTAAAGAAGAGGGCTTGTGGTTTCACATTGATGCTGCATATGCCGGTAGTGCATTTATATGCCCAGAATACAGACATCTATTAGACGGTGTCGAGGTAAGTTTTTAAGTTCTAGTGCCCCTTACACAACGATGCTTTCTAAAAACTAAACCGTTGAATTGAGAGAAACGGGGAGTGACAGAGTTTTGAAAACGGTAGATGTACACGTATACACCTTGATCTAGAATTCGTTTACTGTTCAATCCAGTATTACAAACAATTTTTAATATTAAAACAACAAAAATAGTGTATAAAATAATTGATTTACATAAAATTTGACAACTGAATTTCAAAATAAATGCATAGATATTATTGAAAACTTGAAAGTATGGAGTTAAATTAAATAATCAAGTTAAATGCAGAGGCCAACCATCATAAGCATGAATGCTTAGAAGGGGGTACATGACCTGTTATACTAGAAGGTAGGAGAATGGAGTGTCACGTATAAAGATTTAGTGTCCTCATAAAGTTTCTAAATAAAAAGTTGGAAGAAAGAAAAGAAAATCGCAAGTGTGTGAATATGTGTGTGTGTGTGTGTGTGCACGTGAGGTAGGTGTTTCATCCATGCAGATATGACAAACACTGTTACGCCTCTGTTTATTGAACAGTTATATTTTTCAGACTGGGATAAAGATAATCGACATTTTGAGGGAGATGATCTAAGCCTACAAGTACAATATTGGTATTATTTTCCACTGGCCTGTTTTAGCCTTCTAACAATCTTTTTTTTTCGCGGCACTGTTTAATTTATATCTCTTTTTTTCTTTCAACATTAGCTTGCAGATTCATTCAACTTCAACCCTCACAAGTTTCTCCGAGTGACCTTTGACTGCTCTGCCCTGTGGGTCAAAGACAGGTCAGCGCTAGAGGGCGCATTCCATGTTGATCCAGCCTACCTCAAGCACAACCATCAAGACACAGTCATCGATTACAGGGTAATGTAATTTGTAAAAATTATATACATCCCTTTTGTGTCTTTAAAAAAAAATTGCCCCAGCATCCTCATCGACTGTATCTGACTTTGGCTTCCGATCTCCCCTCCCCCCCCCCCCCCCCCCCCCAATCCCACCTTCCAGGGTCTGTCCTATTTCTCACACTCTTTCCTTGCATCTCATACTCCTTTCTATACTATATTTGTATCTCTCTCCTTCCTCTCTCTCTCTCTCTCTCTCTCTCTCCCCCTTCCCATCCTTTATCTCTCGATCTCTCCTACCCACCCCTCACCCCTCCACTCCTTCCTTCCCCTAGCTCCCCTATTATCATGGTCCTAAAAAGACCAGCTGCTTATCAATGCTCACAAAAAAGTCTTATACAACTTCGCTAGTTAAAAATTCTAATAATGAACATCCATATATACTAATGTTTCATATTCTCTTCTATTCAAAGTTGTGAAACCATATAGTTGATGACGCATATCAGAGATTATGTGTGAAAATCTTCGTGTTACAAATACCCCAAATTAGTATCATTTTCTGAATTTAGCATTAAAACAGTGATTCACAAGTTCATACCGAGTTCAGACCCACGTCATCACTTTTATATGAATTCATAATAAAATAAATTGGAAGAATTAATCATAAATCGTGTACGGCTTCTAACATAAAGAAGAGATTATTTTTGTAATCAATCGTGATGACGTATTTATAATGAGTATAATATCCGTCACGTAAAACACGAGGCGTTATCAAAATTGCGTCAATACTTGCGCTAATACTTGCGCTAATACTTGCTGTCACTTTCATGTCGCAGCGTCAAAGGAGGCGCTTAGGTGCCGACGCAGTCCGTCATAATATCAGTAAAGGACGCCTCTAGTGTAATGAGCATATTACGTTTGAAGATGTGTTTAAGCCCCTCTTAAAGTGTTGGGAGTCTCAAATATTTGATGGTAAAATTTCATTTAAATTGTATAAAGATGTGAAAGAGGACGTCATTTAACACACACATCCGAAAGGATTTTCAAAATATATACATTTTAAGGCCAATATTTGATGAACGACTACAAACTTTTAGTTTTCTGTTATATACGCAGAAAACCCAAATACTGTCTTGTATTCTTTCATCAATATATTCGTCTTCAGACACATTTATTTCAAAAAATCCTTGCAGATGTGTGTATTAAATGACATCCTTTTCGCATTATTATATAATTTGTCGTTGACGAAACTGTTCATGATGATCATGGCCCGATTGCATTATTGAGGCTCCCTACACTTAGAGGGGCTATAAGCAAAGACAACAGAGTTTGTATACGAGAAGTATATAATTGATCAATAGTCATTGTAGGCCGGAGCGATTAGGAGCAATTGTTGTTTTGTAACCGATGACATCGTTGGAATAGATTAATCATTTAAGTTGTATTTTACATCACAAATAAACTATTACTCTAACAGGCGTCACCTCATATTCCGATTGACAGATTATTATCCTGCTTCATTCGTATTCAGTCCCATCTTACGTTTCCCTCAATCTTCCATTTTCTACAGCACTGGCAAATCCCATTAGGTCGTCGGTTCAGATCTCTCAAACTTTGGTTCGTGTTTCGACTGTTTGGAGTTGAGAAACTTCAAGAATACATCAGAAAGGTAAAGGGGAAAAGAACCTTCAAACACTATCATATCTTTGATTCTTTAGATAATTATGATGAACTCTGTCAATGGAAGACTGAACTGAACAAACAAAACTGTACTGAAGCTTCGATCGTCTTGGAACTTTTCATCATATTTAACCACAAGAGTAAACAGTAAACCTAAATCGACCATTCTAAAGGTTTTTTTAAAATAGTTTTCAAGAGCGATTATAAATTTGTGCCTAATCGTTTTGCTCACTTTTCCCTTCATTTCGTTTGATATCACCAATTCACCATGGTAACATGTGACACGTAACTGACGCACAGCAATACAAAACACGAAATAAAACCAATTATTACCATTTATGTATTCATAGGTTTCATGGTATTTGTGTTCTAGAAATTGACTATAAGTTTTCGAATGAATTTGTTGAGAAACAAAATATAATAAAAAACAAATAAAATACGATCACATAAATATTATTGTTGTGTGTGAGGCGAGATACATTTTATAATTATGCATTTTATGTAACTTGCTTCTGAAACAGAAGAAATGCATCTTCTACAGTCTAGACATACAAAATATTGCAATACAATGACATATTGGTAATCTAACGATTTCAAATCAGGAGTAAAAGAATTATGCATGGGAAAGATTTCTTATGAAAGAACGATGAATATAATTATGTATTATATATTCTTTCCTTCAAACTCTGGTTTATTATTTTTGTCATCCCCTCCCTTTTTAGAATGTGTCTCTTGCAAAGGAATTTGAAGCCCTCGTGGTCGATGACAACCGATTCGAAATCGTTGCAGAGGTCGTGCTAGGTCTAGTCTGCTTCAGATTAAAGGTAAGACAATAAAATACAACTTTTTCCATTAATTTTGATTGTTCACTTTCTTAAAGAAAGAGAAAGAGAGAGAGAGAGAGAGAGAGAGAGAGAGAGAGAGAGAGGGAAGGGGAAAATGGATATGCATGTACTGTGCTTTGGTTTGGGAATATATAAATTGTTTCAAAAATGAAATAAGACTTGTACAGCTAAAATTTGAAATGATTTTCTGATTTAATTCCTCAAAAACGTTTTAATGGATTTCTCTATTCCTTCATCGATTATAATACTAAAGCACCAACAATGTAATTATTTGCCATTTCAATGTAAGGCAATTAACTGGTTCACCAGGGTAACCTCAGGACGATTGTGTGTAGTCATGCAGGTACATGTAGTTAGGATGTGATCTGAAGTCACAAACTTGTTTCCATCTTATTTCTGTCCATGGTATTCTATAGCTGTCATTTTTTACTCTTCTGTATATGTTACACAAAACATTTTCATTTAGCTAATGAATCAAGCTTATACTGTATAAGAAAGTGAATATAGAATAAAAAAGAAATAAACACATGGAAAAATGAACAGTGCTTCATTTTTATTGTTTGATGATAGGTGCTACATATTCCCTCGCCTTATAATATTTTTTGACTGTTCCTATTCCTTATCTATCCTTTTTTAAATTAGGGTTCAGATGACTTGAACAGAACTTTGTTGGATCGCATCAACGCCAACGGTAAGATACACATGGTCGGTTCGGTGCTAAAAGGTCGTTACATCCTTAGAATGGCCGTCTGCAGTTCACAAACCGAGTCGAGACACATGACACATGCCTGGAATGTCATCTCAGAACTCGCCACTAAACTCCTGGCTGACGAGACTAATTGACATGCTGCATACACGGACAAACCCCTGGCCGAGGAAACTAATAGACATGCTGCAGACAAGACCAAACTAATGGAAATGTCCAAACTTCTGCAGTGTAACTTCTCAATGTCTCAAGAAAATAAATTGTACACATAAAACAATATTGAGTTTCATCTGCTTTGAAATATTTCTGTTCTGTTAAAAATTTCTTGCATGATGAACATTAGTAGAATATAATTCATTTTGAAAAGCATTGGTTTATCAATTAAAGGGAAAATATGCAGAGGGAAAAAGAAAGGGGAGACAGAGAGAGAAAGAGAGAGAGAGAGAGAGGGAGAAAAGAAAGAAAGAAAGAAAGAAAAGATAGAGAGAGACCAACATAAAGTGGGAGGGCAATACCCCACCCCAAACACTTGCATCTCAATCGATCTCGCCAGAAGGCCTCACCAGTAGGACATGATATGGGATATCTGGAACAAAATAACTTAAGATTGTGCAGAAGTAACATCATTAGAAATTCTATTTATTCATCACCTATAAAATTTGCTCATAAATTACAAAGTATTTTTGCATAGCCCTGATGCCTTTCTTATAATAGGATTTTGTTATGGGTAATTAATTATTTTGTTTATCACAATTTTGTTTCCCGTCTTGTGTTTCCTTAAAAACCTATTAGCAGCTAAAGGCCAATTAACTTGCATACATGTATGTACTGTCTGTAGTTTGCATTAAAAAAAATGAAGTGTATTAAAACTTTATCAAATATTTATTGTAGGTGTACAAAGGTTTGAGATGTGTCTGGTAAAAGATCTGCAAACTACAACAAATATGAAAGAGCTAAGTTTTTTTTAAAGATTTATCCTTAGGCCCCATCCCCCTCACCAGGGGCGGATCCAGCCGGGGCAGGGGAGGGGGCCCAATTCGTGAAATTTGAAATTTGAATAGATTGAAGTAGACTAATTTTGTGTCATACAAAAAATATGTATCGTCTTCCCATTTGAAACACAAAAAGTTCATCATCTTCTGTATTAGAACATCACTGTTCATTAAACTCATATTTGCTAAGTCTCTTGTATTATGTCATCCTTAATTCAAATCAGATTAGCTAATTGTTGTCTCATTATCAAACGTCTGTCTATTTTAAAGTTAGAGTGAATATAAATGTTTTCTTTTATTTGTATTTGTTCACATAATCTGGTCAGTGTAATTTACTTGATAGCTGAATTTGTATATTTCTATGTAAAGAGTTATTGTCTATTATGTTTATTGTTCAACCATCCATACTACTTAATGCATTCCATTGTAATACTACTCTGAGAATCAATGATTCAAGGCACTCTGAAACTGTCCGTATTGAAGAGAATGTTGTTTTGGGGGAATATGAAGAATATTTTGTGATAATTTCTCATTCTTTTCACTCCCATGAGGTAGAAAATCATTGAAACAATGTCCCACAGAAAGGATTGTTCATAAAATGCTCTCATATTCTAAAAAGTTTTGAAGCACATTCATAAGGCCTCACTTTCATTGAGTCCAATTTACCCATATCTCTGTGTGCTTTTCAGCGATTGTGATTCTTGGCAAGATTTAGTCAAAATGTTATAATTTTGAGGATTCTAAAATCTCACCATACAAAATTGTCCACATTTACTACCTCTCCTCCATTCAGTATACACATCTTTCACAACCAATGGCATTACCAGTACTTACATGTAATTTTGGGGTAAATTCTTTAAGTTTTATGTTATTGTAATGCATATTCAAGTACAATTTCCATAGAATGATTATAATAATGATGTTCAATGCATATTTATTAAACATATCCACCTTTACTCCAATTCATTTGTATGATTTGTATTTTCATTTGAAAATGAATACACATGTAGGAGTATAATGTTTGTCAAATGAAGAAATAAAAACGTCTCCATGTCAGCAAGATGCAGTGGAAATTTTCTAATTTCTTCATTAATGATTTTATGCACACTAGCTGAACACATTATAACTTTGGGTGAGTTGTTCCTTTTAAAGCCCCACTGTACTACTTGTACCTACTTGCTCTCTCTATATAGAAAACAATGCCTAATCGGTGACCATTGGTCCCCCATGATCCTCTTTTTCTTATGTTAATTGAGAGCTGAGTTGATGAGAAAGCCACCTGTCAGTGATCTCCATGGGTGGTCTAATCCCTCCTGGCCAAACTAGTACAGACGGCCTTTAAAGGGAAATCCAACCTTAATAGCAAAGTTTGAATGATATCGGACAACAAACAGTTCCTCCATATGTATATTGTTTTCAGAGACATTACATTTTATTAGAACCACATTGCATTAAAGAAAAACATTTATTGCTGCCAATTTGATGGACAGCATGTGATCAATTTTGCCCTTTAAAAAAAAAATCCGGTCCTGAATGGGTTATTGATACTTCCCTGGGTAAACAAGATACAGTCAAACCTGCTTTAGTGACCACCTGTCTACAAAGACCACATTTTTTGTTTCCCTTGAAAATGGTTTCTCATTGAAACAAGTACTGAAGGAACCTATCTACAAAGACCACTTTTTGTGTTTCCCTTGGGCGGTTGCTATAGACAGGTTTGACTGTATTATTATCATTATTATAATTATTAACGGTGATTACCTCCATGTTGCCCCTTATCATTCCCTCTGCCGATATCTTTACTTCGTTCAGTCAAATTTAAGTAGTAACATGATCGCAGACATCCATTCTAAACCAGCCTCTCTGAACACATCGTAGAGAACATCGCGGGTATGTAGTAATTGCACCTTGGCTTTGGGCTCTGTAGCAGTATCAAGAAGAAGATTAAAATAGAACAAGAATGATTTTCAGTATGATAATTATAAAAGAATCATAGTATATAGTGCACTAGCTAGCTACAAAGCATACAAGGGTAAATCAGTGTGGTGCGTCTTGTATAAAGCCAGGCGCATACTACACGATCTGATTCTTGAAGAAATGGCAATTACATTTAGTTATGGAAATCTAAACAAAGAACGCTTAACTGTTTAAGATTGTAAATAATGATAAGAATACTAAAAAAAATAGAATTTTAGTGCATTTAAGTTTTCTAGACAGACTAGATGAAACCCTTCAGTGCTTTCTTGCAAGGCTCCACAGTCCAATTCTGATATGGCACTGTCGAAGCCACATATATTGCAAGTACGAGGTTTGTTGTCAAGAAATGTATTAGGACAGCAGGGGGCGTTTCACAAAGGCTAAGATCAACTTTAAGTAAGACTTAACTATGGCAGGCCATTCATGCCATTGGTTGCTCCCACCACTGGTCTCTCAATCATTGTGATCTTTAGAAAACATCTTTTCACTGACTTCAATAATGAACTATACAAAAATGTAAATTCTGTAGATTTGTGACCACGCTTGGTTTTTGTCCCTTGAGAAACCAATGCCAGTAAATGATGAGAGCACACAGTGGCATGAGTTGCCTGCCATAGCTAAGTCCAACTTAAAGTCAATCTTAGTCTTTGTGAAACACCCCCTTGGAAGCTCTCATGCTCTCAGCAGCTTGAGGGCGCCCTATTTCTGCCATACTGATTACAGCAATTAATAGTTACAATATAATTATGAAGTCTCCGCACTAACTTTTCACAGGGATCCGGATTAAAATTGTAGGGTCTGTAGGTCACGGGTCCCTACCATTTTGCAATTTGGGGGTAAGAGTTTTGAAACCCATGTGTTTTAGTGTTAAGCACTGGAAAGATGATCATCAAGTATAGAAATAATACAGCTTTGAGGATAAAACTTTACATCGACTACAAGAAAATCACTTACCATATAATGCTTTGACTTCAGCTTCAGTAAGAGAGAATGGAGAATGATCTGCAACATAGAAAAAGAGAAAATTATATTTACTATCAACTGCCAACATTTACAATTAATATGGTAAGTGTTCTTTCGAACAAAATTCGTTCAGCAGATACATCTAGTATTGATATATTTTGTTTCATGACCAGAACTTAGTTACAATTACCTTCAAAGTCTAAATTATCTTGGTTACCTGTAACTCATGTTCATGAGGGATATAAAGTCATAAACAACATTTATTAAGTTGCTGCTTGTAAGTGTCGGCTTGCATGGTGATGTAGATATACAGAAGGCTTGCGGGTGTACCATGTGAGACAACGGATAGTCAACCTGTTTGAAACGTCGAGCCACTCATCCTCTCCAAGCGCTATAGTTCTCCTTAGAACTATAAGCTAAGAAAGATAACAAACAGTCCTTTTCAGGACTACACACCCCCAAGAAAGATTACAGAGTCAGAGCCCTTTTCAGGACTCCTCAATTCTCTCTCTCTCTCTCTCTCACATGGTGCACCCGCAAGCCTACTGTATATTTATTAACCCATTGCATACTGGAACTGGGTGGCTCCTGCATTGAAGCCTATAGGAATGACAAAATTCAATAGCTGATGGGTTAACTCACTTTTCCACTTGAACTGTTCCTTGTCATAGAGGTATGACTCTAATAAGATCCTTCCTCCTTTCCCCAACAATGAAGACATCAATTCAGAATACCTACAAATGAGAAAAGGACGAGAATAAATAACACTTTGAAAACTGAATTGTATCGATTTTGTTTTTCTGACAGCATGCATAAAATTGCATTCATGATAAAATATGGACATACAGTAGTTCTGATACAATTCAGCACAATTAAAGGTAAAGACCAGTATTGGAAACGCCCCAATTTCAAAAAATGAAATGGAAGCTCTTATTACCAATCATGTGAAAGAATACGTTTAGAATAATACATGGTGATAACAATTTTGCCGGGAAACCGCCTACTAATTGATATATTTGGTAAATTAGTTTATCTACATGGTCTGTGAGAGATAAACGCATGTGTCGCGCACATGTGCGTATAGTCCCATATACATCTTTCTGTGTACTACAGTGCTTGTAACTTTACAAAGACTGGGCCATATTTCTTATCATTTTGATGATTCCAGAACCTTGCAGTACACACCAATACTTATATGCTAGATGATCAACCTTTTCTGATCGATTCCACAACGTTTCTTTCACAATACAATCGCATGACCATAACTGGTCTTTACCTTTAAATATGATACAATTGGAGTCTGCGCTTTACAAGGAAACTTATATCAGCCTAAAGGTGGTACCTCTGTGCATAAGTATATGAGTTCATGACCTACTGGCTCTCCGGCAACAAATGACATATTCTAAATTGCCCGTGCTCATTTTTTGTGTTGAAACGTTAGACAAACTTGCAGAGGTGCGCCTACTCTGACCTTAAGCATGTCTAGGCTTTCATTCACCTAAACATACATTATTCACACATAGGAGCATCACTATCCTGGCTGTGTAGTAAAAGCTGTGCTTTTGATTCTCAACATTTCAAACACTACTGTACAAAACTCAACTGATGTCACTCAAAATCGGTACTTTAGTGACAATTGATGACAACTAAATAGCAGTAAAATACATCCTTTTCAATTTACTGATGTTAAAAAGAATAATCTAAAAATTCAAATTGTAAGTCTACTGTCAAACTTTGCTTACAGCCGCATCGGCATGATTGTATGCAGTCTATGCAATATTGTGTGGTGTGTATATTTGTGTATGGGTCTAAAAATACCTGCCTCACAGCACGTATGCAGTGCTAGAGGTCAATATGCATTAGCATTGACTCTCTTATGCTTTGCTGGAGTGACATTATTAGTGCATATAGAATGATCATCTGTTACGAGCCAGAAGGGCATTTACTCTGTGTTAAAGGCTATATTGCAGAGCTGCCAAGTTGTATTTTGCATTTTGAGTATTCTTATCCCCCCAAATCAGTATTTTGACCCCAAATTCCGTATTTTTTCCGCATGAAAAATATATGCATGCATATCGGCAATGTTCGATCACTTATTACATTTCCGTCCCACACGTAAACAATTGTGTTTTAGATCTACACTAAGCACTGCACAATGGACTAACGTTAATTTGTCCTTCAAAAGTAGCTTATCAAATGAACATTCATTACCGTCATTGACTGGACAATTCCTTCAGTCTTTTCTGCAATTGTCCTTCATTTCAGTTCTAACTCTTAAGTGTCTCTAATGTACATGTTGCTAATTCCAAAGCAACGACGCTGTTAGCATGCACTCGACTCGTAGTCACATCGCATACAGTAAACATACAAACAGATATCCAAAGTCGACACACGTCTTTCAGTGCACAGAGTGCGTACCAGACTAATACAGAATTGACACGGCGCGCACTGCCCATAGACTTACCGTAATTAACGGTGTATAAACCACACCTTTTTACCGCCGAAAAAAATTCAAAGTCTGGGATGCCGTTTATACACGGTACACCCAAAAACAAAAAACAAAAAAACAAAATTTAAGTTTTGATTTATGCCCCTCCACCTGGCGCTATGTCTGGCAATGTCTCCCAGCTCAGCAATCGGTGTGTTGACTCACCACTAGGAAACTAGAACAACACTCAAATTTGTCTGTCATCTTGGTTTGAAAGTAATCTTTCTGATAGATCTCAATATGTAGTTTATAATAATAATTCCTACACACGGTGTATCACAAGGTTCTATCCTAGGTCCACTACTGTTTTTTAATTTACAAATGATCTTACACATTCAGCTGCACCTCGCAGTTAAATGAAAGGCCTTCCCGCATGGATTTTTTTTAACACGGACCTGGCTTGCTTTTTTTTTTGCTTTTTTTTTTAAGGCGAAAAAGAGGGGATGCAGTTAATACGCGAGGGCGGTTTATACAACATCAATTACGGTATACACAACTGATTTTTTCTTCTTCCGTATTTCAACATGAAAAAACGTACGTCCGTATTTTGAGTTGATTTCCGTACAGAATACGGCAAATCCGTACTACTTGGCAGTTCTGATATTATTGGCTCCAAAGAGACAACATGATAATTAACTTACTTTATTCTATCACATGGACCAATGGCTACGAGTGATCCTCTGTCGTAGATAGCATCAAAATCACCTAGAATAGTCCTGAAACAAAATAAACAAACAAAAATACATGCAGTATGTTCTTTAAAATATATATATAGATGCCTGTATCGAGGCATATACTGCAGTAGATCTGTGACATTAAAGATGAGGGGGGGGGGGGAGATGAGGGGGGGAGGGGGGCATGCGCAATTTAAAATTATAAATATTGGGGGGAGAAAGTAAATGTACCACATATGTTGGGTGCCTTTTTGGGTGCCTTTTGAAAGGACCACAATTCATAACAATAAGGGGGCACAATTCATCATAATAAGGGGCATAGTTCATGATGATTAGGAGGTATACCGGTATGCCAAAAAAATTATTTTGCCACATGGCTCTTGTGCCCCCACCCCTATCTACCACTTGCTATACAGGCAAAATGGAAGAACCCATCGCCTGTTGCCTAACATATCATCATTTCAGCAAGCGAGAAAAGATTTCATCTTTCCCTCATATACAACATATATCCCAAGGGTATTAAAGGTATTACAAGTTTTGGTATGGGGTCATGAATTTGGTTCAAATGAACATATAGGAACCATATGCGATTTTACAATATTCAATGATCGTTGTCGCGGTTGAAATTGAGATTAAAGTGATGAAATGGTAAATATTAAACTCTTTATGTTTTATAGTGCCCTCTCAAGACTGGTATTACTTTAGCTTGAAAACAACGTTTCTTGACTACAATCAACTGATTTGCTATTTGCGTTTGGAAATTATATACCAGAACTGCATATTCTGAGATTTTCAGGGTCGCAGCTACCATGGAATGGCCTTAGGAGCTTTTCGAAATATTTGAAATTTACCAGGAGCACCGGTAAATTTTTTATCACGCAATTTCTCGAAAGCAAAAGTGTTTTAGGGGCTAAATTTTCTAGTGCTTATAATGCATCCACAGGGGCATCCAAATATGTCAACATTTTAAAGAATTACTATCCTCCCAATTTTCAAAATCTCCCAAAACTTTGCGTTACCTTTTACCTAATTGACTTGCTTTCCATCCAGGGGCGTACGCAGGGGGGGTGTTTTGGGGGTTCAAACCCTCCCCTTTGGTATTTTCATGTATGTAAACCCCCCTAAAAAAACCTAAAACCCCCCCCCCTTTGGCTTTTTTTTTTTTTTTTTTTTATTAAAAAAAAAAAAAAAAAAAAAAAAAAAAATTATACCCACGGCTAACCTAAATAAGGTGACCTTACCCCCCCCCACCATACGTAAAAAAATGTCAAATTTTGAAATTTTGAGACCAAAAAAAAAAAAAAAAGTGTCCCCCCCCCCCCCCCCCCCCCCCCACTGAGCGAATTTTCTGCCGGCTGAGTCGTTGCGATTTTTTTTGGCCTCCAAAAAAAAAAAAAAAAGTGTCCGCTTACCCCCCCCCCCCCCCCCCCCCACTGAGCGACTTTTCGGCCGACGCGATTTTCAAATTTTCAGGAGCAATGTTGCGTAAAATCCTGCGTACGCCCCTGTTTCCATCTAAAATAAATATGAATCAAATCCATCTCATTTTTATTCATCACTATGGAGTCCTTGATTAAGTTCTCTGGACTCGCTCTGAAGTGAAGAATCACTACGGTTACTTGTGATCTCAGGAAATGAATTGGTAGAACTCACCTGTTTAATTCAAACAGATTACATCTGTAGATCTTAATCCTGCCATCCTCATTCTGTATGGGGAATTTCAAGATATATTACAAACAATAGTGAGTTTTTGATAAAGAATATATATTTCCTTCTTTTCCTTTTTAACCTTAGCTTTCATGTGTATTAGTAAACCTGAGGTAGATCTAGCTTTTAACAGATTTACAATTTTTTGACATATTTTTCCTATTAATAAGGGAATTTGCATTTGTTTCGGTATCAATAATATTTTATAAAACAAATTTTTCTTCTCAGAACTCATTGGCATCATAATTTTTGTAAGCTAATTAGGATTATTGTATCAAATCACTTTGCTACAATTACAAAGCTTAGTTACACTGGAACTTTATTCTGAAACTAAAAGTGTAGAATGAAGTTTCAATGATTCATATTTTAAAAAAATGTATATATTTTTCTTCTCAAAATAATGTAAATTACTAACTTTCATTCAATAAATCAATCCATTAATTAATAATCATTTGTTCATTCAATTATCCATTCATACATCTATTCTTACCTTTTCAACTATAATCAAATAAAGGCCATTCATACATGTATATATTAGATAGATAGATTCTTTTATTGTGTATCGTTCCTTCCTCAGATTAAAAAATCTTATCTTGATGACTGAGGTGAGTTAGCATTTGCCAACCATCAAGAAATGCATGTACCTGATAGAGTTTAGCACCTGGCATTCCTGGTACGTCTGTAACTGTGTATTTTATACTCTGCTCCTGGAAGAAGGCTAACACAGCATCTTCGACAGCCTCCACTCCAACAATCTCATGACCGCGTTCCCATAACCTGGGACAGAAGATTACCATGCCTTATTTTGACATTGAAAACATATGGATCGAAGTTAAATTAGTACACAGTAGCCCATTGATGGTCGGTGTGTTTTATCGTCCCCCAAACTCCAACACTTCCTATTCCGAATTGATGGACACATCAATATCCAAGATTGTGAATGGTGGCATGGAATGTTATATTCTCGGCGACTTTAACTATAACATGTATAATAAGAGAGAATCAAGAAATGTTAAAACTTGGTGTAATCAGTATAACCTGAAACAGATAATTGACGATCCTACCCGAGTTACTGAGAGTAGTTCTACATTGTTAGATTTAATTCTAACTAATCGACCAAACAATGTACTTGATAAAAATGTTGTCATTCATGGTCTGAGTGATCATAGACTAGTGTATGTTGTTAGCAAACATGTTAAACCGAAAACTCCAGCTAGGATTATACATACAAGAGCTTATAGACGGTTAAACGTAACGTTATTTTGTGAAGCATTATTAAATGCTAGAATGGAATTTATGGAAGGAAATGATATTGAAATTGAATGGAATAACTGGAAGACTAAGTTTGTTGGTATTTGTGATGAACATTGCCCTAAGATTTCTCTGAGGGTTAGGGGTATGAAGACAAAATGGGTCACGCCTGAGTACACTCGATTGTGCTATGATAGAGATGCACTCAGGAAGAAAGCTGAAAATTCAAAGGACCGACGGGATTGGAGTCTTTTCAGATCCTGCCGTAACCATGTCAATAATCTAAGAGTTACTTTGAAAAAGTCTTTTTGTCATGAACAAATAGTTCAAAACAAGAGGAACCCTTCAGAACTTTGGAAGATGCTTAAACATATTGCCCCTACTTCCACCAAAAGCGTTCCCAATACTTTGAACCTTGATGTAAATTGTGTTAATAAGTATTTTACATCTATTGGTAGTCTGCTTGCTGCCAGTCATTCCTATGTTGAACCTGTGATCTTGTCATTATCTCAGGACTCTATTCGATCTGTCTTTGAATTTGATTTGATTTCTGAGGATTTTGTACGAAAAGAATTGCACTCTATTCAGATTAATAAGGCAACTGGCCTAGAAGGGCTTAGTGCACGTCTCCTGAAGTTGGCCACACCCGTTATTTGTACACCTATTACTCACCTGTTTAATCTTTCTCTGCAAACCAGCCAAATTCCAGCTGACTGGAAGCAGGCACAAGTTACCCCAATTCACAAGGGTGGGGATAGGGACGATGTTAGCAACTATCGTCCCATATCTGTTATACCGTCGATTATGAAAATATTGGAAAAGGCAGTTAACGTGCAACTTCGAGACTATCTGTCAGATAATAATCTCCTAACCCCTCACCAATCTGGATTTAGGAAAGGTTATTCAACAAACACCGTACTTGCATTTTTGAGCAATTATTTGTTGACTAACATGGATAAAGGTAGAATAACTGGAATAGTCTTTCTTGACATACGAAAGGCATTCGACTCTGTTAATCATAGATTATTACTAGATAAGTTAAAACTGTATGGCATTACGGGACAAGCATTATCATGGTTCGAATCATATCTTGTACACCGGGCGCAGTGTACCTCCTTGCTAGGTAAAAAATCTGACGTGCTAAAGTTAAAGTCTGGAGTCCCCCAGGGATCTATATTGGGGCCCCTCCTTTTCACTCTTTTCATGAACGATCTTCCATCAGTCATCGAGCACGGTAAAGTGATTATGTATGCAGATGACACTGCCCTTATGTACAGTTCTTCAAATCCAAGGGAAATCGAAACATGTCTTAATCATGATTTGGATTGTGTGAGAAAGTGGTTAGAAAGAAACCAACTTACCCTGAATACGGACAAGACATGCTTCATGATTTTTGGAACACCGCAGAAATTGCTGAACTTGCAATACACACCAATCGCAATAAAAGTTTCTAATGTACCAATCAAGCAAGTTCAAAGTGTAAAATATCTGGGAGTTTGTCTAGACCAGCACATGACGTGGCAGGATCATGTGAAATACACTTCAAATAAAATTGCCTCTAGGTTGGCCCTACTTCGTAGAGTCAGGAAATATCTCACAATCGATAGTGCCAAACTACTTGCCAATTCCCTTATCCTTCCTTACTATGACTATTGTAGTGTTTCATGGAGTACTTGTAATAAAAGAACAAAAGATATCTTGATTAAGCAACACAAGCAGATGGCAAGAATTGTCCTGAAAATAAATACTTTGATTCCCACATCTGAAATGTTTAGTACCCTGAGATGGATTGACATGGAAAAAAGATGGGAGTTCAATAAAAGTAAATTAATGTATGATGTTATGAATAATAGTGCCCCATCATATTTATATGATATGTTCACCCTGTCCGCCCATACTCATAGATACTCAACAAGGAATGCTGACAATTTGGGCGTCATTATTCCAAGAATTAAAACAGAATGTGGAAAACGTGCCTTCTCAGTTGATGGTGCTCTTCAGTGGAATAGCCTACCCCACTCAGTTCGAAATGCCCCGACCAAGAATAATTTTTGTTCTCTCTATTTTAAGCAGCGATCTTAAAGATAAATCTGCCTTTCTTTCTTTATTTATTTCTTTCATGAATATTGACATAAATTTCTCAATATAATAATTTGTTAAAATCTAAATAGATCATTGATAATAATCAGAGTATATTGTTATCGATTTGAAATTGCTCATTGAAATTTATCATTCTTACTACGGCTTTGTTTCATTATTCACTCTTACTCTTTACTCACTTTCTGTTATATGTTGCTATGTATTGATGTTTTCCATGATGTTTATATTGTTCAAGTAGTTTGTTTCTTCATATATGTTCATTTATGTACAGGGCCCCCTGGAAAACAGTACTTTGAATACTGACGAGGCTACCCTGTTAAAATAAAACGGAATAAATAAATAAATAAATAAATAAACCTAAACATGAAGGATTCAGAGGATTGAAAATGTTTTTAAAAGGATAAAATTAGACGTAATTGTGTCAATTAGGCTCGGATAAGATGCAGCAAAATCGTGGTGCTTTTTTATGATCACTTGAAGCGTAATATTTTTAAATCTTACAATCCAGAGCTCAGTAAATATGTGCTAGTCCTTTGTTGCGCGAAGTTGCCATTCAAGCACCACATTAAAAAAAATTGAAAATTGCTGTGGATTACCACGTTGTTTCTGAACCACTCAGCCTTTAGAGAGAGCGGGAGAGCGTGATGGGTAAAATAAGATTGATAAGATTAACCATTGATAAAACAAGCTTTCTAGGTGCATTTCAGGAAGCAAGGAAAAGGCATGTGAATCATTAAGATAAGTATTCAATCAAAACCTCATCACAAAAATAATAATGATAATAGGTCCATTTATATAGGTCAGCTAGTATGTGAATGTATTATACTGCGCTTAATACAAAGTATACTATTATTACCCCAGCTGTAGCTGAGCTGCCATAACAAGGCGCTAAAGCATTCAAGTAATTTCTTCACTACCAGGTACCCATTTACTTCACCTAGATGGAGAGTGGCAAATATAGATTAAAGTCTTGCCAAGGACATTAGTGCCGCAGCAGGACTCAAACCACGAACCAATACAGAATCGTTTGCTTGAACTTCTTACCACACTATATCAATTGTCTTGCCACACAGTGGAATGAAGATCCTGCATCTTTCCTTGCCGTCTGTCAGCTGATCTACATAGGCAGACAGCATCCTGTAAAAAGAAATCAAAAACGATAACAACATTATCCCTAATTCTAACCAAGGATTACAGAGCTAAATAAACTTCAGATATTGCTTTAATACATCCCATACTCTACCCAAAATGGCAACTACATTTGAACACATAATTTGAATTTAAGTTCAAAATCAGATAGGAAAGGTACCAGTAGGTACTTATTTTTCATATTCACATTCATGCATGGAGGATAACTTAAATTTCAAAAAACAATGTTTTGAAAATGTTGCAAAAAGTGATGTGGTCTTATTTTGAAAGACTTTACCTCATTGATCTTGATTGATTAATGAAAGTTGAATTTTCCTCAAAACAAAGTAAAAATTAAAAAAAACTTTCACTTCATTACTTGATTCAAATTCAACTGCAATCACACCGATATCAAATAATCAAGAATTATTAATCAAATAAAAAAGATCCATACCATGGTATTTTCTTCAACTTTCTTTCTTTATAAGCTAAGCACATGCCATGGCAGATTCAGATAAATGCAATATAAATACTCTTTTGAGCTTGTTATATCATATACTACCGGTACACCTTTCTTGCTGCTCTTCTTCTCAGTGATTAAAGTTATATAAATGCAAATTATTTTCAGAAGCTGTCATGGGTTTTAATTGTTTAATTTATCAAACTTTAATTTGTCCTTACTCACTCATGAACTTTTCCTTTGTGAAATCCAATATGTCCCTCCTCCCATCTCTTCTGCCATTTGTCTATACTTTCACCTTTTTCCATGCTTGGATGATCTGAATCAATCGAGAGAAAAAAACATTATACAAAATGTAGACTGATAATTCTAATGATAAAGATATAGTGATAAAGTAATATACCGGTAGCAGAAATTAAAATGAAAGGGGAAAAGGACACATACATAATTAGATAAATATACACGTATATGCCACAAAATATGATCATCCACACTGACAAAATGAAAGGCAGGAAATTGTGTGACTTTTTTGTTTTAACTTACCCTAATTCATAAATCATAAATGTAGTTTAAAGGGAAAGTCCACCCTGAAATTAAGTTAGTTTTAATAGGAGTAGAAAAATGAGAGAAACAAGTCAGTGAAAGTTTGAGCAAATTCCGATTAAAAATAAGGAAGTTAGGATTTTTGAAGTTGTGATATCAATCAAACACAAATTGGCAACTCTATGACGTATCATGCGAGCTCAACTTCCATTTGCTCAGTACTAAAAAAAATCTAAAATTTTCATTTTCCCTCAAGAAAAATTTCAACCATACATGCACCCTAAATATAATAATTGCAAATATGTTTCTATACTCCCCCTGCAAGGAACAAATATATATTCCGTCATCAATAACGAAGAAAACATGATTTTATGGAATATTATGCACAAAGCAAATGAAGGAGAGCTCGTATAATAAGTCACAGAGTTGCCAATTTGTATTTGATTGATCACAACTTCAATAATTCATAACTTTCTTATTTTCATTCAGAATTTGCTCAAACTTTCAATCACCTGATTTTCTTATTATTCTGCCTCTATCGAAACAAAATTATTTTTGGGGTGGACTTTCCCTTTAATGATTCGAGGATCATGACTATAATTCATCTTCTTTGTGGAACTCTAAACGCCCCTGCATGCATGGTCATAGTCGTGGTGCCTAACTGCCTATATCCCACGTTCTTTACAAAATCCGATCTCCCTACTCCTCCACCCGGTACCAACCGTTGACAGCATGCATCACCATCATCAATGTTTCAATCATCATTCAATGCCCACCCTGTGTACGAGTGTTGGAAGGGATCTTATCAATATCAATCTAAACTCGCAAGTATGATCTCTTAAAGTAATCTAGACTTCAGTAGTTAGTCTAAAGAGCCTTACGTACAATCAAAATACATCCATATTTACCACAATAAACTGCCACCTGGAATCTAATGGTAGCCTTCAAATATGACGATAAAAGCTGAGAAGAGCAGATAATGTGTCGCTTTTCCCAGGCCAGAGCAGAGAGTTCCACCTGCCTTATATGTGTGCAAACTTTGACTGCAAGCTCACAGCACTGGACTTAACGGTGACCTCACCGTAGCGGTGACTGTATATGAACTGTACTGGCATGGCGCGCACGTCACGCACGCGTACGGAGGGAATCGGGGACTTTCCCTTCCCCATATATGGCATGACATCACACCATTGTTATTATTGATACGAAAGATCCGAATCGAGGCAGAAAATAAACAGAAACAGGAAGGTGAAGCTTCGTTAGACAATAGAAGATCATGGACCACTGTCTTCCAAAATATTCATAAGGGAAACTAAACTTGATTTAGATGTTGTCAACTACTTATGTCGATTAATGATGATTTCACCATAGAATTGAATCCAATAGAGACCATTCAAACCATCAGAAACCAATAGAAACCAATAGAAATAGAAACCAGCAGGACCAATAGAAACCAATAGGACCAATAGAAACCAATAAGACCAATAGAAACCAATAGGACCAATAGGACCAATAGAAACCAATAGGACCAATATAAACCAATAAGACCAATAGAACCGGTAGGACCAATAGGACCAATGAGACCAATAGAATCCAATGGGACCAATAGAAACCAGTAGGTCCAATAGAAACCATTAGAAACCAACAGCTAAATCTATCTCATGCATATTCATGATTACTTTATACGTGTTCAAAGAAAATTACATTTATCATAATTTAAGCAACTTATGACAATGTACGTCAATTTTGTGATTTTTATTTTCTTTCGGCAACTAATGACCAATAGATTATTTGTTTAATCATGTTACAATTACATTCACGTTTTAGCAATAGATATATTGATTATAATGATTACTAACCAATAAACAATTCATGTATGTTTATTATATAGAATAGTACAAGCCCTCAGTTAGAATAAAGAATATTCTTAAACTCGATTCAAGTGATCTATGTGATGGAATTAATGCAATTGAGATTAGAATATACTTCTTTTTGGTGGACAGTTGCTAAAATTGATTTTGATTTATCATTATTGATTTACCAATAGAAGCCATAGGACTATTGGTTTCAATAGGGAATTCAGAATATGTGACCAGTAGAAACCCATAGAAATATCTCTAATGGACCAACAGAAACCCATAGAAGACATGGGTGGATGCTTGTCCAATAGAAGCTTTCTGTTGGTCCATCAGCATTTTTTTCTGTGGGTTTGTGTTGGTCCAATAGATATTTTCTAATGGTTTCTGTGGGTCCATCATTTCACTTTCCCTATTGAAACCATTAGACACCAATAGCTCTAATGGTTTCTGATGGTCCAATAGGATCGGATTCTAATGGAATTTCGACCTGGGCAAAATTCAGAAATGTTCATATTACATTATCTTCAAGTCCTGTCTGATTTATGTTAACTCAAAACCTGGTTCACTAGTTTGCTACTTTTCATTTCCACTTGGTTTTGCACTCATGCAGGATAAATGTTATGAGGGTTAATATGAATAATAAAATGAAATACTTTTTGTTTCCTTTGCCCTAATCATTTTTAACGAAGGCTCCATGATAATGCCAATACTAAATTGTTTTTTAAACAAACCAATATTGAATAGGAAATGTATCTCTTCTAGCTGTACTAGTATTTCCTCAACATGCATAATCTCATATTCTCTCATCCTCTCTCTTTCCTCCTTTATAATACCCTCTCTCCTACCCCTATCTTTCTCACTCTCTCTCTCTCCCTCTGTCTCGATCTTCCTGTCTCAGGCTCTGCGTCTCTCGCTCTGTCTCTCTTTCTCTTCCTCTGTTTCTCTCTTCTCTCTGTCTGTGTCTCTCCCACTGCCTATCTTTCTCTGCCTCTAGCTCTCTTCTCTCTCTGTGTCTGTGTCTCTCCCTCTGTCTCTCTTTCTCTGCCTATATGTCTGTCTCTGTGTCTGTGTCTCTCCCTCTGTCTCTCTTTCTCTGCCTGTATGTCTGTCTGTCTGTCTGTCTCTCTCTCTCTCTCTCTCTCTCTCTCTCTGTCTGTGTCCCTCCCTCTGTCTCTTTATCTCTGCCTCTGTCTTTCTCTCTTCTCTTTGTCTGTCTGTCTCTCTCTCTCCCTCTTTCTATCTCTCTCTCTCTCTCCTTTTTCATATGAACATTTCTTGTGCTGATATATCTCCTAACAAAAGAGGAGCTATTCAGTTTCCCAGCACAATCCAACATTTCAAATAAATAAATGGAGTATACACTGAGGTTTGACGATTAAGAATTGTTTATTTATTTTTTATTTCATCTAGAGATAATGTGAACATTTTCCTCACCAGATACATTGATGGTAAGACATCTATATAGTTTTCAGGTTAATGTCTACACTTTGGTATAACATCAGTAATGTTGTACACATATATTCACAATGGACGGCTCATACATTTCAGCAGTAATGATTATTCAATAAAATCTCTGTTATCCTGAATACAATATGGTATGGTAGGATTTTAACTGGCACCTTTATTTCATAAAAATGACTAATATTTTGTTTCAAATATCAAAACATTTAACCATGGAAAACCAGCCTATGCTAATGTAAATGCCTAATGTCTTTGATTGTTATAAGCAGATAAAAAAATTTAGCCAAAGGCTTTTATGGACACTAATACCCCCGCCTCCATTTCCCTCCCCTCCCCCTCCCCCCCCCCCCCCCCTCCACATCTTCCTTCTTATATTTCCATCTAGCTAATAATCATTGAGTTTAAAAGAGCAACTAGATAATACGATATTGGGTGTAGCATATAATGATGTGGCAGTATCACTGTACATCATCAGAAAATAGCAATGTAATGTTCTTTATGATAAACATGTTTTCATACTGGGCTAAAAAACTATATTGTAACAATTGAATTCAAAGTTTCAGACGAATTCGCTCTCAGGAATGGGAACTAAGCCAGAATGCGTTGGAACTAAATCATCATGCTCCTGAAATACAGAAATGGCAGAGAGAATAGAGGAGGGTGAAGGAAAAGATGACAAGAGAAGGTGATTTGTAAAAAGCATCAGAGGAGAAATATTATATGCAATATAATGTAAACATTGATCTACATTTGCCACACTCCACCCAGGTGAAGTAAATGGGTACCTGGTAGGAATTTATTCCTTGAAATGCTAGAGCGCCGTATGGCAGCCGTGCTAAAGCCAGGGTAATAATCAGGAGCACCAGGAGGGTCAAATCTGACAGACATGAGCGCTATACAAGAACCCACTATTATTATTATTATTATTATTATTATTACACCGTAGTATAAAGTGAGAGTAATAAACAAACTACCAGTTACACTTTAGATGAGAAAAAGAAAAAACTTGATGATAAAGATATTGAATGATGACTTATCGGATAACATCCTTTTCAGGTGTTTAGTAAGCACCATCATGGGTTATTTGAAACTTGCAAGGCTATGGTTTACCATTTTCAAAAACTATATCTATTACCAGTAGGAATAAATCAGTATAAAACATAAATTGATAAAATTGCTTATCAACCACAGATCTATGCCGTACATTCTATTAATGTGACTTAATGGCATTTACGCAAAGGATATAGCCAATTATTTTACATCTTCTTCAGATAACTCAATGGCATAACTGCAAACTTTGATAAAAAAGTGTAGCTTTAGTTTTGAATAAAAAATTATCAAAAGCACATTCATACATAATTCCCAACTTACTTCGAAACTGAATACTACTATTAAACTGCATTGGTACTACATGCAAGTTGGAAAATTACATTCCATTAGTAACATCATTCTAAGCATTCCTATTTATATTATTAATTAAAACATTTTATAGTACCTGATATGAGACAATCCCTCACATTGTTACAATACACTAATAGCCATTGGTATCAATTATATAAGATATTTGGTGAATCAAAATATATTTCAAACGTACCATAAAGTGCCTAAAATAAGAAAGATTTGGTAAAAACAGTTCAATACTGGACAATTTCATTGAGACAAGTCATTCTTGTTTTTTTTTTTTTTTTTTTTTTTTTTTCTTTTTTTAAATATTTCATATATTGTATTCGTATTTCTTGTTGTAATTTTAGTTACTTTGTATATCGGTTTTATTTGTATGTATACCATATTAATGTGCAATGTTTTACATGTTTTTAATTGTATAGACAGGGCCCCTTGGAAGAGCAATACTCGTTATTGAAAGGGCCACCCTGTATAAAGAAGACTTGAATAAATAAATAAATAAATAAATTCAAAAGAGACACATGCAATGGACAAGTACGGGAAGACTTAACCTGAGAGGTACTATAAAATCAAGGTGTCTTTTAGATACTTGAAAAATATCAGTGGTATTCAGAATTACGAGGCACCATATAGATACGATCATTACGAAGTATTGTTTGTACTACAATGCTAGCTCACAGAGCGACATTTTGTGATTAAAAATTCTACTGCGGTGGTAATTAAAAATGAATTTAAAAAAAAAGGACATTCATTTGATACAGGCAGAAAGAGCAACTCAGTTGATTGATCACAATAAGCCTGTCCTCATCAGACCGAAGTTGCAAAATAACCCGCTATTTTCAGACTCTGAATATTTTCCTGAAGCCAGACCGATACGCTCATCACAAATTAGCCAAATAGAAGACTATTCTGGAAACAAGATCAAGATTTCTTGGGATATGTTCTTGACCAAATGGCCCGCTAATTGCAACGGCGGGCTGATGCGGACGCAAATCAGTTGGCAAATTTGAGATCGGCTTAGTTGAAATAGCGGGTTATTTTGCAACTTTCGGTCTGAGGAAAACAGGCTTATTTGGATCATTCCACACAAAACAATGATACACCAAACTTAGAAATGAGAGAATACACCAGGTTTTTAAACAAAAGTGATGACATTGAATAAAAAAACCAACCCCCTATCAAAAGGGTAAAATAAATGCTTCATGATTAATTGAAAGTAATCATATTTGTAGTTCAAAACAAAAAAAGATACTTTTCAGACTGCCTATAAAGTAACAAAATATAAATCAAATAAATAAATATATATACACTCAATATGGTACACTATAACCTAGTTACATGTTTACACTTTCAATGTACATAATACCCTGTACATATTTGCAGAAAAATAAAAATAGAATTGTTTTATGGATTGGAGGATACTGCTCCAGACGTAGCGGCCACTTCTGCTCTCTTGATCTCTGTCGTGATCTGAGTTAAGTCCATGATGAACATCTGGATCTGTAGGAAGCAAAAACAACAAAAAATACAGTGAGACATTGCTCAACAGTTTCATCTGGATGGAAGAGGTCTATGACAGATCCAACTAATTTACGGCCACGGCAGCCATCGGGCGATGAAAGAACTTAATTCAATTTAATTCAATTTAGGAACTTTATACTAATCTTGATCTAAAGAGACACGAACGAACGGATGAACCTGAGTGACAATTTCAGGTTTTAAGTCCAGACACCAGTTTTCAGACATTTAAGACAAGGTGATCGCCAAAACGACATTCTTCAGCGACCAGAAGACTAGCAGCTACTTTCAGTCTGCCAAGCAGACTGGAAGCAATTGGTAAAACTTGATTATGAATTACATAAGAATTGGGTACCGTATATTGTGAGGTTTCGATATCATCAAAATGATACAAAATTAAGTCAATCTTTTTGAAAACCACATACAATGCACACATAAAGGTTAAAATGGGACTACACGGACAAGTGGCATTAATGTTTAGTCCACACTTTTCAGCTATTTCTCGTAATATTTTGCTGACAGTTGAGAAGCTATCTCACTTTTCAAGCCGGCAGTATAATGATACTCATTCATACTGCCGTCAAAAGAATTAAAAAGCACATAACTTTACTAGAACTCAACTTTCTTGTTTACAGACAATCAGATCGAATACCGGTACAATATCTCATGGAGTAACAATAGTTTACCTTTGTTAGCTGTTCTAACGTGTTCTCTGTTCCCAATGAGGTTTTGGCATGCCTTTCGACTAGCTGGAATAGATTGTGGGTTGCCCTGGAAAGTAAAACAGTACGGTAACCATATTAAATTCATATCACAAACATGAAATCGTAATGAATATAAAAATAGTAATGCTGTAATAGCTTTTCATATTGCTCTACATACATGTATATTACAGCTCTTATAATGTAGGATATTATAAAAGCAAATAGTTTTTGCCGGAAAGGGTTGTGCTCAATTGTCTATTAAAAATAATGCAAACCATAATAGCTAACAGTATCACTTTCATACAAACTAAATATACCCCCCCCCACCCAAAAAATAAGAAATAATAATGAATAAATACATCAATAAAATTGAATACACATTCAAGTGATACAGAATATATATTCAAGTTACAATATGAAAAGCCTATTATTTTGTTATTGCTAATAAAATCATTTTTAATTCAGATTTATCTATGATTTCATGTCATTTTACCATTAATTCAATTTTAATATTTTATAATACTTTTTAATATTTATTACACCATCTGAATGAAATTTGTATTGCATTTTATCACAGTTTTCCCTGTTACAGTTAATTGAATTCCCCTATCTGTATACATTTTATTTTATTTGTTTTGATTTAAACATTTACTCAATTTTGCTAGCAATACTTTATATCATGTAATTTTTTTTCCTTTAATACCGCTTTGATGTTTTGATGTAAACATTTATTCATTTATATATATATATATATATATATATATATATTTCTTTTTCTTCTCCCATTTGCTATGTTTTCTTTATATATATATATATATATATATATATAAATATGGATTTGGATGTAAACTTGCATTTTTAGTCTTTGGACTTTTTGACAAGTCATGAATAAAACCTAATTTGAATCTTGAATCTTGAAATAAGCCAATTACATTGATATAAAATGTAATACATTTTTTGGCCATTGATATGCTACATGCATTTATATGTATATTACACACATTGCTGTTGCTTTCCAGCTGTCAAATATTACTTGTAAATCTGATATATGAAGAAACACATATTGAAAGGGCATATCATTCCCCACTGCCTCTTTTCATCCAAGTAAATCAAATTCTTACTTGACAGAAATGTTCTTGGATAGAATGAGCATAAAATCAAATTGGTATCACTCTCATACACTAATCTGTTTTAAACTTCTATACTTACATCTTTATTCTTCCAAGCAGAAGTGTCTTCTTGGCAGCTGTGTTTTTGATGTGGGTCCAGACGGATTCCCTGTGAAGACAGATAAAATGGGTACATTAAAGGTATAGGCCAGTTTGTGGAAACGCCCCCCCCCCCCCCCTCTCAAAAAATGAAATGGCAGCTTATTACTAATCATGTGAAAGAATATGTTTTGATTAAAACGTGATACAAATTTTGCCGGGAAACCGCCTACTAATTGATATATTTGGTAAATATACATGTACATCTTTCTGTGTACAGTGCTTGTAGCTTTACTCAGATTGGGCCAAATTTCTTATCATGTTGATGATTCCAGAACCTTGCAGTACACACCAATACTTACATGTATATGCTAGATGATCAACCTTTTGATTGATTCCAGGTTTCTTTCACGATGCAATCGTTAACTGGTCTATACCTTTAATCAGGGCCTTATTTCATTAAACCTGTTATCAATCACAAGTTGCTATAACTGTTATAAGCTATACTGAAATCATGGTATTTGATTGGCTGAGAGCTAATTTGTCATTGAATTTAAGCATTTGTTATTGATATCAGGTTTCATGAGACAGGGCCCAGATAGCCAAAGGCTATGAAATCATTACAAAGTACATGACACATGCAATCATTTGCTTTTGATACCAAGTTCATACAGCACACTGCATTTGACCCTAGTACCTTCTCATCTCATTATAGCCATTCCACATTAGCTATCATTTCAAACAATCAAAATGACTCTAGGACAACTACTTCCAACCTTCCTGTGGACATCCCCTCCCCCCCCCCCCCCCACCCCCACCCCAGGAAAACTACCACATATAACAACTACTCCCCTTACAGGACTATTCCCAACCCGTCTAAGACATTACCCCCAGGATGACTACATAGACCACCCTCTTATAAATTATCCCTAATGTCTTTGTCTGAATTAAGTGGTTAATATTAAAAGAGGTTAGTTGTTTGAGAGGGTAGCAGTCTCAGTATGGAACACAACCATAAACCTCTTCATTTTTAAGGATTTTTGTTAAGAAAGCAACACCTCTCATTCCATGGTTGTCTGAAGAACTTCACAGTTTATAAAAATTCAAATATACTTGTATTTTCGCTTTTGAATATATTTATTTTAAGATTACAAATGGCTCTCCATAATGTTTAAGTCTTACCTAGAGTTAAGTTCGACTTAGGATATTTGTGAAACACCCCCCAGAACTCTTACCATTTGACAGCTTCACTCTGTGCCCTGTCTAATCGGGTTTGCAATGTTGCTAGCTGATTGTTGTAATGTAGAATGTCGTTGTTCTTCTCCTCCGTAAACTTCCCCAGTCTGGCCTTCTCTTTCTCCACTGCGTCCTGAGTGCTGTTAGCTTTCTCTACAAGATCCTGCAAGAGATTATACAAATGTCAGAGCTGTGAAAGACTAAGGAAATACAGCCAAACATACTTTTTAGTGATCACCTGCATAAAAAAGACCACCTGTATAGCAACCATGTTGTTTGTTTCCCTTGATATGAACAGCATTTCTCATAAAAACAGACATAAAAGAAACCATGCAGGGGGGTGTTTCACAAAGCTCTTAAGTCTGACCTAACTCTAAGTTAGACTTAAACATTATGGAGAGCCATTTGCAGCCTTAGAATAAAATATATTCAAAAGAAAAAATTCAAGTATTTTAGACTTTTATAAATTCCACATCAAGAACATAAAATCTCCTTGATCAAATAAAATATGAATGATTTGAATCAACATGTTATGCCTTTAAAAAAACTTTTACAAAATATTTTCATAGATGCTAACAGCTTTCCATAATTGTCAGACTTAGAGATAAGTTCAACTCTTTGTGAAACACCCCCCTGTTCCCAAAGACAACCTTCCTAGGTTTGGCATCACCTGCTCCTATGACAATTGCTCCGTGTCAATTTTCTTCAATAACCAAATTCTTAACTTTGACCCTGGATCCAACACTATACCTTACCCTAACCTGAAACCTAACCTAAAACTCAACTGTAACCCTAACCCTATGCTTCTGACAAAATAAATCAGGGAGAGATTGTCACCGGAGCAAATGTCAGGTCACCCCTACCCACATACTGTACAGGCCATATGTTGTATTTCCCATATATGCCTTTTTTTAAACAGGTTTCACTGTAACATATAGTTCATATCAGATTGATCAATATACCAGCTTTATCAGAAGATGAATAATTCATGGTAAATAATCAATCTTGCAAAAATGCCAAATCTATAATTATGAGTCTATCTGATGCAGCACTACAGGGTATGTCTATAGCGACCGCCCAAAGGAAACACAAAAAGTGGCCTTTGTAGACAGTTGGTCTTTGTAGACAGGTTTCTTTAGTACATGTTTCAATGAGAAACCATTTTCAAGGGAAACAACAAATGTGACCTTTGTAGACAGGTGGTCTTTGTAGACAGGTGGTCACTAAAGCAGGTTTGACTGTATATATGCAAGAATATCATGTACATGTACTTCCTCCTTTAAATAATGAAATAAAATTATGTAAATACAGTACTGCAGGGGTGATAGTGAGCACTAAAAAAAATAGGTTTTTTGTTTTCCCCTCAACTACGCCCCCCTTGAGTAAAAAAAAAGAGGATTCGCGGGGGAAAAATGGCATCTAACATTATTCCCCCCTTTCGAGTAAGAAAATTGGGAAAAAAATATGGCAAAATAGAGAAAATAAGAGGGAAATCGGGAAAATCAGGATAAAATGGGAAAGAAAAAAAAAATTGGTAAAAAAAAAAAATCAGTTTTTTTTTCTTTTTCTATTAAATCGGGAAGAAGAAAAAAATCGGGAAAAATTAAAAAAAAACGAGAAACCGATTTAAATCGGGTTTTTATCAGGCCTGGTACTGTGATTAAAACAAAGTAAATGAAAAATATAATCACTATTCACATTGGCAACCTATAAAAGGAAGATGAGTTGAAAACAAGACAGGGTAACTACTATTATTTGATCTCCTTACTCTGTGTGTTGCAACTAGAGTCTCGTGTCTGGCGATGACTTCCCTGATCTCGTGAAACTCGTCGGCTGATTCCAGAGTTCTTTCCAGGAAGCGATGAAAGAGTTTGTGTTTGTTGAGACGCTGCATGAGTTTATCCTTCTGACCCTGGAGATCACCCTTCTCGTCCATTAATCTGTCAAGTGGAAGTGAATTCGAGGAAGCCTTATTTACAAGTGACACAGTAAAAAAAAAAGAAGCCTGTAATAGTTCCAAAATGTGACTCATCCTTTCACACATCAATTAGACAAGTAAAATAAGGGAGGGTAACCCCCCCCCCCAAAAAACAAAAAAAAAAAAAAAAAATTCAATCAGGCAGCTAAAGGGGAGGGGTAGGTGGGAGAGAGAGGGGGAGGGAGAGAGAGGAGGGGAGGGAGAGAGAGGAGGGAAGGGGGAGGGAGGAGGGCAGGGGGGGAGAAGGGGAGGTGTAGGGAGAGAGAGAGGGGAGGAGAGAGGGCTAGAGAGAGGTAGACGTACAGAGACAAAGAGAAATATCAGAGACAGATAAGGGGGAGGGGTTGAAATAGATCATGCAAGAGATGAAAACTGGAGCAAGATGGATACAGATGGAAAGGAAGACAATAAGAAGGGGCACAAAGGAAATACAGATAAAGCAAAGAAGAAAAAAAGGGAATTCTAAGGATTCTAAGGAGTATATAGGGGAGAGAAAAAGACATTAAACATAAAAACTGACTAATACCATCACAAGAAAGTTGTATATGGGACTACATGGTGTTAGCCTGCTTACCTTGATTTTCTTGTCTTTCTATGATCATTACTCAGCCATTATACTACCAAAATTGTTTGGCAAATGACATTTATTTGTAATCTTGAACATTCAGTGTAAGTTTTCATTTGATTCTGTGAGAATTCATTTTCATCTTACCAGAACTCAAGTTTATCTTTAAGCTCAAAAACATTCCAGCAGTCATAAAACTAAATTCCACTAGCTTTAGTGATTATAATGGGAGTGCTGGTTTACCTTGAGATTTCCTTGTCTTTGGTTTTCTTCAAATCTCTTTCATCATGTGCCTTCTTCACTGCTCTTCCTCGCTTTGAATCGTTTTCCTAAAATCAAATATATATAGCAATCATCATGTTAATAAGATGAATTAATTAAGCAAAATAGAATCATGCATGCACGATACAAGTGCAGAAATGGATAAATGCTTTGGGGTAATGATATCAATATTACATTATTGGTGAAAATTAATAATTAACGACCTCCACAACTATAAATCCTAGATCTACAGGTGGACAATTTCATAATCATACAAATATATACATTCGATTGTATCTTGTATCGATTTGCAAAAAATACACAGCTAATGTCAACCTGGACAGAAAGATTATTTCAATGGATAAAAGCAGTCTTTATACAGATAGTTGTTACAGGCCTTATTAATTTAATATTTTTAGGGCAAGGACACTTTTCTGTAGGGCACATTCCTATATTACAGCACAAATAGGAAGAATTGGAAAGGGCACACAAAATCTCCAAGGCCAATGAGAGGGGCATTGAGGCCAGTCAAAAAGGGCATCCACGGCCATGGCCTTGGTGGCCTTGGATTAATTTAAGCCCTGTTGTTAGACTATGTGTGTGTGGTGGTTATTTTACCTGACTGCTAAGAAAGCATGAATGCTTGTTAGTAAGCAACCAGAGGACCGACTGCTTTACATGTAGGTCCTCTCGAGGGACCTGGTAATGAGGATTAATGCCTTACCAAAGGGCACTAGCACATCAAATTGGTTCCGAACCCGGGTCGCCGGAATACGAGACCACTGCTCTTCCAACTGAGCTATCGGATTTATATATATATATATATATATATATGATGGTCAGGACAGTAGATTACCCTTTAGCATGATGGTAAAGTTGCTTACAGATGAAACTTACTTTTAAGAACTTGTCAAACTTGAGTAGTGACTCTTTGAGTTGATATTCCTTTCTTTCCAGCTCTTCTCTTCTCTGTTGCAGACTCTCCATTTTCATTTGAAATTCCTTGATTGAAACGTAGAACATAGTTAAATATATGTATTGCTACAGGTTCTCTGGATCTCTAACATAAACTCTTTTCCAGCCCCTGGAAACAATATCCTTTCTACTTCTGAACAAACAACCATCATTTTTTTACCATTCTCATCATCAGTTTTAGCAAATACCAAACTACTGATATTGACTACCCCATTGCCAACTGGAACTTGTTAGTTCCTGTATTAGGGCATATGAGAATAACAGAATTCAGTATTGGATGGATTCATTCTTCGAATGTGAATGTTGTAAATCTAAAAATCACCTTGTCTATGTTCAAGCATACACTCCTGCTCCTTTTTTTCATTCATGAACTGAAATACATTGTAGATACACATACATGTATCATATGGGACATACATGTCATATGGGACATACAGGACAGAATCGGGTTAAAGCACTGATACCATAGCCAGCAGAGCCAGGGTAATATTAGAGTGCTTTGAGCACCTTATGTGGCGGATATGTCTGCTGCTTGACAATTTCCAATATATTCATTAATATTGATTATTATTATTATTATTATCATTATCATTATTATTATATTATTGTCTGTTGTCTCATGTTAGCACACAATCTCCTCCCTCCCCAAATAGCAGTAATCAATCATGGAAGAATCCTGAATCGATGAACAGGCTTAGACCTACAACATCGTAAGGTACATGTAAGTATTAAAAACTGACCTCTTTCTGTGCTGCCAATGCCTGTTCCACCTCAGACATTTCTCTCCTCTTCTCAAGAAGTCTGGTAGCGGGAGTAAGATGGTCATCCTCCCTCTCAGGCATCTTCCTGTTATGGACAATTCAAATTAAAGAATAATATTAAAAGGGTTATAATTATAAACATACATTTTGTCAAAGATATAGTCTAGGGTAAGGGTTTGGGATACACATGGGCTTTAAGTTAGGTGTATGGTCCTTGTTAGTGTTAGGCTCAGGGTTAAAGTTTAAAAAAAATCGCTAGTGTTAGAAACTGACTAGAACTTAATTAGAAGCCATTATCATCAGAGCATTCTTCTTTTTCTTCTTCTTCAGGTTACATCTGCCTCCTTTAGCTTTGAATATTCTTGCAAACGTTAACAGAGATGCCAACCTCTAGACACAAAAAAACAGACTGAGTATCCTAAAAAAATCAGATTTTGGAGAGAAAAATCAGATTTTCATGAAAACTCGACACTACCAATGGCCGTTTGGCCCCGGGCCAGTAAAATGTGATACTGGTACGTACAGTCAAGTGAAATGTTTGCTCTTTCATTAAAATTTTAAAAGAAAATTGTAAAGCAAAGTTTTTGTTGGGGCTGCGGGGTTTACTTGTTCATGTTTTAATGCGATTCTGAGGTTTTTATGGGAATTTTTTAAAAAAAATTAAAAAATTTTAAAAAAAATTTTTAAAAAAAATGAAAAATCATATTTTAAGAGTTGATATCGTATTATCGTATTCCACTCTTATTATCGTACTAAATACGATTAAATCGTACTGGTTGGCGCCTCTGGGTTAAGCCTTTTGTCATACAACTTCTTCTTTTTTTCTCAACAAGTTGTCCACCCATCCCCTACATTATTTTTCATGAAATTTGAGTGAGCAAGATGAAGATCTGCTTTACAGAGCTTTCATTACTCAATCCCTAAAATAGCACAATTCTTTATTTCTATAAATATTGTATTACACATTCTATTACAAGGGCATCTGTACCAGGCCTTGACTGTCTTCTCTAGAATTAGAGTTTGGAGTAAAAGTATTACCACACATGCTGCAATGTGTGTCTAGAGACTAGACAATTTGGTTGTCCGGGTAGGTCCTAGATGATTTCAAACAAGAGACTAAATAAATTGAACAAGTCGCAGGCCATATTTTCATGAATCTTTCATTTCAAAAGGAATCCAGAGTCAAAATCATCAGAATCATGTGGACACAATCAAGATTTGGTTTAGAACTCAACATGATAAAGTGCTGTAGAACTTAGTTAGAAGGCATGTTTTTAAAATGTATTTGAAGTCATCATTAACATGATTGATTGACCAAGCATTGACTCAATCTAGACTCTAGTCTGTCTCTAGATCTCATGATCTAGACTTTAAGTTTAAGTTAACACAGTTTATCTGTTCCAACAAAACATCAACAAATCTCATTTCTCATAAACAAAGTCTTCACATTTGACTGAACTTTTGAAGACTAGACTCTGAAGGAGTGAAGGAGTGAAAAGTGGACCTGGTGAAGGAGTGAATGTGAATTTGAAAACAGTCGCACTTAATTGCACTGACAAGCAGTGAATTCAATTCATTTGCACTCTCTAAAAGCAAGATTAACAAAGATCTACAATTGTAACAATTGATATATTATGAGTGTTCATATCAATCAAGAAAAGACATGAAGTTGCTTCGCAATCGATGAGTTTACGAGTACGAGTCTGACTCAGCTCAGCTCAGTGACACAGCCAGGCCAGGCCCTGGCCCTGGCCCGGCACAGGCGCAGGAGCAGGCAGCAGAGCGGAGAACCAGAGGCAGAAGCAGAGCAGAATTCGCTATTCAATCATAAAATAGGACTACTTACACGAGGAGTTTGTCCTCAAACGTCGTCCTAAAGTATTCTTCCAAGCTTACTGCCATGATGCCCTTTCTTCTGTTTTACAACCGATAAGAAAATGTAATATTTGACATGGATAAATCCAACGTTTCAGCAAAAGACAAGGCGCCACAATACTCGGGTCAGCTCAGTGCTAGCTATGCATGCATAGACAATACGTTGTGTGTGCATGTGCAATTTGCATGCATAACGTACATACAGCTAGCTGTTCGTAGCGCTAGTTGTTGCCTGGGTTACGTTTGAAGATCCGAGAGAGGGCGCAGCTTCAAAACTTTATTCTTGATCATTGAAAAAAAGATCTCCCATAAAAGATAAGATAAGATATATTTATTCGTCTTTCTTTCAATTTTCACATAGAGCATAGCATTAGATCATTACACATTTACTATGCAAAAAAAAAGTTATGGCAATGATAAAAACTAAATAAGATCTGGCTATTTGTTTTTAGTCGATCAGTAGACTTCAACAATGATCACGGTCTGTAAACAAATAAGATAAAAGAAGATACCCTTAATAATTAAGATCTAACTATAACAAAATCCTCTAAAAACAAAGTGAACTGAAAGAAGGACGAGGAGACCCTGGAGCCTGGTCCCCTCTGGACCAAATAATTGGTTGGTATACATAAATAGGCAACGAGATAAACATGATAGGAGTACATATTTGTAACTACCTAAGGATACGTTAGTAAAAAAGGTGGTATAAGAAACAAGAATTGTACACACACAACAACAACCAAAATCGAGACTAGACAAGACGGGAGAAAAGAGAAATATGAGAAATATTAAAAGACTACAGCACATCGACAATAGGCACAGCACACAACGGGCACAAGACAACGGAGGGAGGGAATAAAAGGTTGACAATCTGAAAATATTCAGTTAGACACATAATATATCAAGAAGAAATTGTACAATTACTCTACAATTACAACTACTCCATGTAATATCGAGATTATGAAATATGAAATTACGATTCGGTATTTCTTACTGTTAAACTTTGTAAAATTATGTTATTGGAGTTTCTCCATTGATGAATGCAGGGGCAGCGATCGGGGGGGGGGGGTCGACCCCCCGAAAATTTGAAAATGTTCCCCCAAAATTTATAGCAAATACTGACTAGGGAATGATTGAACACGCTATGTAGCCCCACCCCCCCCCCCTATCTACTCACCAGGTGTGTATGTTCCGTATACTCATTTCTATGTGCGGCGCATTTAATCTTCAGCAATACTTAGTTATGATATTTTCTTTATGTACTACAATAATACATAGGCGCTATATTTAACATTTCCCATTCATTTATCCCAAACATTTCTTTAATAATTCAATTGCAAGACCGGTACTTAAATTTATATAAGAAAAAACGCATAGAACAGTCATTTTTTTTTTGTCAAGTTGACCCCATCAATTGGCCGCAATCAAACAATTCTTTGAATTGTATTTTTTGTTAACGTCTATTTCCCATAATATATATCTATTTTGTATTAAGTGCTTAAAAATGATTTGTTAATATCTCAAATAATAATAATAGCTCGTTCTTATATAGCACTTTTCAGGACCGGAGGCCCTCTAAAGGCGCTTTACAGATAACTTTATTATGTGGTTATATATTTTACTGTAATATTTAATTATTTATATTACGTTATTGCAGCAGAAATAAAATTCAGACAAACAAACAAAACCTTGAAGTAGGCAAAGACATAAATGAAGCAATGAAGCCTGGTCCAAACTAAAGCGTTGCGTCATAATGAAGTAGTAAGTTGGTATTCAAATTCCTTTCGTCTTATTGTCAATTCAATTGTTTAAATATTTCTACTACAATAGCAGCCAGCACCGTTCGTGTTTTTCTCACCTTTTTACAGATTCCGAACACGTTATAGGCCAACAGTTTGTTAACGCGTGATCATAATAGAGCGTCTTACCTCTTTGTAGGCCTATATCATGCGTTTAGAAAGTCATATCCGGTCACACCTAATGTGTTGAATAATAATACCAAAGAGTCCTTAGAGCCCCACTGGAGTACTTATAGCTACTTGCGCCCTCTATATAGCAAACAATGCCTAATCGGTGCCTGTTGGTCCCCCGTGATCCTCTTTTTCTTAATTGACGGCTGATTTGATGAGATAACCATCTGTCAGTGACCTTGCAGGGAGGTATACCCCCCCCCCTGACCAAACTAGTGTAGACGGGCTTTAAGGACTACCCCCATGGTTTTACCTCTAATCTACTCTCTAAGTTATCTTCTCGCCATTCAGACCATCACACCCAGCTGCAAAGTATGTTGCTTATACAATATCTTCTATCAATGGTGTATAGTATAGTATAGTATAGTATTTATTTTCCGTTTTAAAAACAAACATATAATACAAGTATATACATAGTGTAAATAAAACGGCTGGATAGCCCATATTCAGCTGTGCCAGGCACGTCACTGCTGGTCTTCCATGGGGTCCAGGAATCATATACATAAATATAAAATATGACGTACAATTATTTACTAAATTAAAGGGTATAAGAAAAGGTACAATACACAGTTATAAATGCTTAAACTCTACAAAATGGTAGTTGTGTGAAAGGACTACGAATGTCCACCCCCCCCCCCCTCCCGAGTCTGGAATAGGTCAATTTATTATCAAGGTCTGGGTGATTGGGCATGTGAGTAGAACAACGTTAATTCGCGCTTAAAACTATTCAGAGTTGAGGCATTTCTTACAATTAAAGGGAGATTATCATAAGCAATAGCTCCTCTATACTTAAAAGTTCTTTTCAAAAATCCATTATTAGGCTTAGGCGTATATAGTCTTCCGCCAAAGCGTAAGTGGTATTCGTGCACAGAGATACTAAAAAGGTCTGAAATGTAAACAGGGGTCATCTCATTAAGTGATTTAAACATATAAGTTAGCAAATGCTGATTTCTCCTGTCGTGTAACGATTCCCAGTTAAGGGCATTGTGAATTTCTAAATTGGGTATATGAGAGTCACGATTGATATGTAAAATCAAACGCCCAGCACGATTTTGGAGCTTTTGTAATCATTCAGTTAAATATTTGCAGGCCGAACCATATACAACATCTCCATAGTCGAAGTGGGGAAGAACAACTGCATTATATATTAGTTTTAATATAGATTCATTCAAGGTGCTTCTTAATCTACCAAGAAAGCTTACCATTTGTCCTATTTTTTTTACCATCTTATCAGTGTGAATATTCCATTTAATTTGCTCATCACAAATGACACCTAAGTACTTGACATTTTCCACTTGTTTAATTTTGGTCTGACAGAGGGTGACATTTAAGTTCTTTTCTTTTGACAACATGTATCGACTACCAATAAGCATACAAACTGTTTTTTCAAAATTTACACTAAGTCTATTTTCCTTCATCCACTGGTGTAAAATAAGTAGGTTACTGTTCAGAGTTGACTCAATTTGCGTACTGAGGTATCGGAGGAATATATCACTGTGTCGTCTGCATATAACTTTAGACTGCTTGATTTAATGTATTTGGCAAGATCATTAACGTATATTATGAATAAGAGGGGCCCTAAAAGCGACCCTTGCGGGACCCCGCATGATATAAATTTGGAAGATGAAAGAGAATGATTTACAAGGGTTTTACATGTTCTTCCATTCAAATAGCTATAAAACCAGTCACTCGACATATTTTTTATACCAATGTTATGCATTTTCTTCATAAGAATTTGATGGTCGACAGTGTCGAAAGCTTTTCGCAGGTCGATAAATATAGTACCTGTGTATTTAGACTCGTCCATGGCCTGAAGCCAATCATCTGTGACCTTTATTAGGGTAGATGTTGTCGAATGCTTAGGTCTGAATCCAGACTGTTCTCTACATAAAATATCATTTTTATGCAAGTAATCTAATAAACTGGTGTTGTACAATTCGTTCCAAAAAAAAAATTTCTTTTTCTGGGATCAGTATTTACATTTGAAAATTTATCAGTAAAATATTTGCGTTTCGCCTTTCGAATTTCAAATGTAACTATATTACGAAGATTTCTGTACTGTGACATCATATCACCATTCTTAGTCCTGAAAGCTTTATGCTTCATTTTGTCTCGATCTTTCATCAGCTTAAATATGTTCGAATTCATCAAGGGAGTATTACGTTGTTTTGACCTTTTCGTTCGAATAGGCATATGTTTATCAATTACATCGATTAAAAGTTTTTCCCATTTTCTAACAGCATCATCAATATTTTCGATGTCTTTAATTATTTCCCAAGGTTGATTTCTAAGGTCTGATTTGAATTTGTCGGTATCAAAGTTTTTGCAATTTCTAAATTGAATTGTACGTGAAAATGAAGTCGATTCGGATTTCAGAACCAGAAAGCTGATGGAATGATCGCTTAATCCATTATGAATGACACCGTGTGATTTAACTCTATGTGAATAATTGCTTAACATGTGGTCTACTAGAGTTGCGGACTGGTTAGTTACTCTTGTTGGTTCAGTCGTATTTATCTGCTCAAAAGCAAAGATATCGTTAATATCACCGTACATTCTGGTATGCGAGGAAGGTACCTGCAATAATATATCACAATTTACATCACCAACCAATATGCTATCTTTCTTCAAACTATCAATATATTGCAGAAATATTTCATACGCCTTCAGTACATCAATTGTAGAACTTGGTGGCCTATACCATGTAGTAACTAAGAGCGGTTTACAAATCTTTGAATGAACAACAACAGCGACGATTTCTAAATCGTTGAGAGAGTCATGATGTAAGATCTCCACTTTTAAGGATTTATGAACATAGAGGGCGACACCTCCACCTTGACGATTCCGGTCTTTTCGAATCGTGACATAATTTTCAATTGCTATCTCGTGGTCACTTACAGAGTTGTCAATCTTGGTCTCATTCATAGCAAATATATCAATACTATTATAAAATAACAGTGACTTTAATTCATCTAAATGCCTAATGAAACTGTTTACATTCAGCTGGGTTATCTTTAAACCCCTGCAATTAAGTTCTTCATATTTTAGATTACCCTGATTTATATCACTTGGTAAATTATTGAACTCTGGATTGGTCGTAGTTGTTAATGATTTCGAAGGTAGTTGTTCCACATTAGAAAAAGGCAGCTCTTGAAATAAGCATTTTGGACAATGCCAATTCTCAAAGGAGGTTGATAAGTTGTCGTAAACTTGAGGGGTTATTCCAACACAGCTAATGTGCAACCAGTTTGTACATACAATACAACGGAGACCTTTCTGATTCTTTTTTACGGTTTTCTTTTACAGCAGACACATGGGTATTTATACTTAACATTGACAAAGGACATCGTTATAAAAACAGTATGAAAACAAAAAAAACATAAACAAATCAAAAACGTCTTAATTCAAAAATTCAACAAAAAAAAAGAAGATAATTTATAAAGAAGACGAAGCTTGGGGTCGTGGGCTCGATGAGGTATAACGGTCGCCATCAACTCTTTGTAAAAATCTAGTGAAGGCTGCACAGTATACACAGTATACACAGTATACTGTCTTGTATAAAGTATAAAGTGAAACAAAATATTGAAATCATCTCCGATAATGTAATCACAATGTAGGGGTATATACCAATGTCTAAAAAAATTTGTATATTTTCGCTTTGAGATTTCCCTTTGTAGGTGCCCTTTTCCCTCCAAAAAGTGCCCTTTTTTATTGGTGCCCCCCCCCCCCCACACTTTGGAAGTCGCTCGGCCGCCCCTGTCTTTAATGTATGCCAGATGAGGGTACCTGTACATTTTTAATCCCCATTCTAAAACTATTATTAATCTTCAAACATAAGGGTACGCATCCATCTCTTATTTCCAAGCCATAGATGTGGAAGCTCGAATAATTATGAATCAAATTTCATTTAGTCTTGTTTTCTGTTGTGTTTTTATTGATTTTCTAATAATTCATTATAACTTGGCACTTGGGAGGTTCGTGCGGTTCCTAACAGTTACTGATCGATCCCTCACACTTTGAATATTGTGTTAGTTCATAGTTCATTTTATCTCTTCTTTCACAAACATTTATACATAAGATTTCGAAAAAGTAACAGGAACTGCAGATTATCAATATAACAAACATGATTGTAAGTGCAATATAAATATTCAACATTCAACTCTTGTCATTAACAAAAGAAGTTCTATAAAAAGTTACTTCTGTCAGATCGTGTTCTGTACATGAAAGAAAGAAACGACCTTATATAAAAGCTCTGACGTTTCATTAGATTATTAAAGACAGAAGACGATTCGATGTACCATTCTCAACTCTTAATCCTTAATGTTTGAATCAAGTTCCCCTTCCCCTTTTGACGTTTCACTAGATTATTAGAGAAAGAAGACGATCCTATGTACCATTCTCGTCTCTTAATCCTTGTCTGAATTCATTTTCCTGCGCAAAGGGCGAAAGCTTTCACATTAGAGAAAGAAGACGATTTGTTGTATCGTGTCCTTCATGAATTCAGTTTCTTCATTACCGCGCAAAGCGCGGAAGCTTTGACGTTTCACTAAATTATTAGAGAAAGAAGACGATTCGTTGGACCGTTCTCGACTCTTAATCCTTGTTTGAATCAAGTTCCCCTTCTTCCGCGCGTAGCGCGGAAGCTCTGACGTTTCATCAGATTATTAAAGAAAGAAGACGATTCGATGTACAATTCTCGACTCTTAATCCTTAATGTTTGAATCAAATCCCCCCCCCCTTCCCCGCGCATAGCGCGGAAGCTCTGATGTTTCATTAGATGATTAAAGAAAGAAGACGATCCTACCATTCTCGACTCTTAATCCTTGTCTGAATTCATTTTCGCCCATTCCTGCGCGAAGCGCGGAAGCTTTCACATTAGTGAAAGAAGACGATTTGTTGTATCGTGTCCTTTGTTGTATCGTGTCCTTCATGAAGCGCGGAAGCTTTAACGTTTCAATAAATTATTACTCTTAATCCTTGTCTGTATTCATTTTCGCCCATTCCGCGCTTAGCGCGGAAGCTTTCACGTTTCATTAAATTATTCGTAAAAGAAGACGCTTCGTTCTATCGTGTACTTTGACGTTTCATTTGATTATTACGCTTAATCCACGTCTGAATTCAGTTGCCCTCAACAGCTTTGCCCTTTTCACTGAATTATTAGAGAAAGAAGACGATTCGTTGTACTGTTCTCTATATTAATCCTTGTCTGAATTCAGTTTCCCCACTGAAAATAATTCGTGTTACAAATAAGTTGTGACATAATAATCTTTCTCCAAAAATGAAAAATCTCATAGGAAATATCAGGAAATAAAATGAGTGAAAAAAACAAAAATAAAGATACAATGACGTGAATTTTAAACAGGGTGAACTATTTTATAAGGCATACTAATGTCCGAAAATCTTTCTCCTTGTCTCCGATCTCATTACGAAATCGTCACAGAGTTCATCTATGTTTACACTGTCCAGGATTGTCTGATGTGCATTGCAGATTGCTATTTTTGCGCTTCGCGCTTAACATTTAGCTTGTTGCTTTTTGACGCTGCTTCTTTGCATTTGGCGCACGGCATTTCTATGATGCTGTTGATTGAACAAATTGAATAAATTCATCAATTCCTGATGAAGCCGTATGAGCGAGAATTCAATTTATTCTTGTCTCATATACGGTTGTCTTATTTACTTCGTATATATGTATGTATTATGAAAATGAGATAGCAAAATGTGTATATTGATGGTCATCTTGCTAGTAATAACCATTAACTACTCTCATCGGGCTCTCATCCTTAATTTTTCTCTTCATTTTTTTTTTTTTTTTTTTTTGATGGTGAATTATTGGAGGGGGGGGGGATGATTGTACAGGCCATCCCCCCCCCCCACCTGAAATATGGGGGGGGGGATATATCCCCCTATCCCCCGGGATCGACACCCATGTCTGCACTAGTTTGGCCAGGAGGGGTTAGACCTCCCTGCGTGGTCACTGGCAGCTCTCAGCTCTCAATTAACATTATAAAAAAGGGAACCATGAGGGATCATGACGGGTAGCGTCTTATTCAGCTCAATCTGGGCTCGCTGTGGAACGAAAAAATAAGACGCAAACGGGTACCGCTTATTGTTGGCCTTATAGAGGGCGCAAGTAGCTACAATCGACCAGAGCCATCTATATACATATAGATATATATATATACTATATAACTCTGTGTATAAGATGGCTCTGCAATCGACTCGATATAATCACTACGGCGTACCCAAAGTTTACACATTCATTTCATCTGTGGTACGTTCAAGCTAGACGTTTCCCCTCCTCTCTATCAATAGGGTATATGGTTGAGGAAACACATAGTTCATGAGATGGGTAGTCCTGGACAGCTTCGCGAGTATGGGAGAGATATGTTGGAGTTTATTGAGCAACTCTGGGGTGATTTGGAACAATATCCACCAGTCCCTAAAGTGGAGCCAGGGTTCCTTCTCGAAAGGCTACCCAAGGAAGCCCCGAAGGAACCACAACCCTGGGGTGATATCATGGTGGACGTCAAAGAGTTATTTATACCTGGGGTAAGAGTTGAGTTATTTTGAAATTAAGCTCCCGTTTTGTTTTTGGTATGGCTTTATCGACATTGTGAGATAATCATAATAATAATGATTGAATTGAATTGATTTATTTGATTCCAATCACAATAAAAAGTGACATTATACACTGTTGTAAAACATAGGCAAAAAATACATTGAAATATATATATATATAATCCATTGGAAAAAGAAAAAAGAAAAAGAAAAAGAAGACATGGTTAAATCTACGAAAAATATAGGATGGGAAAAGGTGCATCCGTAAAAGCCACAGGGGCTTGATGAATGGGCGCACACTGAGCCCGTCACAATATAATGACAATAAAAAGCTCAGTCAGCTGGAAATCAAGAAGAGTAAAGAAGGGATAAACTACGCTAACAATATATCATTTAAGAAGAACTCTATACAATGACAAGAAGTGCTGCTAAGTTTACGTTTAATTGGTTTGGTGAATTAAATCGATTGTAATGAATGTGGTGGTGTGTTCCAAACTTCAGGGCCATTATGGCGTAGAGAAATTGCAACAGTGCTGGAAGATACTTTCCATGCACTGGTGAAACTTAGATACATTCCTTGTATTGTATTGTAGCATTCGTACAGAACATTTCTTTCAAAACATCAGGTAATGTGTTAGTAGTAAATCGGTGCATTATACCAAAGAAGTTTGTAAATTATGTATATTGTAACGAAATTTATTACAAGTGTTTAATACAGACTGCTCTCGTTCTCGAACTCTTAATTGTCTCTTCTTATTAGTTCTCGCTCAATATCTCTCACACTCATGCGTGTATACAAAACAAATGCGACAGAAGAAATCGAGTAGGTCGATCGTGAATTTCAGTTCTATTCGTCGTTTATTACTTTCAATAATGACAACTCGGTAGAAATTGTGCTCTCTAAACTGGCACTAAATACAGTCAGGTACAGTGAATTATCAGAACGCCTGCATATTTGGAAAGCGGCAGAAAGGAGTCTGAGCCCCCCCCCCCCCCCCCCACTCAGTGTTATTTAAGGTACGCATATGCTTGTTCCCTCTTTTTGAAAGCACCCCTATCTGAGGACTGCCAACATTTCCGAACCCCCCTTTTGCGGGCTTTTCACGCGCTTCTCCTGCCTTGGAGACCCCCCTAAATCTTGAAAAATGCTCAATGTACCCCCCCCCCTAAATTCGGAATAATTTCTCAGGAGTCCGAAGAGATTAAAGAAAAAAAAGAAAAAACACCCCCTTTTTAAAGAAATCTCTGGGTGAAAAGTTAATACACCCCTCTCGGGCCGCACTTTGTCGCACGAAAAGTACCCCTTTACCGGACATTTTGGTAACACGCCGGCGCGTACGCAGGGGGGGGGGGGTTAACCCTCCCCCCTTGAGTTTTTTTTTATGTGTATGTTTTGTGTACGTTTTTTGCCAACCCCCCCCCCCCCCCTTTTGAATTTTTTTTTGATTTTTTTTTTATTTTTTTTATACAAAAAGAAGCCAATGGCTGACCTAAAAAAGGTGACCTTACTCCCCCCCCCCCCTCAACGGAACAAAATGTCAAATTTTCAAATTTCGAGACCGAAAAAAGTGTCCTCTCCCCCCCCCCCCCCCCCTTGAAAAATCCTGCGTACGCCACTGGTAACACGCATGGGGTCCGTCCGTTCTCGGTCCGAGGAGAAGTCTCAAGAAGAAGTCTCTCTATTTTAGATTTCCCTGGCTTTATATAGGGAGCTATCAGGGGCGGATCCACGTAGCGATTTTTCCGGCCCGCCCCGCCCCCCCCCAACCCCCCAAAACGATAAAAAAATAGGATAATAACGTAAAGTTAACCTTTATAAAACAAAAAAAAAGCGCCCCCCCCCCCGCTTATTCGCCGGCCGGCTGAGACGGCACTAAATTTTGTATTAAGATTTGGCTATTCCCCCCCCCCCCCCTTGACGCCGGCTGGATCCTCTGCAGAAAAGAATTTAAAAAAAAAAAATCTCACGAATTAGGTCCCAAAAAAAAATAGTGGTCTCACCCCCCCCCCCCCCCCTCCGGCTGACTGAGTCGGCGCAAAATATTTCCTGAAAAATTGGACCCCCAAAAAGTGCCTCCTACCCCCTACCCCCCCCCCCCCCGCTTATTCATCGACGGCTGAGTCGCAACTAATATTTTCTCACGGATTGGGCCCCCCCCCCCCCCCCCCCCCCTCTTCCCGCCGGCTGGATCCGCCACTGGGAGCTATATTTGTACTATTTTCTAGCAGGCCAACTAAGGACTAAGGACACTAAGGACACAACCCGACCTCGAGCTAAAGGGTAGAGTCTGTCCTCAAACTGAGGACAAAGTCCAACCTCCGCTCGGGCTCAGTCTATAGGGTCGCATAAGATATAAGTATTTGTCCTTTATGTAAGACGAGGGCAGATTCTCTAGACGAGCGTGGCCCTGGGCATACGCAATAGAAATTCCAGGATTGCTCGAGGACGAAAAAGAACAACGGAGGACGCGCAGGCACTGCCGAAAAACATGTCGTAAATCTACTCAAGGACTAAAGAGTTTGACTTGCACAACAAACAACAATATATACCGAAATAATAATGAACTATGCACATGATACAGAATTCGTTACAATATCGTAAACATTGAGGCCCGAATTCACCAAGGAGGTTGGTCGACAAAACCTAGGCTTAATATTTTATGTGCGTCAAAAATAATTTATGACGCGTTTCGATGCGTTTCAGACTAAGGTTCAAACAAACCTTGGTCTGAAACGCGCCAAAACGCGTCGTATGATGTCGACAAACCTCCTTTGTGAATTCAGGCCATATTGTTTGATATCTGTTGTGACGGGGCACGGTAATCAGAATCAGAATTGCATCAGGGCCGGTAAATTTGTGCTCTGAAGGCCGGTTAATTCCCCAAGGTAAAATCTAAAACTGAGAGTCATGAAAAGTAGAGTTTCCACAAAGCACAATCATTGCAATGCCCAAGTGACGATTCGGGGTGGGGTAGGGGGCATAGTGGCACGTCCCCCGGGGGCATGCACGAAACAAGTAAAAGGGAGAAAGAGAAAGGGACGAAAAAGAAGGATTAAGATACTTACAAAGAATGTAATTATGCTGTCCAAATCAGGATAAAGTGCATAAGAAATAGCGTTTTAACAAAAGATTGAAATGCTAGTTTCCCCTAAAGCTTATTATATTTCTTCAAGATCTCTTAATAATCCATTCCGAAAAGCATATTTAAAGGATACAAATTGAGAACAAAAATCCTGACTATTGTTAGTGTTTTGCCCTCCAGCATACATAAATGAAGATAACTTTCATAGGGATCATTGATAGCTTTATCCTCCAAATTTAGGATAACAAAAGAAGACTCCCCCCCCCCCCCCAAAAAAAAAAAAAAAAAAAAAAAAATTCTTGAATACATATTTTTCTACAGATGTCTTTTCTTTTGCGCTCAGACAAATGATTTTGTGTGTGTACAGAATAAGGTTCTAAAATAGACTAATTCACAAGAAACCCTAACAATAGGGTGTTGTGCTCCATCGTGTCTCGTGAAGTTGCTAAACGACGACATGGAATATAAATCGCTTTTTGAGGGATGAGTGACAATGTATACATGATGTAACATTACCAGGAACATTCAAAGTGCACTGGTATGCATTTAAAAATCGTTTGTTTTACTTTTTTTTTAAATATGAAAACTTTGTCTCTTTACAGGTGACACAGTGGCATAATCCAAACTTTCACGCCTACGTTGAGGCAGGGACTTCTGCAGCTTCAGTGGCCGGTGATTTACTTGCTAATGCACTAGCTTTTCCAACATTTAGCTGGGTGAGTCAGAGTAATCCATAACCCTGCTAAGTAAACACGCCCTCCCTCAATATCTTACAGACCATGACCCCAGTTCACAAAACTTGTCATCAGTGACAAATTACCGTTTTTGTTATAAGCAATTGAAATCCTTGCTTCTGATTGGTTATCAGCAGATTTTTCACTGATTTTTGTCATTGAAAAAAGTCTTTGTGAAACGGGTCCCAGGGCATCGTCTTATAAACAGGGGCGTCGCTAGACCTTTTTCAGTGGGGGGTGTAGAGGCCAACGATTACCGACAAAAATAGCCACCAATTACCGACAAAAATTAAATGTCCCAATATCTACAAATTCAGGCGCGGATCCAGGGGGGGGGGGGCCGAGCGGGCCTTGGCCCCCCCCCCCCCGCAAAAAAAAAAAAAAAAATAGAGAGAAGAAAGGAAAAGAAGGGAAAGGGAAAGAGGAGAGAAAGGGAAAGAAAGAAGAAGAAGAAGAAGAAGAATAAGAAAAGAAAAGGGGGAAGAAGGAAATCGGGGGGGGGGACCGAAAGGGCCTTGCCTCCCAGGCTGTTAACCCCCCCCCCCCCCCAATCAAAAAAATAAGAGAGAAGGAAGGAAAGGGAAAGAAAAAAGGAAAAGAGGAGATACTGGCGTACTAATGGGGGGAGGGGGGGGCTTAGGGGGAATCAAATTCAAACGTGGTTTATTTCTAATTCCACAACGGTGGATTACAATTAATGCTGAAATGACATAATTTCCGAGATTTGTCCTCATTTTTTAGTAAATTATACGTTTGTATATGTGTTTGTTGGAAAATGACAAATTCCTAAATTTACAGCCAGGCACGAAATATGATTCTTGAGATTCCTACATGTCAGGGCCCGAGGTACGGCAGGGATCGGGAGCCTCGAGCTCCCTCCCCCCCCCCCCCACTTTATTTGAAAAAGTATATTAAAGAGAAAAAAAATAGAATGAGAGCAAGAAAGAAAGAATAGTTAAATGCCAGTGCAGTGTTAAAAAATGAGGCATCAAAATATGCTCATCTGACCGTGATTAAATGCCTAAAACCCCTAAGCTTCCGGGGGCTCTGCCCCCTGGATTCCACCTAGGGCGCTACGGCTGGCCCTTAGATGCTCATCTGACGGTAATTTATTGCCTAATACCCCTCTTTTTGGGGGGGATCCGCCCCCTGGACCCCACGCCAAATAGTGAACTACCAGTGTCACAAAATAATGGGTATTAAAAAAAAATGATCATCTGACCTTAATTAAATGCCTAAAACCCTGAGCTTCCGGGGCCGGACAAGTTATCAAAATGTGTTTATCTGACCGCAGGCGCGTAGCCAGGGGGGGGGGGGGGGCGGTCCCCCCAAAACGGAAGAAGACGTAGGAAGTAAAAGGAGCAGACAAAGAACATCTTTGAAATTCGGACAAGGATTAAGAGTATAGAGAACGGTACAACGCATCGTCTTCTTTCTCTAATAATTTAATGAAACGTCAAAGCTTCGCGCAGGAGGGGAGGGGGGGGGATGGGGGACTGAATTCAGACAAGGGTTAAGAATTGAGGACGGTACAGTGAATCGTCTTCTTTCTCTCATAATCTTATAATACGTCAAAGCTTCCGCGCGGGGGGGAACCTGAATTCAGACGAGGATTAAGAGTCGAGAACTGTACAGCCAATCGTCTTCTTTCTCTCATAATGTTATGAAACTTAAAAGCTTCCGCGCTTCGCGCGGGAGGGGGGGGAAACTGAATTAAGACGAGGATTAAGAGTCGAGAACGGTACAACGAGTCGTCTTCTTTCTCTAATGATTTAATGAAACGTAAAAGCTTCCGCGCTTCGCCTGGGATGGGGGAACCCGAATTCAGACGAGGATTAAGAGTCGAGGACTCTCCAACGAATTGTCTTCTTTCTCTAACAATTTAATAAAACGTAAAATTTTCCGCGCTTCGCGCGGGAGGGGAAAAACTAAATTTAGACGAGGATTAAGAGTCCGAACGGTACAACAAATCGTCTTCTTTCTTTAATAGTTTAATGAAACGTCAAAGCTTCCGCGCTTCGCGCAGGAGGGTAGGGGGAACCTGAATTCAGACAAGGATTAAGAGTTGAGAACTCTACAATGAATCGTCTTCTTTCTCTAATATTTTAATAAAACGTAAAATTTTCCGCGCTTCGCGCGGCAGGGGAAAAACTAAATTCAGACGAGGATTAAGAGTCGAGAACGGTACAACAAATCGTCTTCTTTCTTTAATAGTTTAATGAAACGTCAAAGCTTCCGCGCTTCGCGCAGGAGGGTGGGGGGAACCTGAATTCAGACAAGGATTAAGAGTCGAGAACGGTACAACAAATCGTCTTCTTTCTATAATAGTTTAATGAAACGTCAAAGCTTCCGCGCTTCGCGCAGGAGGGGGGCGGGCTGAATTTAGACAAGGATTAAGAGTCGAGAACTCTACAATGAATCGTCTTCTTTCTCTAATAATTTAATAAAACGTAAAATTTTCCGCGCTTCGCGCGGAAGGGGCAAAACTAAATTCAGACGAAGATTTTGAGTCGAGAACGGTACAACGAATCGTCTTCTTTCTTTAATAATTTAATGAAACGTCAAAGATTCCGCGTTTCGTGGAGGAGGGTGGGGAAAACTCGTCCCTCCCTGCACCGAACCCCCCCCCCCCGCATTACATCACCGTTGGTCACCATTACGTACCAATATTTGGCTAGCATAATTTAAAACTTGGGCCCCCCCCCTAAGAAATCCTGGATCCGCGCCTGTACAAATTTAACCTATAAACCCGGGGCCGAAGGCTAAATTGTTTTTCCTATGGACTATCTATAGTACTTGCGTATGAGCAAATAGTAATTTTCCTCGACGACATAAATATACGAATTATTTCGTCAACTTAGTCAGCATCATATATTTTAATGCAGGTGCGGAGCTACGATCTTATTTTAGGGAGGGGCGGTAGTGAGCAAGTGAATCTTTTTATTGTACCGTTCTCGACTGTTAATCCTTGTCTGAATGAAGTTTTCCCCCTCCCGCGCGAAGCGCAAAAGCTTTGACGTTTCATTAAATTATTATTAAAAAAAAGACGATTTGCTTTCCGTTCTCGACTGTTAATCCTTGTCTGAATTCAGTTTCTCCCCCTCCCGCGTAAATTTAGCGCGGAAGCTTTGACGTTTCATTAATTTATGAGAAAAGGCAGACGATTCGGTGTACTGTTCTCGACTTTTAATCCTTATCTAAATTCAGTTCTCCCTCTCCTGCGCGAAACGCCGAAGTTTTGGCTTTTCATTAAATTATTAGAGAAAGTAGAAGATTAGTTGAACCGTGCTCGACTCTTAATCCTTATCTGAATTCAGTTCTCCCTCTCCCGTTGAAGCGCTGAAGTTTGACGTTTCATTAAATTATTAGAGAAAGCAGATGATTCGTTTACTGTTTTCGACTCTCAATCCTTGTTTGAATTCAGTTCCCCCCCCCCCCCTGCCCGCGCAAAGCGCTGAAAGCTAATTAGACGTTTCCTTAAATTATTAGAGAAAGCAGACGATTCGTTGTACCGTTCGCGACTCTTAACCCTAATTTGTCTGAATTCAGTTTTCCCCTCCCGCGCAGAGCGCGGAATTTTTGGCGTTTCATCAAAATAAAGTGGAAAAAAAGAAGACGATTCGTCGTACCGTTGTTGACTCTTATTCATTGTTTGAATTTAATTTCCCCGAAAATTTTAAACCTCTGATTTCTTTAGCTGATATTATAGGAAAGTGAAACTTCGAGAAAATACAAGTATTGTAGTTGTAGTCATTCTCGAAGTCGTCACAGCGGATAAAAAGTCACAGTTCGTAGGGAAAAAACTTGTCGGCCGACCGACAATACATCTCACCGACTTCAAACTCCTGCATTGATAGTACACGAGGATCGAGCAAGAATACCGACACAGCTGATCTGATACAGCAACATATTTACGTGTATATGCGTGTCTTTCTTGCTCCATCGACGAGACGACTCCACCCAACAACCCCCTCTTTCTTTTAACCCTACTACTCCTCTCTCAGGCTCTTACCTCCCCTCTCTCTCCTCTCTTTCACTCTCGTTTCTTTTGTTTCCCTTTTCTCTTTTTTCTTCTTTTTTTCCTTTTTTTTTCTTTTCCTTTCTTTCCTCTCCTCCCTCTTTTTCTTTTTTTCTCTTTCTTTCTTTTCCTTTCTTTTCCTTTCTTTTCCTTTCTTTTCCTTTCTTTTTCCTTTTTTTTCCTTTCTTTTCCTTTCTTTCTTTTCTTCTCCTTTTCTTTTTTTTCTTTTCTTTCCCTTTCTTTTTTCCCCTCCACCTTTTCTCTGTTTTCCCGACGGCAGCGCAATTTTACCGACAATATCCTGACAGGTGGGGGTGTCGCACCCCACACCCCCTCCCCTTTAGAGACGCCCCTCCTTATAAACAGTTGATATCAATCGCAACTTATATTTGCAATTGGTATCAATCGCAACTATGAACATAAGAGATAGGATACTGCAAACTTGCGATTGATTTGAGGACTTGCGATTAATTTGGATCAAGCGCAACTCTCTATAAGAAGAATGGGCCCTATTCAAACCATCATACCCTACCGGTTAATTAACTCAAATAAAGAAGAAAAAAAAGCAATGATGATAACTGAATTTTACACGATATGTGGAAACATTCTCTTTGTTTGATTAATACTACAAATATTTTTGTTCTCTCATTGAAAGTCTGATATGTTAATATGACTGTATCTATATATCATTTCCTGATGAAGCCCTGCATGTGGACGAACATTCAAAGTTCAAACGTTTCACGGATCATTTATTTATTTTGGACTTGTTTTATATAATCTGATTGTATAGCGTGCTCTATTTGCTGAGGAGATATATATTTATAATTATATAATATCTTTCATCTACTCTCATACTGTTATGAGCGTGGACAAATGGCATAAATTACATCATTTCACTTTTTACCCCCAATTACTCGACCATCCGCTATTTATTAAAAAAAAAGTTACATGTTTAGTATATGATCCTTTTTTTAAGCAATCTGGACCAGCCTCCACGGAACTAGAGATGAGGATGATGGATTGGTTTGGAAGGATGCTGAATCTACCAGAAGAATTCCTCTTTAGCTCAGACAAGAACACCGGTGGGGGTGTCATCCAGGTGGGTATTATGCCATGTAAAAAATATACATGTTTAGCGTCCCCGCCCGCTTCTTTTTGGAGGGGCCGCCTCTTATTTATTTAATTTTTTTTTTGTTTTTGATTTTTTGATTTTTTGTTGTTTTTTTTTTGATTTTTTTTTATAAAAGAAAAAAAACATGAAAAACACTGCTAAAATGGATCTATTTCTGATTTGAAAAAAATTTCGGCGGCCATCTTGAAAATTAGCCCGACTATGAGGGAAAATGTACCGAGCGGCCATATTGAGCGGCCATTCCGAAAGAAAGAAAAAAAAATAAGGGCCTCCTCCTTCCTATTTTTCGAAAAAACAGGACGCTAAACATTTTTTTCTTTTATTTGGCCTTATAGTGACAAATTTAGCTGTTGTCCGCACAGGATATTCCACCAGGGCCAGCAAAATGGTCCGCGGTTAATATGCGCTTACACTAACCGTATTCTTAACTTAAACACTGGTTCCATAGAACATATTAACCGAAGCACAACTGTATATACCTTATTAAAAAAAACTCACTTGAAACCCTACCTTTGGCATAAAATGCCCCAAACATGTTATCGCCCCCTCCCCCTCTCCCCTTTCCCCCTCTCTATCTTTCTCTCTCTCTCTCCCTCCCCCTCTCTCTCTCCTTTTTTTACTCACTCTGATCTCTCAACCCCAATCTCTGAATCATCACTCTCTCTCCCTCCCTCCTTACATACATGTACATAAACACACACACACACACACACACACCCACACGCGTGCTCTCTTTCTCCCCCCCCCCCCTCTCTCTCTCTTTTATTATTAGGGGGGGGGGGCTTTCCCAACCCCTCTCCCCGTCCTCTCTATTCCTATTTTCCTGTCAACATTCCGTTACAAAGGTAAGCCCTACTAGAATAAAAATAATATAGAGGTATTGTGATGCGATGGATATGTCAACAGGCCGTGAACTACAAGTTACGGGGTTCGAATCCCTGGAATTGGTTACTTGAAAAGCTAAAGCGCGGTAGTATCAGCCAAATGTTGTAACGCCGGATTAACAAAATAATGTTGAGCGCCAGGAATGTTAGCATACTCAGTGTGATACCATCATCATCATCACCACCATCATCACCATCATCATCATCATCATCATCACCATCATCATCATCATCATCACCATCATCATCATCATCATCATCACCATCATCATCACCATCACCATTATCATCATCATCATCACCATCATCATCATCATCATCACCATCATCATCATCATCACCATCATCATCATCATCACCATCATCATCATCATCATCACCATCATCATCATCATCACCATCATCATCATCATCATCACCATCATCATCATCATCATCACCATCATCATCACCATCATTATCATCATCATCATCATCATCATCTTCATTTGTTTTACTACTTTTATTATAATCATTAAAGTGGTATCTCACTGAGCGGCGAATGTTTACGCACGTTGCGAAGTTGGATTCGCCAACTTTTCTGACGAACGTTGGCGAAAATTAGGGTGTTTAATTAGCATCAATTAGCAACATTAAATGTTGAGCGAATGTTTGCGAAAGGCAGTTGGTGACTATTAGCGACTATTTGCCAAGCCTTTGCCACTTTTTGTGAATGTTTGGGACCTTTTGCTAACTCCCGGTACTCAATGGGTCGATTTTACATATAAACCATATAGTCACGTGGTCGCTAGCATTGGCGAATCAAAAAGAACTTCAGCTACGCCGTCTTACAATCGTTTCACGTTTGCAAAGGCTTACGACTGTTTTGCAAACGCTTACGACTCTTTTGCAACTGTTTGCAGAAAACTAAATTCGCAAAGAAATACTGTTTGCAACGATGAAAACAGTTTGCGAACTTTCTTGCAACCTTTCCGAACCTTTTTGCAACCTTTGACGAACCCTGGCGAAACCCATAATTCGCTAAACGTTCGCAAGCATTCGCCGGTCAGTGGGAAAGGGCCTTTACATCACATAAACGTGGAATCTGAAAGACTTGAAATTAAAAGCAATGCTCTGTTGATGTATCCACCACAGGAGAGTAATACGGGTGCATTAACACTGATGGTTACAACAGCCAAGATGAGATTGCTCCGTCAGCTCCGTGAGAACAATCAGGACATCAAACCCCATGACGTCATTAGCAAGCTCGTTATATTTACAAGCGATCAGGTGAATATTACTCCTATTAAATATACACTGCTCTGAAGGACATACTTACCTGGAGGTGCGTGTGAATAACCCTCATTTTATTTCGGATATTGTCTTTTAAGTAAAATATTGCTGGTATGGGATCTTTAATGTGTTTTTTTTAGTTCCAATAATAAAAGTTAAATTCTCCATTGTTATATAGGTGATCTTAATTTTGTTATGGAAATTAGCCTGAGCTAAATTTGTTCTCTACAACACTACGCTGTATTATATTACATCATAATATATTACATTATCTTATTATATATTATATTATATTATAATATATCAAATTATATTATAATATATCAAATTATATTATATCACATCATATCATATTATATTATATATATTATATTTTAATATATTACGTTATATTTTTGTTTGTGCTGTTTCGTCGCTTGACTTTATCATTATTTGACACCGTTTAAGTTAGAAAGTACCTTTTTTTGAAATAATACAAATAGAAATAAAGGTTTTTGAATTTCCTGATAGGCTCACGTATCGGTCCAGCGTGTGGGCATCGTCACCGGGATTCGGGTACGGAGCTTGGAGACAGATGAGAAGGGGTCGCTGCGAGGTGAAACATTAGAGAAGGCCATAAAACAGGCGGGAAATGAAGGTCTCATTCCTCTGCTGGTATGTTTCCATTAATACAGCTTAGACGTTTAAGGTCAAGTTTATGCTCAAATTCATTTCTTCTTTCTCAGATTACATATATAATATATTATAATAAAGTGGTCTTCATTTTTATGACTTGGGATTGTTGTTATCATATTTCAGGATGTCCTTTGGCGACGCATCAATAAATTAAAAACCCGATTTAAATCGGTTTCATGATTATTTTTTTTTTTGTTTTTCCCGATTTTTTCCCGATTTTTTCTTCTTCCTCCCGATTAAAAAAAAAATTTAAAAAAAGTTTTTGTTTTTCTTTTTTGTCTTCTTCCCTCTTTTATCCTGATTTTACAGATTTTCCTGTTTTTTTCTCTAATTTTCCCTATTTTGCCCTTTTTTCCCCTAATTTTCTTACTCGAAAGGGGGGAATGTTGTTAGATGCCATTTTTTCCCCACGAATCCTCTTTTTTTTACTCAAGGGGGGCGTGGTTGAGGGGAAAACAAAAAACCTATTTTTTTTTATACTGCTCACTATCACCCCTGTTAATGCTTCCTCTCCTTCTCTGTCCTCTTCTTTTTATTATATTATCATTATTATCCAATATCCATTATCACTACTATTATTACCTCATCACACAGGTCTTCGCAACAAGCGGTACTACTTCAACGTGTGCTTTCGACAACTTGCAAGAAATTGGAGAAATATGTAAGGATTTATAAGTGCCTTTGACTTTAGCGACCCCCCCCCCCGCGTTTTTTCCGTTTCGTTACATCTCTGTTTCTTTCCACTATAGCATGTTTAGTTAGCACATGATTACTAATAAGGTTTCTGAATTCATGTTTCATTAATTGTGTAGTTCCTTTTTTTAAAGAATGTCACAAAATGATACACTAATTGTTAAAAAAAAAAAAACACATCATGCAGTATTTAAAATTGGGAACACAGGAAAAAATTTCCAATTTATTCAATAAAAGTTTATTTATCAAGTAAATAAATGTGCCTTGGTGTATTAAACATTAGTATAGTTTATGCATATTGTAAGAAAAATCACATTTTGTGTTTTGATTAAACTTGGCGAAAATTTAAATCTACAAATCGATATGATGATCCTGCAATCGGACCTATTTAACATGACCACCATTAAAAAAATGTCGAGGGTATTAGATAAGGAAATAGTATAAGATAATCCTTTCAAAAGTTAAAAATTGTTTCATTATTCTGTTACAAATAATTGTCTCCAAAAAATAGTCAGATATGCGAATTGTATAGATTAATTGTTGCTAGGTAGGACAGGCATTACTGTTTGTATTCCGTACAATCTCTATATGGGAGCGAGTGAACTCTTTGGAGATCAAAGGTCATGAATCGACCTTTAACCTCGTACGTGTGCTTGTGTCAGAACTATCTCTCTCGATGCGCTTTGGACAAGGCTGATGAAATTGATTTTTGGAAAATCTTTACCATCGTGCTAACTATACTTTATTCCTAAAAAAAATAACTTCTTGATTTGTTTCATATCAATCAGGTCAGAGCGAGAGCATCTGGTTGCATGTGGACGCAGCTTATGCGGGTAGCTATTGCATTTGTCCAGAGTTTAGGCCTCTTATCGACGGGATGCAGGTAGATAGAACACAAACTCACTGATAATAATAATAACAAATATTTATAAAGTTGTTTTTCTTCTAATAAATATTACTTACCCAAGGCGCTATACAAAACAAAATACACAAAATACAAAAATATCTCTCCAGAATTTTAACAATATAATATCATTTGTAACTCTGAGTTAATAAAAACCGTTTTAACATGTTTCTGAAAGGTTTCTAGGCATTCGTTTCATGCAGTGGCGTATCCTGAATCCATGCACCATTGCATTGAGGGGGAACTGGCTTGATGGGGTTGGGGGCGGCACCTTGTTGTGTCACTTCATATTCAAAGGGGGGTGGGGGTAACGAATAATCGTTACCTTCTCTCTTCTCTCTCCTTCTTTCTCCCCTCTCTCTCTCTCCCACTTTCTCTCTCTCTCTCTCTCTCTCTCTCTCTCTCTCTCACCTTTTCTCTCTTCTCTCTCTCGCTCTCTCTCTCTCATTTTATCTCTCATTTTCTCTCTTCTCTCTCTCTCTCTCTCTCTCTGTGACAGTGTGAGTGTGTTCGCTATATTATCATTAGGCCTATAAAACGTCACTTTTTATTTAGGTTTTGAATAGGCAGATCATTTATCCTGTTAACGGTGAAAATATGTATTAATAATGATTTATTATAAAAATATTAAACAATCTGTTATAGGTATATACAATGGAAATCATCTCTCTATCTCTCTCTCTCTCTCTCTCTCTTTCTCTCCCTTTCTCTCCTTTCTCTCCCTCTCTTTAGTACGTTGATTCTATATGCATAGGACCACAGAAGGCCATGAGGATTCATCTGCCGTACTGTGGACTCTGGGTTCGAGACCGTTATGCAATGGAACGTACCTTCGATGATGATCCTATGTACATCAAACACAACTACCAGGACAAGTCTGTCGATTTCAAGGTAACCATCAACTTTGTCGGGAGTATTTAAATTTGAAGAAAAAAAAAGCCAGGGCAGAATGTTTAGAGTATACTTGCTTAAGAATAACTAAGACCAAACTAAATTCATTCCTAATCTCTCATCATCTCATTCTTTTTTTCTTCTTTTTCGTTCTTTGATATTTTTGTTTTGGAATTAAATAAATAAAATGCCGAGGACAAATAGAAAACGAACTTCACAAAACTTATCAATAAATGATGTGGCAATATCAACTAGAGGTTTGTTTTGAGCATTTGTCGTGCGTGTTCAAAATTAGATTGAATTAATGAACTATAAAATATCAAATAAAACATGGTATTCCCTCCTAATTAAAGAAAAAAATCCGTACGTTAAATAATAGGAATTAATTTTACTTGGCTAAACGTATGTTCTGATTTTAGTCTGTAAGTACGGATTCAAATTATTTAAAGAAACAACTTTACTGCAACAAGATGAGGCGTCGATTCTATTTCAACATTCAAGGACTTTCAGGCACAGGAAAGTATCGAGGCATAGATTGAAGCAGGGGTGCGTTGACTGACGCAGGAGTGTATTGACTGACGCAGGGGTGTATTGACTGACGCAGGGATGTGTTGACTGACGTAGGACCGCGTCAGCAACTGCCGCTGCCTCTGACGCACCATGTGTGAGCGAGGCATACAAAGAGTGAATGGAAAATGAGCGGTTGAAATATGTGTTGAATAATCGACGTATCAATAACGTATTGTCTTCACAGCTTTATTGGCGCATGCAATGACGCAAGCGAAATGACGCATCGTGTGGAACGGGAATAGAACTTATATTTATGTTTTTGTCTTGATTATGTTCTTTAGAATTGGTCCCTATACATGACTCGCCCCTGTAGACCTCTCAAGATGTGGTTTGTCCTTAGGCTGTTAGGTGTTGAGGAACTTCAAAAGCACATGAGAAAGGTACGTTCGACGTAGCACCTTGAAATATAGAGGGTTTAAAGATATACCACTTTGCAGTTTAAAGATGGGGAAATGAATCGCTAGTGAATCTTAAAAGTGATTAATTTGCTCTTTTTGTTTAAATTTACGAGAGTAGCAACTTCTTCTTCTCCTTCTCATCCTCCTTCTCCTCCTCCTCCTCCTCCTCCTCCTTCTGCTTCTTCTACTTCTTTTCTGTCTTCCTATTCTGCCCCCTCCTCTCTTACATTTACCTCCTTTTCATTTTGTCTCCCATTTTGTTCTCTTTGTATTGATCCTATTTTCTCATATTTTCAGCAAGTTTGTCTCGCCCATGAGTTCGAGGCTCTGGTCAGAGGCGATGATCGTTTCGAGATCGTGGCCGACGTCGTCCTAGGATTGGTGTGTTTCCGAATGAAGGTGAGAACAATTTCACTCAAATGAAGTCGGTTTATTCATATATTTATATATACTCATCATCATCGTCATCATCACCAGCATCATCATTCTAATTCTTATTCAAGATATATGACTATAACGTGTCTCTACTTAATTTGTTTTGGAATCAGGGGCCGGACGAACTTACCAAACGTCTTTTAGAGGCGGTCAATGACCAGGGCAAGATCTTCATCAATTTCACGGAGTACAAGGGCCGATTTATCATTCGCTTTCCCATTTGCAGCGCCGCGGCCGAATCGAGGCACATGACATTTGCTTGGAGTATCATCGCCGATGCTGCAGCGAAGGTGAGAGCGAGTGGTCGATGATGATCAAAGATGTTTTTCAGGAATACAGGGAAAATGGAAAATGTGTTCAAAGAACAAGGTTCAGCATTTGTCTATTTGAAAATGGTCGTACTCGATATTATACATAATGTGTTCAAAGAACAATATTTAATAGTTGAAAATGTTTGTACTCGATTATATATGATGTGTTCAAAGAACAATATTCAATAGTTGAAAATGGTCGTATGTATATATTCGATAACAGTTTGTTTTTAGTAAATCATCAAGGGTGTCGATTTGTATCCGTTGTTGGGGGGTATGATAGGTGCCAAAATATTTTCGGCAATGGATCAAAGCAATCAAGAGGTAGAAGCGTGTGGCAAGTTGCACCCCTCCCAAGCGCGTAGCCAGGATTTCATTTTAGGGGACGGCAGTGAGCACGCGAAGCGCGGTTCCTAGGGGGTTGCGTGCAGGGAGGGGGAGTTCCCCATCCCCCGCGAAGCGCGGAAGCTTTGACGTTTCACTAAATTATTAGACAAAGAAGACGATTCGTTGGACCGTTCTCGACTCTTAATCCTTGTTTGAATCAAGTTCCCCTTCCTCCGCGCGTAGCGCGGAAGCTCTGACGTTTCATTAGATTATTAAAGACAGAAGACGATTCGATGTACCATTTTCAACTCTTAATCCTTGCTTGAATCAAGTTCCCCTTCCTCCGCGCATAGCGTGGAAGCTCTGACGTTACATCAGATTATTAAAGAAAGAAGACGATTCGATGTACCTTTCTCGACTCTTAATCCTTAATGTTTGAATCAAGTTCCCTTTCCCCTTCTGACGTTTTATTAGATTATTAAAGAAAGAAGACGATCCTATGTACCATTCACGTCTCTTAATCCTTGTCTGAATTCATTTTCGCCCATTACTGCGCGAAGCTCGGAAGCTTTCACATTAGAGAAAGAAGACGATTTGTTGTATCGTGTCCTTCATGAATTCAGTTTCTCCCGTACCGCGCAAAGCGCGGAAGCTTTGACATTTCACGAAATTATAAGAGAAAAAAGACGATTCGTTGGACCGTTCTCGACTTTTAATCCTTGTTTGAATCAAGTTCCCCTTCCTCCGCGCGTAGCGTGGAAGCTCTGACGTTTCATCAGATTATTAAAGAAAGAAGACGATTCGATGTACCATTCTCGACTTTTAATCCTAAATGTTTGAATCAAATTCCTTCTTCCCCGCGCGTAGCGCGGAAGCTCTGATGTTTCATTAGATGATTAAAGAAAGAAGACGATCCTGTGTACCATTCTCGACTCTTAATCCTTGTCTGAATTCATTTTCGCCCATTCCTGCGCGAAGCGCGAAAGCTTTCACCTTAGTGAAAGAAGATGATTTGTTGTATCGTGTCCTTCATAAACTCAGTTTCTCCCCTACCGCGCGAAGCGCGGAAGCTTTAACGTTTCAATAAATTATTACTCTTAATCCTTGTCTGTATTCATTTTCGCCCATTCCGCGCTTAGCGCGGAAGCTTTCATGTTTCATTAAAATTATTCGTAAAAGAAGACGCTTCGTTGTATCGTGTACTTTGACGTTTCATTTGATTATTACGCTTAATCCACGTCTGAATTCAGTTGCCCTCAACAGCTTTGCCCTTTTCACTGAATTATTAGAGAAAGAAGACGATTCGTTTTACTGTTCTCTATATTAATCCTTGTCTGAATTTTGTTTCCCCACTGAAAATAATATGTGTTACAAATAAGTTGTGACATAATAATCTTTCTCCAAAAATGAAAAAAAATTTAGGAAATATCAGGAAATAAAATGAGTGAAAAAAACAAAAATAAAGATACAATGACGTGAATTTTAAAAAGGGTGAACGGAAACAACATAACAACTATACAACTATTTTATAAGTCATACTAATGTCCGAAAATCTTCCTCCTTGTCTCCGATCTCATCACGAAATCGTCACAGAGTTCATCTATGTTTACACTGTCCAGGATTGTCTGATGTGCATTGCAGATTGCTATTTTTGCGCTTCGCTTAACATTTAGCTCGTTGCTTTTTGACGTTGCGTCTTTGCATTTGGCGCACTGCATTTCTATGATGCTGTTGATTGAACAATTCCTGATGAAGCCGTATGAGCGAGAATTCAATTTATTCTTGTCTCATATACGGTTGTCTTATTCACTTCGTATATAATTATGTATGTATTGTGAAAATGAGATAGCAAAATGTGTATATTGATGGTCATCTTGCGAGTAATAACCATTAACTACTCTCATCGGGCTCTCATCCTTAATTTTTCTCTTCATTTTTAAATTGTTTTTTTATGATGAATTATTGGGGGGATGATGATTGTACAGGCCATCCCCCCACCTAAAATATTGGGGGGGGGGGATATATCCCCCATCCCCCCCCCCCCGGATCGACACCCATGTAAATCATTATTATGTATGTTTCCCGGCTCAACTGTACGCACTTGATGCATCGGCCGCAAATTTGAAATAAAGACGATAGCTACTACTTTCGAATCAGCCAAAGGCAAATTCAATAGTATTTTGTGTCACCTATTAAAATGTGTGATAATTGCAATAATGGCAATAACGTATTACGTAATTTGAACATGATTTGTATGGGATGTTCAATAGGGTATTGAATTGCCTTTTATTTATTTTATTTTAAGTAGTTGGGATCGTATTAATGAAATCACTCAAATTTGGTCAGTGACGTATGCGTCACGCATTGATGGCCAACTCTCCCGTTGGTCGTATAAAATACCATGAATTGCTCTTTTTCTCCTAAGTGCCTCATCCTAGCTTGGGACACTAGCTATTCAGAATATATCAGGAATACCATATTAGTGTATAGGTCCTCGAAAAAGAAAAGGTCATCGTCAGTAATACATTGGGAGGGGGTGGCGGCATTGAAGTCTGTTGTGTGTTTCTTAGAGTGATCATTATTTTGAAGCACATAAGTAAGCCAATTTTTCGAAATATTGGCATATTATAATGAAATTCATACCTATCCCACAAGACAAGCGAGTAATATACATCTATAAAATCATCGTACGGTGCTGGCTCATAAATCGATATATTAGACATGGTGGCCCAAATTCACAAAGGAGGTTTGTCGACAAACTTTGGTTTTCGTGCGTCACAATTATGACGCGTTTCGACGCAAAAACGCGTAAATACGCGTCATTATGACGTACGAAAAACAAAGGTTTGTCGACAAACCTCTTTTGTGAATTCGGGCCAATGGCTCTGATGTTTGGAATTATCTCTACTGACATTCGAAATTTATTGACCGTGCATTCCTTCAAAAGAGCAGTTAAGCACTTGATTATCTAAGACGTAATTACGTACTGTATCACATTCATTATTGTATTTTGTTTTTATCACTATAAGATTATATTCTTAATTTCTGATAATAAAGCTTTTTCATTTGTTACCATATTTTTGTTACATGTATGTTTTGTATTGTATTTATTAAACTTCATTGATGTAAATCAATAATCTGTTTATAAACATATAAATCAATTTACAATCCAATGTAACAAATCAATATTCTGTTTGTAAACATATATATCATAAAAATCCATTTTCAGTGCAGTGTATATCATGATTGCAAAACAGAAGGAAATTATATACAGCAGAAAAGGTCTTTTTTTCCTTCTTGTAATAAATATAATGTACCATAATACATCCGAAGATTTAGATACATAAAACTTAATATAGCAATGTTCTAAATAAATTATAACTCATGCTATACAAAATAGGTCAATAAAGTACACGGAATGCCTGAAAGAAATGACGTGATAATTATAAGATCATAATCATAAGATTGTACATTTTTACTCTGTCATTACAAAGTATGTAAAAGTTAACCCTCAGTGCAATTACATATTTACGTTAACTTTGGGAGATTAAATAGCAGGGATATTCTATTCTTTTTTCTGACATTGTATGAATTGTTTATAGTTCTTTGTATGAAATATATTTTTTTAAATATATTTCTAATATAATATATATTTCATAAATGTTATGAGGGGTAGTACGAATGCTGTTATAGATGCATGATGGGGCAGTAACCAATAAATATGTCTCCTATCACGAAAGTACATCTTTTTTTATTTATATGTTTTATTGATACGAAAGTACATCTTACTCATCCATACCCCATGTCTTCAATTTGTTCTATTTGTATGCATAGATACTAACAAAAAGCCCACTTTAATGTGTGCTTACAAATAGTGATTAATGTGATAAGATGTGTACAACAATTTACTTGAATGGATTGGAAATTCGGTTTCAGGAGCGCCTCTGTACGATGTGTCTCAATTTAGTGTTTCTGTGTTTCTGAGTGGTCTAGGCCACGGGTGGCCAACCCGCGGCCCGCGGAGCAGTGAAAAAATACTTTATAAATGAAATGCAGCCACATATAGCAGCGATGAAGTAGGGTAAAACATTTACACGCAGCTATCTCTAATATTTCCATAATTTGATTTCATCTTTCACAACGCATTGACTCGTTACTTGGTGATACACTGACTCCTCAAATTCCCTCTCATTACATAATATTAACGACATTAATACCCGCATTAATATCACTCGCCGTGTTAATTTCAGTTTCTATTTCCCGCACGCAACTGTTGTGATACACTGACTCAAGGGTGTCGATTTGTATCCGTGGTTGGGGGGGATGATAGGTGCCAACATATTTTCGGCAATGGATCTAAGCAACCAAGAAGTGGAAGCGTGTGGCAAGTTGCACCCCTCCCAAGCGCGTAGCCAGGATTTCATTTTAGGGGGGCGGTAGTGAGCACGCGAAGCGTGCGAAGCGCGGAAGCTTTGACGTTTCACTAGCAGAGAGAGAAGACGATTCGTTGGACCGTTTTCGACTCTTAATCCTTGTGTGAATCAAGTTCCCCTTCCTCCGCGCGTAGCGCGGAAGCTCTAACATTTCATTAGATTATTGAAGAAAGAAGACGATTCGATGTACCATTCTCAACTGTTAATCCTTGTTTGAATCAAGTTCCCCTTCCCCCGCGCGTAGCGCGGAAGCTCTGATGATTCATTAGTTTATTAAAGAAAGAAGACGATTCGATGTACCATTCTCGACTCTTAATCCTTGTCTGAATTCATTTTCGCCCATTCCTGCGCGAAGCGCGGAAGCTTTCACATTTGATTACATTATTAGAGAAAGAAGACGATTTGTTGTATCGTGTCCTTCATGAATTCAGTTTCCCCCTACCGCGCGAAGCGCGGAAGCTTTAACGTTTTACTAAATTAGTACTCTTAATCCTTGTCTGTGTCATTTTCGCCCATTCCGCGCATAGCGCGGAAGTTTTTA